GACTATAACGGAGCGAGTGCAAACATTCTACAAAAGCGCGTCGCACACAAACATAGTAACAACCTATAAAAACATTGCTTGCCGCGATATACGTCTATTATTATACTAGCAGACATACGTCTATTATTACACTAGCAGACATACGTCTACTATTATACTAGTAGATACCGTTACGCTAACATCAGATCTACCGTTATATACACATTTACGCGTTTAACACCCGTATCTACTATACATACGCTTGACACCGCACTATATAGACGTGCCCCTAGTCGCAGACATAAGGGTTACGCTCGTTGCTAAACGTAAGGACGGAGGAGGCCGTACAACACTACTATACGGTCGATAGGACTACGGTCCTACTACCTATAAGGCCCTCCTAGACGAGCATTCGTAGTACTATACTAAGATGACGGACCGACTCGATAACGCGGGATAGGCAGACTAAGACCTAATACCCGAAATGCCTAAGTAGTTTCGGAGAGTAACTAAGGATAGTGCTAACACTAAGGGCGTCGTCGTAGGTTACCTCCGGGTATATACCCCCTAAGTTTAGGAGGCTATAGTCGTATACCGTAAGGGTTACTACAAGCACCTTACTCGCATCCCTCCTGCCGACGAATCCTAGTACGAGTTCAAGGTTTTCTTAAAAATCTATATATTGACAAAGTATAACTGCTTACCCGCGGTAGATCTAATTTTAATAGGAGTTACCGAGCTTAATGCAGTATACGACTTTACCGTCTAGAAGTCGTTGCTAATCAGACCTATATAGCTAGAGGGCAAATATAGCCGGAACTCTAATACTAGCGTCCTTGTTAACATAGTCGCTAGTAAGGCTATTCTAGTAGAGGACACTTTGATACGAGCCGATTTGCTTCAACTCCGAGTAACTATTAACGGCAAACGACATCTACAGCTAGGATTTGACCTAGAAACCTATAACTAGGTTACCTAGTAGGACTACGCAGACTACGGAACGCTTATAAGGACAACGATCGACGGCGCGGTGATCCCTAGACTAGAGTACCCGGGAACCTAGAACATCGAGCTACCGGCTAGACTTCCGGGACTAGTTTAGTACTACGGTATATAGGAAGGGGTAATACTACTACGACCCGGGGTTCTCTAGACCAAGGGAGTAATACACTATTATATAGGAATTGAGAATAGCTAGGAGGTAGACCCGGTAGCATTCGATCCCTTTAAGGGTAGGGAGCGGACGAGGAACGTACCGAGCGAACTAGTAGGCAGGAAATTCGACGAACATCTACGATCGAAGCCGCAGAACGACGTTACTATCCTCCGCTAGACGCCCGAGCAAAACAATATCTCGTACCTACAAGTACCCGAGACTACGGGCCCCTTCTACGATCCTACTAAGCCGTAGATCCTCCGTAGAGAGTACCTCGGCCTATACGAAGCGCTACGAGACAAAAAGATACTAGTGCCTTTCTTCGGTAAGAAGAATACGAATCTCGAAGGGAAGCTAAGGACTAGGTTTCTAGCTTTCTACTAGACTGAAGGAGTCGGCAAGTCGGTAATCAAAGATAGCTAGGGCTAGTATACCGTAGGCTATACTATAGAAATCTCGGCGCAGGCTAAAGTAGAGCTCGTAAGGTAGGCAATTGAACGCGTTCGAGAATTTGAAGCTCGAAACTCCCGAGCAAACGGGGCCGTATAAGCGACCGTATATATACGAGCTTACGGCGAATTTCAGGCATTCCGCGAGGAAGTATATCTTTACCTATACAACGCGGAGCTTATCGTCGGATCTAAGATACTAGCCTACCGTTTTGACGGCGGTTAAATAAGCCGGCAGGACCGAGTAAAGCACTTTGTTTAGTATACCGAACTAGTGTATAACGAGAAGCCGCTACTAGGAGCTATTGTACCGTTTGTCTATAGCCTCTAGCATATCTAGAGAGATTGCTACCCCTAGTACCGAAGCACCGAGGTTACCTAGTAGAGTTCTATCTAGTATCTACTACAACTGCTTATCGCCTATCCGAAGGCCGGCATTACTAGGTACGATTTTTCGGATAGATAGAAGCTAAAAGGCAGGCAACTCGATTCCTAATTCCCGGAGACGGGGTTAGATATACTTATCTTCGATGTCGAGGCGTAGCTTAACGATAGCTCAATTAATACCTTCGCAAATTGGTATATAGCTAGGAACCGCTCGTAGGAAGACCCGTTTATCCTAAGAATCGTCCGCGCAGACAAGGTTACTACGCTTACCGACCAACAATAGTACTTAGTATACCGGGACGGATACCGTATAGTATCCGAAATTCCTCGGTACGCTAAAGAAACGATCAAGGCGTAGAGGGATAACCGGCTTCCGAAGTCGATAACGGGTATAAGATCCGGAACCAACGACGACCTTACTAGTATATACGACGACGACGATAACCATCGTATAGACGATGCCCCTCCTCCGACAGTACTAACCCCGGCGATTAGGGATCTTTTTCTCCGAAGCCTAAACCCGGTACGTACTACGGTATATATCGGCAGTTTATTTCAGAAAGTATAGCTAGACACGACCTTGCTAGAGGTACTAGCCCGATAGCGAGTATAGATAGAGATTGACGTAGAGAAGGTCGCCGATACTATAAAGGCCGTATCGCCGTTCCTCTATCTACTAGCATTCAGACTAGGCCTACCTTATATCTACCGTCTAACGATATTCGACCGAGCGACCGGGCGAGCAGAAGCTACGTTAGTAACCTAACTAGTAGAGAAGTCGGGTCCTAGAGCAATAAAGGTTCTAGGACAAGGATTTATACGGCTAGGATACTAGAGCATACCCGAGTTTATTAGCGAAGCCCTCTAATACGGGATAGAGATAGTGAATACAATAGTAGACCTTATACTAGAAATCCCGACCCGTATGCCGAGACCTATATAGGAAATCTTTAGCCCCGTCTAATTATTTACTACAAATATACTACCGACGGCAGAGCAAGCGACTACTATCCTCGAGAACCTCGGACCGGTAGACTATACTGTATTCGATAGATAGTACCGTAAGGAGATAGACGTCCGCTATACGGTACTAACGGACGGAACGATGTCTAATACGGATTAGCTAATACGCAACCTAGACCTCGCGACGTAATAGGCCGTAAAGATAGCAGACGCGTACTATAAGGTCAAAGGGGACAGAACCTAGATAGTGTTCTTAGGAGACTAGACCGTAGTATCGCTGCTATAGATTGTAGCGCGAGGCTATACAAACCTAGAACCCGCCTACCTAGAACCCGCCCGCCTAGAACCCTAAACACCTATTCGGACGAAGCAACAAGCGCCGCAACGCTTTATACCCCGGACGCCGGCGATTAAGGCAGAGGCTAACCTATACTAATAGATTAGGAACTAGTCCCCGAGATCTCCGATGCCTATAATAGTTTACCGTACTAGAGTATTTATAGAGCTCCGCAAGATAATACTCCGAGAGGCAGAATACCTCTATAAGGTAGCTAACGAAGCGGGCGATAGATTGATATACGGTACGGGAGTCCGCGTAGGGCTGTAGTCCGAAAATGACCCTATACAACTACAGAGTCTAATAGACTAGGTAGATTAGGTAGGACAAACGCTGCTAGCCTAGCACTATAGGAAGGAACAGCCGGCCCTAGTTAACCTAACGATAGCAAAGACGAGACTAACTAGGACGACAATACCTACGAAGCTACAGACGCCTACTATATACCGATAGCTGAGGTCGGTAATAAGTACTCCTACTACCTAGCGCAGAGTCCGTACGATACCCTCTACGCGTAGAACCCGCGACGATAGCCTCCGGGAGAACGAGAGAGACAGATCTAGGTCCCCGAGACGTAAGTCGGTAGAAGGACGCGGTCTACAAGGACCTAGCTAGACGGTCCGCGTAAACAGGACGATGCCTCCGGGTACGCCGACAGCCGCTACGCGGACGAAGCTACTAGAACGCCTGAACACTATTAGAGAAACATTAAATACTACGCTAGACATACGACGAGCAGTAAACGCGGACGGGTACGTCTAAGTATAGCTGGCCCAACTTTAGACTTATGCGACCTTCGCCGATACAGCCCGATTCGAGACTATACGGATAGAGCTAGAGGCCTACCTTACGGAGAATCTAGGGTACCGAGTACTAGATCTTTGAAAACTGCCGGCTAGGAGGGAGCGCGACGCGATACGCGACGCGACCGTCGTACGGTGCGACCGATCGACTAACCGAGCGACTAATACATAGTATAACCGAGGTACGGTACGACTAATATAAGCCGCGACTAAGACGATTATACCTAATAGTCTTACTAAAACATATACAACTACGGGACCTATACTACCTTTTCCTTTGTCGTACGTATATACCTTTTCCCCTTATTATATACGGATTCTACGAGTATACTAGAAACCCTACTATAGAAACGTAACAAAATGTACTCGGAATTCACTAAGAAAAGGCTCGTAAAGAACCGTCGCGTAAGTTAGTACCGATTATACCAAGTTCGTAGTTAGGACCGTACTAGTTAGCTACGGGGACGCCTAAGTAGACGGAAGGATAGGAGATCTAATAACAAGGGCAACTTAGCGATAACGTACGACGACGCATAGTACGATAGAATTCCGATTGCACCGGAGAAGCGAACTACTAAATAGACTACCTACCGCGTACACTCGTTGATATACACCTTTCGCTATATATAATGGATTGCAAACGTAGGCGTAAAGGGAGGATTTCGGTCGTAGGCGACCGACTTCCGGCCCCCCTAGCAGAGAGCGGAGGAAGGAGTAAACGTGGTGATACCTAGGCATAGTAGAACCGTGCTCAGTGCCTCCCTTGTACGGTGGCACCGAGGGAAGGTTCCACCAGGGTAGGGACCCACTATACCAATATATATTCTACCGGACAGGTACATAGCTTTCAGATCATCAGACATCCCTACTACGACTTGCTTTCCCCCTTACCTTCCCCCTTGTCTTCTCTGTACGGATTCCCAAGCCAAGACTCAGAGCCGCGACAACGCAGGAGGCGAGGCAGACAGGAGGGTACAAGCGAGCGCGAGCGCGAGCTAGAGGTAGAAGATCAACGTCCCTGGCTGGACTTGCAACTCTTTCACACCACACATCCATCACACGATCCACATAGGTCGAGAAATTCCGTTTTCCGTGGGAAAAGAATATCTGGCAGCCTGGCGACGGGAGTATGGTGGGACAGCGCTGTGCACACGACTCGTTGCCTGCGACTGCTTCCATTTCTGTTCCCCGGTCCATCCCAGTTTCAAAGCGGCCGGCCAGAAACACGACCCTGCGGCGGCGAGACTGGGAATTTTGGTGTTGGATGGCATCGTCGGATGAGTAGTTCAGATGATGAGTAGGTTCACTTCCGAGATTGTTGACAGTTCATAATAACGTCGACTCCCCGCCGCCCAGACAGCACAATCCCCCCAGAGTACCAACACCTAGGTACCTACCATACCGTCCCAGCATCGGCAACTCGAATGACACTGCCCGAGCCTCTTGTTGTCGTCCCGGCGCTGACAATCACGGTCCCTACAGCTCAGCCATCTCCTGCCGAAGGCATTATTGCTCCCATCAGTACTGCCATATCGCCCGTCCTCTATCACGATCCAAACGCCTCCCCTCCGCCCGAGAAGCTGTTGCCGTCGTTCGTTGCGCCACCGACCGCTCCCTATGTCCATCCGCCGCCTCCGCAGCCGAACAATGCGACGAGCCCGATCCCGGCCACGACCTCTGGCCCCCACTCTACGCGTGAGCCCAGCATCACGAGAGGACGCGCACTGAGCGCAACCGCCGCACGAAATGCATCGCCCCGCGCCGTTACACCAGTCGCACCCTCAACCCGTTCTCACCACCACAAGCAGAGCGTCGACATCGAGCGCAAGCCCGCCGTCTCCTATAGCCACCACCGACAAGCGAGCATCGTCAATGGCGTGCAGCACTCGCGAAATCCCAGCCTGATGGCTTCGGCGAACAGCAGCCCCTTGAGTCCGACCAAGATCATGTCTGCCTCTGCGGCAACGTCGCAGGATAGCGGCCTCCCTGTGCATCTGCAGAAGAGTCCATCAATGTCGCAGCTTGGTGGAAGTTTGAGCACGGGCAGCAGCCCCGTCAATGGCGTGGCGATCAATAAGAGCTTCGACAGCATTGTAGGACATCGCAGACCGGAGAGGATGCACAGTGGACGCGTGAAGAGGACGCACGAGCACAACCGCTCGCAATCACGGGCTCATAGTTCTGCAAGTGGCTCGGAGCCGAAAACTGTGGGAGAATATGCGCTGCATCACTTGTTCACATCGTTCATTGCAGAGGCCGATGAGAGGATTGATAGGTGCATGCAAAAGCCGGGAGAGCCAGAGCCGCGAATTGAGAACATCTGCGGTGCTGGTGCCGACCAGGCCTTCGACCAGCTCATTTCTTCGCTTGGGCACATCAATCGACACAAGCCAAACTCTCTCATTGACTCCGTCATCCACTGGCGGAAGAAGAAGGCCGACGTGGCCAACAACATGTACACGGAGCTACGAGCAATGAGAGAAGCAGCTGGCTTGACTCACAGGACCATGGCGAGTGGCAACACGTATGCGACGCCGATGTCACCTCCGAGCGGACAGGATGTATATCTCATGGAGCAGAATGTGCAGATGGCGGACCGGAGATCGACAGTATCAATATATATCCTCTGCCGAGTGCTCATCGAGATTATTGGACAGACGACGGTGAAGGCGCTCAACGGACCAGACAACACGTACAACACCGCAGGACGGCTGGAGGACGTGATCTATGGCCAGCTGCAGAGTGCAGATCCTGACTTGCTCGCCACGTCAGCTGTCATTCGCGCGAATTGGGTCATCAGAGGACAGTTGCTGGGTGTGATGAGCGGTATCAGATTCGAGCAAGTGGCAGACAGATTTCTTCGAGATCTCGAGAACGCGCAGAAACGTCTCGGCGTAAAGGGCGTAGTAGACCACAAATTGGCTGCAAAAACCGCTCTTCTCGTGCAGAGCATGCGGTGGCTTAAGGTGCGGTCGCAACCTGAGTCAGAATGGCTGAAATCGTGCGAAATGCTTCATTTGCTGGCGAAGTTCTTTGCGGAAGTGCACGGGAGGATGATGAAGCACGCTTACGCCGAATTGTTCGAGCATCTACTGCTTCCCGTCGCCGCCACGGCAACGAGCGAGCTGAACCATCCCAAGTGGAAGGAAGTGGTCGCTATAATACAGCCCAAGATCACCCAAATGCTATCCAAAGCCGACCATTGGCCATATGTGTATCCGTTGCAGGCTGTGCTGTTGAGCGCCTCGCCTGCGGAGCAGTTCGCAACACAATGGCTGCCACTGGCCGTCAACTTTCAACCCAAGGCGAGAGACCGAGCCGGACGTTCACATGCCCTCAAGGCGCTGTGCCGGCTGACTTGGCGGTATCTGTATCGATTCGCGGATTCGTCCAACGCGATCGTGCGGAAGCTCGAGGAGATCGTTAAGATCGTCCTTCAGGGAGGCAAGAGAGTCCTCATTTCAACCGACCCTATGATCGCGGATCCTCTCATACAGCTCATCCGAATCATTGGGTTCAAACATCAGGACTTTTGCTTCCGCACCATCATCTTCCCCCTTATGAATGCAGAGCTGTTTTCGGGGTCGTCCTGGGGCGCCGAGAAAGACCTCAAGATCGAGAACTTGGACCCGGAGAAGACTGTGATTGCGATTCGTGCCTTCTTAGCCATCATGGCTGATCTCGAGAAGGGAGAATGTCCGCCCTTCCCTACTCGCTTTGAATGCGACTCGCTCGTGGATCCCTCGACGCGGTCGCCCATTACCCATCGAAGAACTCGATCGCAAGGTTTCGCTGTGTCCGCTGGCCGGACTGAGCGCCTATCACGGCCTGTAATGACTACGAATCTCGATGATGTCGCAAAAGAATACTATGTCAAGTTTTGCAAGATGCTTGGTCAACTTACAATCATCTGCGATAATACCTTTGGCGGTCAGGCCGTCCTGGACGAGAAGTTTGCTTCGCAAACAACGCCTAAGACGCCTATGGCAGAGGCATTCATGTTCAATAAGAGGGACGATTTGATGAACCCAAATGATGTACGACAACATTATTACGATCTGCTGCACGTTGCTGTCGAGGCGTTGCCGCGATGTCTCTCGCCGCACTTGCCAATCAACTCTCTGGTCAATCTGCTCTGCACCGGCACCGCGCATGTACAATCTCATATTGCAACGTCCTCGGCGCAATCTTTAAAATCCATCGCTCGACAGTCACACGCACAGCAGGTGACCATCGGCTTCGCTCGTTTTATCTTCAATTTCGACGATCGATACGCCACTGTCTCCGATGGCAGTCTGCTAGGCCCTGGCCACATTGAGAGCACACTGAAGTTGTACGTGGAACTGCTGCAAATATGGATCGATGATATCCAACAGCGAACCCGTCAAGTCGTGGCAGAGCCGAATGATGAAGAAGAAGGAGTACGACCACTACCCCTGGATCTGTCAGGCATACTCGCCCACGTCGACGAAGTAGAGTCACATGGCCTGTTCTTCCTGTGCTCTCCGTCAAGAGCCGTGAGAGCTGTCGCAGTTAATGTCCTCAGCCTCATCACGAAGTTTGACACCGCACTGGGTAAGCCTAGTAATCGTATCATCAGTATCCTCCAAGGCGGCTCGCAGCAGGTCATTGATGTCAACGACGAGCGCTTGTCGCTGGCAGAGAGGAGTCGTTTGCAGAAAGGTCTGCGCAAGAGCAACGTAGGTGGAACCTTGGTCGATTTGTGCAGCAGCGATGTGGCGCATGATCAGAATCTCTGGTTCAAAGTCTTCCCGAACCTCATTCGCCTCAGCTCAGAGATTTGTCTGCATGCTGTCGCGTTGACGAGGGAGCTCGTCTGTCAGCGATTGTCGCACAGCTATCGTGCTATTGGTGCGTTGGCCGAGGGCCAAAAGGTCATAGTCTCTGCACTGGAGCAGACTTTCGCAAACGGTAGGCCGGGCCAGCGACTTCACATCACGCCACCGGAAGTTATCATCGAGCAGTGGAAGATCCATCTCATCTTTGCTTGCACTACATTGACCAACGTGGGAGGCTCGCCGACGCATCTACCCATATCGAGCCAAGCATCGCAGCATGCTCGCAAGAGCTCGAAGTCGTCCGCCACCAGCCAGGAGCGCATCGCATCAGCCTCAGAGCTCTTCTCGAGAGTCGTACCGTTCCTGTCCGTGACCAACGCTGCTATTCGAGATGCGGCCGTCACTGGTCTGGGCGCCACCAATGCCACGCTCTTCCAAAGCTTGCTGGAGACGCTGCAGCCATATGTCATGGCATGCAGTCAGGAAGCCAAAGAACGGATGGCCTCGCATCAGCGGACTGTGAGCACGAACGTGAGACGGAGTCGGCGTACTGACTTCCTTAGGACGGAGATCACCCGCCTACTCAGTCTGACAGCACATTTGCTCCAAAACCCGAACATATCCAGTGAAGAGTACGTGTTGCACTACATGATGGATTACACAAAGCATCTGCGTATCTTCTTGAGCGATGCCGAGATCCAGAGCGAGCTCGAATTCCAGAAGCTCCGGACATACTTCTGCATTCTCGTCGAAGTCTTGTACGACTGCATCAGGAAGCTCAAAGATGGCTCCCAGTGGATGTCGTTCCAAGCAAGGCAAGCAACGTTTTCGCTCATGGAGAACTGGTGCGGATTCTCGCCGAATGAACCTCAACTACGTCGACAGCAGGACCATGTGCGTCTCTCCATTCTGGAACGCGAAGGCGACATGCGCAGTCGAGGCATCATCAATTCCGCCCTCGAGAAGGAGAAGAACGAATTGAGCGCGGCCGCGCTGAGCTCGATGGCTTCACTCTGTGCTGGGCCGCTTCGTTTCGTCGCAGACGGCAAGGTACTCATGCAATTCGACATCCGCCGCATGCTCTCCTGGATCAGCGCCATCTTCGAGGCGCCGAGCGACCGCACACATGCGCTGGGCCGCAAGGCGTTGCAGAACCTCATCGTCTACAACACCGATCAGCCTGCATTGATGGCGCAGACGATGCGCATGTGCTATGTGGCGCGAGGCAGTAAAGCCCTTGCGAGTTACTTCGAGGTCGTCACCAAGGTGTTGACCGAGAACACCAGTGTGGCGACGCCGTTCTGGAAGATCTTATGTGCTGGCCTGTACACTCTCGGCAATGAGGATAACGACATCCGCATCAAGTCCGCCAAACTACTGCGTGCGTTGGAAGAGCGCCTCCAAAAGACGTCCAAACTGCAAGATCTGGACATCAGTGTTTCGGACAAAACCACTGCTGTATACAAGCTGGCACAGTTTGAGATTTCCTGCCGTCTGGCGAGCCAGCACCCGGAGCTTGCATTCCATGTCTTTTCCGAGTTCTCGGCATATTTCAATGAATTACAGCCGGATCACCAGCGGAACATGGTGTCTGGTATGCTGCCATGGATTCAAAAGATCGAATTGCAACTGGATCCGAACGGGGGACCGACGGGAACGACATACATGCTGCTCGTGAATCTGTTCGAGATCACAGTCAAGACCGGCATCACGCTGCACAACGAGATCCAGGCACTCTGGCAAGCGCTGGCTACGGGTCCGTACGCAGGCAACGTCCAGCTGGTTCTGGACTTCATCATCAACATCTGCTTGGACAAGAAAGAGCAGAATTTCGTCATCTACGCGAAGCAGATTGTGGTGTTCCTGTCCAAAACGCCTGCTGGTGCAAGGGTGGTCGAATACTTACTGATGCAAATCTCCCCGAGGAACATGGTTGCAGAGCGACGTAAACCTACACAGGCGCCTCTGGAAACACCCACTCTGCAGCTGCCGTATGTCGCAGACCTCTCTCAGGTATTGCCCAGTGGCGCGAAGCAGAATGGCCTGTCACTTGGCCAGCTGAGCATGATTCTGCTGGTTGACTTGGTAGTGTCGCCATTACAGCTACCAGGTGACAAAGTGCCCACTCTGCTACAAGTCATCCTAGTGCAATGGGATCAGCACATCAGCATTGTCCAAGATCAGGCGCGAGAACTCCTTGTGCACCTCATCCACGAGCTGGTCATATCGAAGATCGATCCCGGCGCAACCGAGCCTGATAAGAAGTCGATCGAGGATTTCATCGAGTCCGTGCGACGACAAGACACTAAGATTGTTTGGTCGTACACTGACAACGAGGTTCGTGCTGGTGAAGAGAACGATCGCGCGGTGTCTGAACCCATGTCATATGTGGTCGACGAAGTAGTTCGTATCTTCTCCATCACGTATCCTGGTATTCGTGAAGAAATGGGTAAGGTGGCCATGAACTGGGCAACATGCTGTGCTGTGCGTCACGTCGCCTGCAGGAGCTTCCAGGTCTTCCGCTGTGTATCGACCACGCTGGATCCACACATGCTGGCGGATATGCTTGCAAGGCTGTCAAACACCATCGCTGATGATGAGAACCACGATTATCTCATCTTCTCACTCGAGATCTTGACGACACTGCGGAGTATCATTGACGCGCTCGAGCCTTTGAGCTTGCTGCAGTACCCTCAGCTCTTCTGGACGACTTGTGCCGTTTTAGACACAATCTTCGAGCGAGAGTTTCAAGAGGGTCTTCATATGCTGGAGTTGTTACTCAAGAAAATGGACCTCAGCGATCCCGCAGTCCTCAAGATACTCAATGACAGCAAACCTGCCAAATGGGAGGCTGGCTTCCAGGGTGTTCATGCACTCATATACAAAGGTGTGCGCTCGAGCAGCTCGATGAATCGCTCTCTGCAGATCATGGAGAAACTGGTCAAGCTGCCATCGAGCGACATTGTGGGAGATGACGATCGACTTTTGTTCACTACACTTGCAAATTTGCCAAGATATCTGCACCACTTCAACGATGAAAGCGATCTGACATGTCGGGAGTCAGCGGACACGCTTGCATTTGCTGCGGAGAGCCAGGACTATGTCAACCTCTCTAGAGTCCTGACTGGCTTCTCCGAAGGCAAATACAGAAGTGACAAGGACTTCCTGATTCAGTGTATGCAAGCGCTGCGGACAGCGTTTTTTCCCACCCAGGAGTTCCGCAGTCTGGTGTTCCTGCTTGGTATGGTCAACAATGGCTCGTCATGGTTCAAGGTCCAGACCATGCGAGTGCTCAACGTGATGATACCGGAGATTGATATGCAGAAACCAGAGATTGCTAGCCAAGGACCAGACCTCATCTCCCCGCTTCTGCGATTGTTGCAAACTGAGCATTGTCAACAAGCACTCGGCGTGCTGGACAACGTGATTGATATGACGGGCACACCGCTTGACAATAAGCATCTCCGCATGAGCATGGCTGGGTCGCACTCGAGCCGCGCAACGCGCAAAGAGTACGACAGCACCAAGAGCTTATACGGCATCCCAGAGGAGTCTGGCTGGTCGATACCAATGCCAGCCATCTACTCTCAGCAGACACGGACCAATGTGCATGCCGTTTTCTTGACGCTTACATTTGCAGGCATGAATGGTGCCCAGGATGCTGAGCCACAGTCAACCCCTGAGATTGAGTTCCACAGGGAAGAGTACCAAGACTCCTACTTCATCGATGGACGCACATCCACCATGGTTTCTGACGACACAAGAGTGGTCGATCCCAACATTGGCGAGCTGGCCGAGAAGCTCGATAGCTTGGACGACTTCTTCGACGACGGCGAGTCACCTCAACCAGTGACAAATGGGCGCCATATGGCACGATATCCGGTCGACGAGCGTGAACATCTGTACGATCAGCAGGCGCTTCCCATTCTACATCGCTCGCTGAAGCGAAATGCGAGTGTCACTTCCTTCCAGACGGGCTTTGCTGAGGCGCGCTATCAGCCACAACCACCACCAGCGATCATGAATCCGACCGCATTTGCGCAATCTGCGCACCCTTCGCCAATGCAACGACCTGGTTTGCATAACCGTAGCATCACATCGCCGGTGATGATGGCTAAGACACCCGTTCGACCGCACTACGACATGATGTCTGATGGTGACGCCGATGCTGAGCCCTTCTCGGATGGTGATGAGGAGCAAAATATCAGTAGAGCCCACACGAGTGACGACCACTACCAATTGAGCCAATATACGACGAAACCTGCTGCTGGCACAGGTGGATTCAAAGCGCTTCGGTCGGGTCTGCGGAGGCTCACTAGTAGTGGCCACAAGGACGCGCGCGAGCTGATTCGCACGACTGCTCATCAGAAGCCCAAGGTGCCGAAGATGCCGGCGCCGTATGCCACTCTGGAGAGGGCGAATACTTCGCAAGGGCCGTTCAGTGCTGAGCCGTAGTGCGTGGCAGTCACGTGCGGTGGTCATGGTCTTTTGATTAGGAGTTTGGGGAGTTTGGGGACGAAGGAGACGATGTACAGAGCACGGACTGGCAAGCGCCGTCCGTGTACGAAGAGTGAATAAAGTGCATTTGCATGGCAACCCATGAAGGGACTGTACAATATCGCATAGATACCCCCTGTTGACAGGCTCAACGATTGTTCTCATTGCGGGTTTATCAACTAACTTTCACTCTCTCGTGCCTCGTCGTCATGCTGTGTTGTTGCAGGCGCTCTGGTGCTGTAATTATTATTCCGCGCCACATCATCTCATCGTTGTGATTATTCTTACGACACCATCTCATTCGTCGTCATCTTCTTTTCTGTCTGGGTAGTCGTCGTCGTCGTCTTGGTCTTCTTTGTCTGGGTATCATGGTCGTCATCGTCTTCTCTGTCTGGGTATTCGTCTTACTGCGCCTCTCCTTTCGTCCACTTCTTTTTCTCTGTCATAGCCGTTCTAGTCCTCTCTCCATCATCCTCATTCTCGTCGTCATTGTCGTCATCGTTCCCCTGGAGCAAGGAGAGACCAGCGGCGGGATCAATCAGAGTGGGTTAACCGCACTATACAGCAAAAATTAGCACCTCCCAACCCAACAGTCCATTCCATTCCCTTGCCCCCCCAAAAGACTTACGCGTGCATCATGGACGTCAACTCCACAAGACCCACCCACTTCCACACCTCCCCCTCACCGTCCTCGGATGGCACAGTCTCTCGGAATTTCATAACGCTCTGGTCTGCAAAAATTTCTCTGGGAAACGCAACGGGGTTCGGCCACTGGTTCATCTGTACCAGGGCATGGTAGTCGGTACTGAGCTCGAAATGGCGCCTCCCTGACGCCGGAAACCACGCACTGTTAACTGGGCTCCTAGTGATGTGGATTGTGCGGATATGGGGGAGGTGCCCTGGAGGGATACTCCAAAGCCATCGAAGGAGGAGTAATCTATCTGAATCGCCAGGTAGCTCGAATACTGTGTTCGCGTAGTAGGCTTGGACAGCTTGCACCCTCGTGGCGCGGTTGATGTGAAGTTGTCCTGGGGGCCGCATGCCCTGCTGTATTCTTACGACAGTTCCTGGGACGAATGATGTTGCTGTAAAATTCAGGATCATCGTCTGTAGTTCAGCGGCGGTGGCTTGGATCGCAGCATCGAGGGACATGATGTCGTTATGATTGTGGTGCAGCTATGGTGATCGATGGCTTATGAAGGGATTGCTGAAGTGGAAGAGGAGTGGTAGGAGGTTGTCATGGGAGGTGAAGGCCGCAAGTTGCTAGCGGGCCAACCACGGCACCTCTCGACAGCGAGCAAACAAATCTCTCTCTCGAGTCATAACATCAAGGGCATGCAAAGCCCACTTGTTTGGGGACAGCGCCAGTATGGACATCTAGCAGAGCCAGAGTGCTCCCATGGACTCCTACTGTCTTCGCTGGATCGATCACCAACGTCACCTAGGGTAGGCAGACTGTGAAAGTTGAACTCCTTACCCTCCAGCAGTGTCTTTCCAACTCACGAGACCAACAACAGCCACGAAACAGTGAGGACCCGATACGCATGGTGACCATTCTTCGCCATCACACGGCGCGTCCATGTTGAGAGCTGGAGCTCAAATGGAGCGTTGTCCATGGCTCGAACAGCGATTCGTCCTAGCCCCCTTATCTTGGACTTCTCCGAGCGAGCAGACACCGCTAGTCATAATGGCAAAAGGATACTCCAGTGCTCTCTGACAACTACGAACCCGCGGACAGAGAGGAACGGGTTGCACCTGGACCCGGTCGTGGCCTCCGAGCGAGCAGATATCGCTAGTCATATCATCAAGGGCAAGCAAAGCCAGCGCGCTCTCTGACATTCACAAAGTTGCGGACAGAGAGGAACGGATTAGGCCTGGGCCCGGTGTAGCCTCCGAGCGAGCAGATATCGCTAGTCATATCATCAAGGGCAAGCAAAGCCAGCGCGCTCTCTGAAGACTACGAACCCGCGGTGCAGAGTGGAACGGGTTACACATGGACCCGGTCGTGAGCGCGCGCCCCTGGCTGACCATGAGTAGACCATACCACGCTGTCCTCACGGTCTGCGCCAACCAGTACTGACATTCCAGGCTACTGCCATCTAGTACAGTACTCGGAGAACTATGCCTCCAAGCGCTATATGCCACTTCGAGAACCGCCAAGACTCGAAACAGGGGTTAGTGGACCAATCCCTGTTGGGTCAAGACTGCAGGTGAAGCCGCGCAGGAACAGGATTGATTTGGGACGGCTGGAAATACGGTCAGGGGGGAGTGATGGTTGGAGCAACGGTGAGAGCGACGAGAAGGCCTCTGCGAAGCCAGCGCGCGAGGAAAAGCGGTAGGTAGTCTTGTAGTACAAGTCAAGCTTGTCTTGTGTTTCTCCTCGTGGACCGGAAGCCCTGCTTGGGTCATATCTCGGTCCCCTAAAAGGTGTGCGCCCCCAAGGATGGAAGAGATGGTGCACTCAAGGTCCGCAGTGTGCAGGTGGAGCAGAGCAGGTCACAGAGCAGGTCACAGAGCATGAGATTTCCTCTCCCTGAATCAAGAGCGTCCAGGAAGGAGAGGGTTGCCGTCCCTGTCCGTGACACGGCATTGCGGCCGCGCTGCCTCGAGGTCAGGCTACATGTCGCGAGGAGCACCAGCGAGACTACTATCATTACTATGTTGTGATGGGAAAGGTATTGGCAACGGCACAGCGAGACGGATCGGGTTGGGCGGGAAGAGAGGAGATTTCTCCAGGTCCAGTGTCATGGCACGGATAAAAAGCAGTGCAGAGGGCTGTTGGTGCATATTTGCACCATTCTCATCGCAGGACGGGACCATTGGAGTCAGCCGTAGCCGTTCATAAAAAGCGCCAAGACTCCAGTGAAATGTACTACGCCCGCACATTCCGCCGGGTTGTGCTTTTTGCAAAAGCAGGCGAAAAGGGCACATATTTCCCGTCAACCAACTTTCCCTCGTCAATCACCTTCCCATCGTCTCCACCATCTTCAACTGCGTCTACGTCCATCTTATTTTCGACCTCCTCCTGCCCCTCCTCCTCACCGTTCTTCATCAAATCCTCCTTAGCCTTCAGACTTCGATTCAAAATGCCCATCCACAACTTTTCCAGATCCATCTCCTCTCTCTTTTCCTCTGTCATCAACTGCACCACAACATGGCATCCGTTCGTCCTCGACCCGAACCCCACAATCTTCTTTTGAGCCTCCTCCTCCGCCTGTGTCAAAGGCAATTCGCCACCCTTCAGCCTCCCAAGATTAACACAAACCCATCCGGTCCTGATTCCCTCTTCCAACTCCGTCTCATTACCCTTACCGCCCACAGCAGACATCAAACGAGCCCTTTTTGCGCGTCTGCGCAATTTTACTTTGAGTTCCTGACGACCGAGAAGTCCATCTGCAGTAGGTGTGATGTTGTGAGAGGATGCGCGTAGCCAGCGACAGAGGCCGTCGGCGGATACGTGGAGATGTTTCTCTGAACGGGCGGTTCCAATGATCATGATAAGGTTAGCGCCGAGGGCTGGTGGGGGGTCGAGAGCGCGGAGGTCCATAAGGGTGAGGTCGTCGATTCCGAGTGTGACAGAGATCCAGTCGAGGAGGGATGGGAGGATCTCAGGGGAGTGATCTGGAATGGGGGGGATGGCTTGGCGGGGGGAGAGAGGGGATTGTTCTGTGGGAGGAGGGTTGAGTTGGAGATACCAGGGCATGTGTTGTTCTTGTTGGCCAGATTCTGGTTCTGGAGCAGGTAGAGAGTCTTCTTGAGCCAGCATGGCCTGGGCTTTCTCCTTTTCCGCCTCCTCTGCTGCAATGGCCTCTTCCAATTCTTGCATCTCTTGGAGCTGTTCGCCCGTCACTTCAATTTCCTCATCGGACTCGAGTGTCGTCGTCGCCGCCTTTCTTGCTACCCGTCTTTCATCTCTTTCTCGACTCCTCTGCGTATTGACCTCTCCCGTCTTGTGCTCGTTGGGTGAGACATGGACATTGATGTCGTTGATGGCATGTTCTTCGCCGTGTATCACTCTCCATCTGGTCGTCAACGCGGCAAAAGATCGTCTTGTTGTCGTTGTCGTTATTGTTGTCGTTGTGGTTGTGGTGGCTCCTATGCTGGCGATGAAGGATCTCAAGACTGATTGTCTGCAACTGCTGCACGCCAAAGTGCGGGCAGCACGAGTTGTCAAGACCATGTTGTCGTTGGTGTTGATTGAATGTGTATACAGAAGGACTTTCTTCAATACAGAGACAGACGTGGCGTCGGGAAAGCCGCGTCTTCTCCGCAAACTCCATTTCCACCTCCATCTCCATTTCCACCTCCATCTCCCTCCTCGACTTCACCCGCACCGCACCACTGCTCCGCCGATCACATACATCACCACCCATGGCCACTTCCAAAGTGTACCAATGCCTCTCGTGCCGCGTAAAAAATGTCTCCCTGGATGCGACCAACTCGACTTCGCGCCGAGCCTTTAGCACCACTCCCTCCCAGCAACGCCGATTGCGCGACGGTGTGAGAGCACCGCAAGCCGAGAGCCTTGAATCCAGTCTGCGTCCCTATACCGCGCGCGAAAAGAGACTTCTTGCGCTCAAATACACTCGCGAACAAATGGAGGCCATCCGAGTCGGAGAAGAAGCAATTCCATCTTCAGACCTGGTGGAACAGGGCCGTCTGCGAACCGACCCCATGCGAATAGACTACATTGACGACTTTGCCACGATCCGTCCTGTGGTCGATGCCACAGCTGCTCAACTCGCAAAAATGAACAGCCGTCGACTGAAACAAGGCGAACGATCCACTCTCGGCGCAGCTTTCCGCAAACACGGCCAGGGCAATAACGCAAACAAGACTCGCAAAGAAGACCAGGAAGACTCTGATCCTCACATGCTGCGTCTATCCCAGCAGATTGGTCTCGGCAAAGATGCAATCCGCAAAATACGAGTCAAGACCCTCGTTTCTCATCGTGTGGTCAATCAAACACGGATGGGGAAGATCCAGAGTTTGTATTTCTTGACTATTGCGGGGAATCAAAATGGAATGTTGGGCATTGGGGAGGGCAAAGCCGCAGAAGACGAAGATGGGAGGAGACAGGCCATGATGAATGCCATTAGGAATATGAAGCCCATTCCCAGATATGAGGAGCGGACAATCTTTGGAGAAGTTGAAGCGAAAGTTGGGGCTTCTGTGGTGAAGTTGAGTGCGAGACCGCCTGGTGAGTGCCGAACCATGAGCCCGTCGACTTCCTCCAGTGGTGGGTAGACATGAGGGAGAAGAAATTCATGCTAACGTGTGAACCATAGGCTTCGGCAACCGCTGTCAACATCTCATCTTTGAACTCGCACGAGCTGCTGGAATCTCGGATCTCGCCGCCCGAACACCTCGCTCACGGAACAAGATGAATGTCGTCAAGGCAGCTTTTGAAGCTTTGACCAACCAGCGTCTACCAGAGGATGTCGCGAGGGCACGGGGGAAGAAGATGGTGGATGTGCGTGGTGTGTACTATGGGGGACTTGTGCATTAACTCACTATGAGGGAGAGAAACCTTTGTACAGATAGATAATGGGGTGATGGTAGGCTGCAGAGCTCTCTGTACTAAAGAGGGAGTATAGAGATTGCAACAAGCCTGCGAGTAGAGTAACTCCGTATGAAATCCATTTGATCTCTCGTGGAAACTCTTCAGAATTGATGCTCAAAGGTCTGAGTGCTCTTAATGCACAACAGACCACCGGTATTATTGGTATATTACCGTATATGAAATAACACTTGTTAAGGAATACCGAATACCCCACTGTCAGTCTCACCTGTACGCATATCATGCTCACACAAACAACCCAGCCTGGGTAACAACACCTTCAGTGAAGTTCAGTCCTTCACTCCCAGGTCCCCTTAAGTTCTGCCCCACTAAATTCAAGGTAACTTACATGACTTTATATGTCGTACAACACCCGCCACTCCACGACAACACGAATCAAATATCAAAAGTCTTCACTCACCAACATGTCCCTCCGCGCCGCCATCCTCATCGTCTCTGAAACAGCCAGCAAAGACCCCACCACAGACAAAGGCATTCCCGCTCTCCAGGAGGTATTTGCCTCCGCTACCGGAAAAGGCGGAGGAGACCAGCCGCAGCAACAACAATGGATCGTTCAAGATACCAAGATTGTGCCCGATGATATAGAGAAAATTAAGCGCGCGATTCTGCAATGGACGGATGAGTCTGCTGGAGAGGATGATTGCGTGAATTTGGTTGTGACGAGTGGTGGGACCGGGTTTGCGAGGGGGGATGTTACTCCTGAGGTGAGTTTTACTTGGAGAGAGAGAGAGAGGCGCAGGGGAGGGAATTGACGCTGGATGAATCGAAGCTATATCGGTGTGATTATCTGGTTGATTTGCAGTCGCTAATGTATTACGCTCGCAGGCAGTGACGCCGCTCATACATAAACATGCCTCTGGTCTTGTGCATACCATGCTGGCTACTTCGCTCGCCATCACTCCTTGTAAGTGTGTCAAAGAAAAAATTCGAGTACTCCAAACTGAGGATGATCATAGTCGCCTCCATGGCTCGCCCAGTAGCGGGAGTTCGAAACAAGACATTGATCCTGACCCTCCCGGGATCACCAAAAGGCGCCAAGGAGAACCTAGAAGCTGTGCTCAAGTTGTTGCCCCATGCATGCCAACAGGCAGCTGGAGCTGACTCCAGAACTCTACATCTTGGCGGAGTCAAGAAACTCGAGAAAGATGCTGGTGTGAACGTCGCAGCTGCGAAATCCTCTGCCCATGGCCATCACCATGACCATCACCATGGGCATCATCACGGGCATCATCACGGGCCCAGAGCGCACACAAAACCAGAAGACCGACCGATTTCTAATGACCCGACTGCAGGTGCATCTCGCAGGTATCGAGAGTCCCCATACCCTATGCTGCCAGTTCCTGAAGCACTCGCTCACATCTCAACCCACACTCCCTCTCCGAAAATCATCAAAGCCACCGTCGACGAATCACTCATTGGCTCCGTCTTGGCTGAGGATGTCACGGCGTCTGAGTCAGTTCCTGCATTTCGTGCAAGCATAGTCGACGGCTATGCCATTGTGGCCTCTGACCATCCCCTTGTCCCCTCCACCAAAGGACTCTTTCCTGTCGTTGGCATTTCACATGCCCAGGCAGGAAAGGAGCCCATACCAGAACTTCGCACCGGCGAAGTGGCTCGTATAACCACAGGAGCACCCCTGCCACCCGGTGCCACAGCCGTGGTGATGGTTGAAGATACCATTCTACGCAGCATGACCGAAGATGGAAAAGAAGAAGCCGAAATCGAAATCCTCACAGATGCCATCAAACCAGGCGAAAACGTCCGAGAACCGGGCTCAGACGTACAAGCCGGCACAACTATCCTCCGACGAGGTGAAGGCATCACAGCTATAGGTGGCGAATTCGGGCTCCTAGCTTCAGTCGGCACACAAGAAGTCTCAATCTATACTCGACCCATAGTCGGTGTCTTGAGCACCGGCGACGAGATCATTCCCCACAACACCGCCCGCCCACTCCAGCTCGGCGAAGTCCGCGATACCAACCGACCGACCCTCCTGACCGCAATCCGTGGCCAAGGCTACTCCGCCGTCGACCTCGGAATCGCCTCAGACCAACCTGGCGCACTCGAAGAATCTCTTCGCTCTGCCATGCGAAAATGCGATGTCATCATCACCTCCGGAGGCGTGAGTATGGGTGAACTCGACTTGTTGAAACCTACCATCGAAAGAAAACTAGGCGGAACTATACATTTTGGTCGTGTGGAAATGAAACCGGGAAAACCGACGACATTTGCAACCATACCATTCAAGTCTTCTACGGGAGACGATGAGAAGAGAGTGATATTCTCTCTCCCAGGCAATCCGGCATCGGCGATCGTGACGTTCCATCTTTTTGTTCTGCCCGCGCTGCAGAAGCTGTCTGGAATGGAACCTGCTAATGGCTTACCGGTGGTCAGAGTGGTATTGGAACAGGATGTGAAAGCTGATCCGAAGAGGGCGGAATATCATCGCGTCGTGGTTGTGGCGAAGAGGGATGGAGCGTTGCATGCAACAAGTACGGGTTTTCAGAGGAGTTCGGCAATTGGGTCTTTCAGAGGTGCGAATGCTTTGCTACGGTTGCCAACCATTGAGGGGGTGTTGAAGAAGGGGGAGATGTGTGATGCTCTGTTGATGGGGCGTATTGGGAGCGAGAGTGTATGAGTGAATGAATGGCAGTCACTCGAGGGGAATAAGCAACATCCATTCACAGAACAGAAGAAATATAGACGTGTAGTCTGTGATACGAATCTGGCTAGGAGGTACCTCCCGTGCTACGCTACGCCGACGTACCTAGGCTATGCGGTTATGCGGTGACAAGATTGGTGACGATGGCCAAGCACAGGAAGACTTGCACAACAGAAGTAATATAAACCTCCTACGACAATCATTCTCTCATCATCACAATAACCACCGCCTCTGCCATTTTCTGATTGCGAGTTAAGCATGATGGCTCCCAAATCAGCTTTCGCGGCCACCACGGCCTTTTCCCTGCTGGCATCAGCCCAGTACTACACAAGCAACACTACAAGCAATGGTCTGGACTACGACCTCCTCATTCGCGACCCCGGCGTGGCTGGTCCTCCTATTGAACTCGTCCATCTGTACGCCGGCGACCCCCAGTTCCCTACGGGAATTGCTGTTTCACGCGAAGGTCGCCTCTTCTCCAATTACCCCGGCGCTCTGGACCCAGCCAACACCAATGATGGCACTAATGGCCGCTTCACCATCGGTGAGCTCATCAATGGCACCCACGAAGTCGCCTGGCCCAGTGTAGAGATCAATAACCCACCCGGGGGAGCTATCAACTACACCACCAACCCGCCCACAGGCGCCAATTACCAGAACTACCTCATCGGTTCCCAATCCATCGTCATCGACGCTGCCAATCGCGCCTGGATCCTCGACACCGGACGTGTCGCCCTCCCCAACGGAGTCATCGTCAATGCTTCCCCAGGCGGCACCAAAATCCTCGGAGTACACCTCACCAACGACACCGTCTTCCAAACCATCGTCTTTCCCCCAGAAGTCGCCTATCCCGATTCCTACCTCAACGACCTCCGCATCGACCTCACCCACGGCTCCGCAGGCTTCATCTACATCACCGATTCCTCCGGCGAAGGCCGCAACGGGCTCGTCACCGTCGACATTTCCACAGGAGAAAGTTGGCGTCATCTAGATCTCCACCCGGCAGTCCGCACGACCCAACAATTCGTTTTTCCTCACTGGGGTCAAAACATCTATGGCGCCCCTGCTCCCTCCGGATCTCCGTTTGCTTTCACCAATTTCGGCGCAGATGGAATTACTCTTTCCGCGGATAGTTCTACACTCTATTGGAAATGTGTCGCTGGACGCGAACTCTTCTCTATCCCGACTGCTCGGTTACGAGATCGTTCTTTCCCTGCGAGTGAACTTCTTGCGCAAGCATCGATACAAAACTGGGGTGAAACGGGGGTGTCGGATGGGCTCGAGACGGATTCGAATGATGTGATTTATCATGGTGTTGCGGAGGCGAATGCGATTGGAGCGTTTTATCCCAAGAATGCGAGCGATGTTCTGTTTGTGAGGGATGAGAGGATTAATTGGGTGGATACGTTGAGTGTGGGGTGGGATGGGTACTTGTATTTCACGAATAATCAGTTGGCGTTTACGATGATGTTTGCGCCGGGCACAGATCGGAGGCAGAGGCCGTATTCGTTGTTGAGGGTGCCGTTGCCCGAGGGGGGAAAGAAGGTGGGTGTTTAGAGATTTCCTGTTGGTGGTGGCGGTGGTGAGAGGGAGGATGGAGATTTGTATGTATGTGTGTATGAGGCATGATTGAGATGAGAAGGATGAGAGCTGTATATATATATAGGTATGAAGGCAGAACTAATGTTCCTGGAGGATTGTGATACCGCATCTATCAGGGGATCCTCAGAGATACTATGAAACCATGGTATCACAAGATACTGAATTATTATCACCAAACCACTCTCTCAAACCTCGTTGTTGACATTCTCCTCTCGACATGCCTTGAAGAAACACTTGACAGTCTGTCCTCTGATACCAGCATTGGCCGAATTCTCAGTACGACCGTACGACCCTTGCAACAACGCCGAAGCGCAGCTGACGTTTCTCGTCCGTCTTGAAAAGATTTGTGACCTCCTCTCACTGGCTTCACGCGTAAGGTACCGAGTTGTAGGACCCTATGCTCGCAAGCAAGAATCTTCCAGCACAGTGCCTTGCTGGAATTTGGAACATGACTACCCGCATGGTTCTGATTGCTTCCAAGTGTGTCATCATTTGGACAGGAGCGGGTTGGTAGGTCTCTGAGACCATGGCCCGGTAGCTGGCACTTTTTCATAGGTAGTGACCAAAAGAGCTTGCGTTTCCGGACCGAAACGGCGCTGATTCTGGGGATATAGATCTTGACCAGAAAGGTGTGGAAATCAATGTCACGTGATCATCTCGTTCGTCCAGCTTTTACAGGGAAGTCCGCTCGCTTTCTTCTTCATGTGGCATGTTGTCCCCAAATCGTCCACAATACACATCCGTACTTTCCATTCTCGCTCAGGGAACCGCCTTCGCCACCACACTTGTCGACGACGGCAGTAAGTTTTCGCTTGCACTCTTCTCCATTCGTTTGAAAAGGCTTGGAGTAAGCGCAATTAGTCTGTCCCTGATCATTGAATTCCGTGACTGTCTTGACCACAATATCATTTTTGAGGAAATTTCCATGCGATTGTCCTTTGGGGATGTCAACGAGGAACGTGTTGGTGTAGATGTAATCCGGCGTGAGTTCCAAAGGTCTGTTGCAATAGTCTGCAACACCTTGTTCCATGGTCTTGAGTGGCATGTCAATGGATCGTGGATAAGGATTGCCGCCGCATGTCACAATCTCTTCGGGCTGCGTGGAGAGTGTGTACACACCACACCCGCTTGAGACGGTGCCACCGTATTTTCCGAGGTTTCCGGAAGGACTTGTGTCGCACTCGTCGAGGAGACGATAAAACGCTTGTTCACAGATTTTTGCGCGCACAGTCAGCTCTGCATGAGCATCTAGACTGCAACTTGTGTCGTAGGTATGTCTTGCAGTTGTGTATGAGATGGAGAGCAGGATATTCGAGTTGCCCCAGGCTGTCTTCAAAGTATCAGTCTCATTTGTAGAGAGTCCAATTACATGAGAGTTTGTGGCTTCACAGAAGCCAGAAACCAGAGTCTTTGCTTCGTGGTAGTTGAGCCCGGTGCTACCCGGGAATGGACCGGCACAAGATATACCGCTCATGGCTCGCAAGAAGAAAGGCGTTTACAGCTGCGAATGTGACGCCTTGTACTCGTGGTAGTCGCTAGAATCGATTCGGACGGAATGGTAGACGATATTTGCCGTGCAAAATTCCCTCAGACGTGGTCACCAACGTGCAGAGATGCCGAGACTTTAGTATGGTATTGTGGTCCTCATCCGTGCCTCCGAAATTGGACATGCAAGGGCGGGCAGCGTGGGCAGGGGCATACCAATGCCGCACATCTACCAGAGACTACTACTTTGCTGACTGATCACGCAATGGATGAGCTGAGTAGAGGTCGGCAATTGCTAGCTCGGATTAAATCTCCTGCGCAAAGAACTGTCAGAAAGCCACTGATAGCGCAAGGGAAAGGGAATACAATGTCTGCTTCGAACTGAGACAGTAGCCTTGTTAGATCAGACAGGCACCGCAACCAACCTGCCAGAGAGCAAAGTGTAGTGATAGTCGAAATCGAGCAGATCGCAGAGTATCTGGTGTAGTTATGCCTCCGAAGTACCACCTGCAAGACGCAGGTCTCGAGAGGTCCACCTAGCGCAATGAGAATGTGGCGGGTATTTAGGTGTGGTATTCCCATTCCATCGTCAGTACAGTACCATCCTCGTCCTTTCTCGTCGCCCGGCATAAATAAAGTGCATGCTATTCCTGACGTGCCATTGATAGAGCACTACCACCATGCCAGACTGTGGTTCCCAACAGCACACCCTATCCATCGGAATTCAGCAGACTATTGAAGTTCTTCGCCAAAACCTTAGTTCTCAACCAGGCTAAAATCAGCCTTCGTAGAGCGGGCGATTACCCTCTATCCTCACAGCTTACCCATACCTGGCGTTGCCGCGATAGACACCTCCTACCACTGCAAATCCTCGGGCACTGTTGGGGATGCTGGCTTCCTTGGAATGAGCAGACGTGCATAGAGGTGAGGTTTAATTGATGGGCAGACTGCACTCTGATGGGCTGGAAAGGGGCATGATAATAACGATCAGCCACCATCTTCGCAGCATCGAGGGCAAGGATTGCCATATCTGGGGTCTTGGAGTCGAAAATGGTATTGAGCAAGCCGTTGAGTTTCCAGTCATGCCAGATCAAAAGGCCAGGCAGCGGATACCGGTAGGTAGCACCAATAGATCGTGGAGCACGAACAAGCTGAGCGGCATGTCCATTACATCTATGTTTGCTTACGGATTTGTAGGTGTATGCGTGTGAATGAATGTCGTTTTCGCATCTGCGGTGCAGTGTTGCGATGTGTTGTGATGTGATGTGTTGTAAGATGTGACTCGTGAGGCAGCCACGCCAAGCCTTGTCTCCACTTTTTCCAGCCTTCCCTTCTCGAGATTCCCTCCTTTGTTCCTCCACCTCCGTTGCTTCTCTTCCTCTTCCACCAACTCATCACCACCACACCAGCGCACCCACAATCCATCACCGCGCAGCGTCACAGCCAACTCGACGCATCTTCCGCCATCAACCATACCAGTCACGACGACAATAACAACTCTCAGCGGTCGCACATCCGACTCGGCGCAAGCTTCTGCCCACTTGCCTTCTTCGCCAACCGCAACCGTCTGATTCACTTCACTATCGGCCATCGCCCATCATTTTCTACCGCGCCAGCGCATCCTTTCCATCTACTTAAGCCACTTTAATTCAAACGACTTGCTCACCACCAGTCCTCATTTCTGCACCGCTTTCCGACCACCACCGACCACACGGCACATTCCATCACACCACAAACCACAACTCGCCATGTCTGGAAAGCTCGACCAATCGCTCGACGCCATCATGAAGGACCGTCCAGCCGGCGCCCGCCGCGGAGGACGATCTGGACGCCTGCCACCACGAAAGGCTGCTACCAAGACAAAGGCCGCGACCGCCGCCGCCGTCGCACCAGCCGGAGGTATTGCAAAGAAGACTAAAGGCGCAAGGCCACCAAAGGGACCCGCTGCTGCGGCGCTCCCACTTACAGGAGATAGCAAGATTTCGGTCTCCAACCTGCCCGAGGATGTAACGGAAGCGTTGATTAAGGTACGTTGACCGCGCCGACTGCACGGTACACGTTTTGAACCGCAATGTTCGATCTCCCACCATACGCGCACCATTTCCCGTTGGACGCACGGAGGCTTTTGCCCACAAGGAGCTCGGTGGAAAACAGCTGAGCTGGCAGAAGGCTCTTGCTCCGCGACTGCCCGCTTGCCTAAGCACAGTGCATCTCGCATGCGTCAGAGCGCCAAAGATGCATCTTGCATGATATACTCACGAACGCTGCCTGGCAAGCACGCGCGTGACGGACGCAGACGCTCATGATGATGGCATGACTTTTCGAGGGCAAGCAGTAGCATTTGGACAGCAGCATGCATACACACGAGGCAACACAGGTGAAGGCGCACAAGTGGAGGTCGAGACGCTATGCGTATGCCCGTGAACAATATATCGGTGATGGCAACCCGAGTGCAGGCATTGCGAAAGCTACAGTGGGCCTTGACAACTCACAGCGAGCATGCGCATGGATGTCGAATCATGACCGGGCGGGCTTCGACAGAAGTGGTTGGTTGATTCATTGATGCAGGGATACCACTGTCCACGTGCTGCTGCTTGTCCTCTGCTGTTCGATGTTGCCGCTCCCATCTCGAGAGCCTTCATCAGTGCCCTAGTGCTCGGACGTGGCATGCCACGCGACTCGGAATCTCTTTCCTTGGCCACTCGCTTTTTATCATCTCTGGAAGCCCACTAACACCGCTTGTGTTCAGGACTACTTCAGCACCTCAGTTGCCCCAGTGAAGAAGGTTATACTCAACTATGGACCGACTGGCCGCAGCCGTGGATCCGCCACGGTGTTCTTCAGCCGGTCAGGTGCGGCTGCCGAGGCCGTACGCCTTGATGGTACACCTGTGGATGGCAAGAAGATGAGGGTATGTGACTTCCATCATGGACTCGCCCGTTCCATGTTACTGACGACCACAACAGATAGAAGTGCTTGTCGATGCACGAACGGTACCTGCGCCACAAGCACCGAAGCCTCTCTCCGAACGCGTTGTGTAAGGTTCTTTTCAGCTGGTTCTGGTCTGACTTCCACTAATACCGCTCGCAGTAACAAGCCCAAGAATGCGGTCAAGAAGGATGGAAAACAAGCTGGTGCGGCGAAGCCGAAGAACCAAGCGGCCAACACCAACGGAAGCGCGGGAGATAAGAAGGCCAAAAAAGAGAAGTCGGGGCGTGCGGGTCGAGCCAAGGCGAAGACTGCAGAGGAGCTGGATGCCGAGATGCAGGACTACTTTGGCAGTGGTGAAGGTGCAGCTGCCTCGACTAATGGCGCACCGGCCGCCACCACGAATGGCGGAGATACGGGCATGGTCGACGAGGTGATGTAAAGGACGTTTCCCAGGCACCAGGACGACGTTCGCTTGCGCTAAGTTTTGCGAGATTCTCGGGTGGGATCCCGTTATTGTGAGTCTGGTTCGAGTTGATATTCGAGATTGTATCAGTACGAGTTGTGGAAGGGCTGCACGAACATGCAGGAAGGGCTCCACGTTGGGGGATTTGGGACATGAATTCAGATAACACTGGCACCACGACCATCATTCTCCTTGGCCACCTCTCAGTGGTGCGCAGCAGCATGCTCATCGTCCCTTCTTTTCACCTCGCATCACTCTCGCAGAGTTAGTTTCATGAGCAACTTTGCACGGCGAGGATGGTTCCAGAAGATGGCCTGATGTATCGCTAGTACAGTACTGTGGCGTGTGGTTCAGGCCGAATCAATAGGTACGCTAGGAGGGACCTCCACCCGCGAGTGATGGCCGGGGCCCGGGGGAGTTTGTTGGAGTCTTGGAGAGCTGTCCCTACCTACATCCTACATGCACCTACCTCCTAGGTACATGACCTTACCTCCAGTGCTCCACTCCGCCTGGTGCGGCCTGGCATTGGCAGAACAGGCGGGCGGATTTGCCCCTCCTCTCATGGCTCCTACAACGTGCGGAAGACAACCTTTTTTTCTTGGGCTTTTTCGCTCTCACCTCAGATGACAGATCAGGAATGCCGTCAGTGGAGCTGCGATTCCGTGGCAAAGGAGGCCGGGCTCGACCCCGTCTTGCTCGTGATTATTACCGTGTTATTCTAGGTTATGGACCTTGTGGTTATCATTGTTATTATTGACGAGATCTGCTAGAGACGAGAAGCTCGAGGACAGGGCAGGGCGAGAATACGGAGAACAATTGCCGCGAGAGCCTGTGTCTTCTGCCGATCAGTCCCCCGAACGACGGACGCTTCAGACGATGATTATGCATCACCGACGGCCTGCTTGGCAGTCCTGGAAGAAGACGGGAACCCTAGGTGGCCACGCTTACTAAGGCAGCAATACGGCCCCAGACGAAGCAAATTTCCCCGCTTTGCTGGACAGTTTTGGCTCCGGTGCCCCGCCATGGCCGAGTGCAGATGCGCAGCCATGCTTTGGACCGAGAGCCATTCACAGCACGCCGCCGACGACACGAATCCCCAATATCCACCGCCAGCCGAAGCTTCCTTGTGCCTGTCTGGACAAGTGGAGCGCTGCAAAAGTGGAGCAATGGGGACGGGGCGTGGACATATGGACCAGGTGAAGGTGGAGGAACGGAGATGATGGCCTTGCTTACCTACCTGACCTGACCTACCTAGCCTAGGCAGTGCTCTCCATCTACCTACTTAACCCCTCCGCCGCCCATCTTGGCCGAGCCCTTTCCTTTCCTCCAACATCTGTTCTCGTTGGACATTCATTACCCATTCACCAACGACACTACCCACCTACCCACCTACCTACCTGTTGTACCCGACCCATCATGTCTGATCTCTCCGTTCAGCTCGAGACGCCATCGTCTGGCAAGTACACCCAGCCTACCGGACTGTAAGTACACGACCCCATCCCGCCGCCTTGTAGGCATGGACGCTGACGAACGGCAGCTTCATCAACAATGAGTGGGTGAAGGGTGTGGACGGCAAGACCTTCGAGGTCATCAACCCCGCCACCGAGGAGGTCATCACCTCCGTGCACGAGGCCACCGAGAAGGATGTCGACATCGCCGTCGCCGCCGCACGCAAGGCATTCGAGGGCCCATGGAGACAAGAGACGCCTGAGAACCGTGGCAAGCTGCTGGTCAAGCTCGCCGATCTCTTTGAGAAGAACCTCGAGCTGCTCGCCTCGGTGGAGGCTCTCGACAACGGCAAGGCTCAGTCCATGGCCAAGGTGGACATCAGCATGAGCGCGGGTTGCTTGCGATACTATGGCGGCTGGGCCGACAAGATCGAGGGCAAGGTCGTGGATACCACCCCAGACACCTTCAACTACATCAAGAAGGAGCCCATTGGCGTGTGCGCACAAATCATCCCATGGAACTTCCCCCTGCTCATGTGGGCATGGAAGATTGGACCCGCTATTGCTGCGGGTAACGTCGTGGTCTTGAAGACTGCTGAGCAGACCCCACTCGGTGGTCTCGTCGCCGCCCAGCTCATCAAGGAGGCCGGCTTCCCACCGGGAGTGGTCAACGTCATCTCTGGTTTCGGCAAGGTCGCTGGTGCCGCTCTGTCTGCGCACATGGACGTCGACAAGGTCGCCTTCACCGGCTCCACTGTCGTCGGCCGACAGATCCTCAAGGCTGCTGCTGGATCCAACCTGAAGAAGGTCACCCTCGAGCTCGGTGGCAAGTCACCAAACATTGTCTTTGAGGATGCCGACATTGACAACGCCATCTCGTGGGTCAACTTTGGTATTTTCTTCAACCACGGCCAGTGCTGCTGCGCCGGTTCGCGTATCTACGTCCAGGAGGGCATCTACGACAAGTTCTTGGCGCGCTTCAGAGAACGTGCTGCCAAGAACGTCGTTGGTGACCCATTCGCCAAGGACACCTTCCAGGGCCCACAAGTCTCGCAAGTGCAGTTTGACCGTATCATGAGGTGAGTTTGAGCATGCATATGACCTGATGGAGTCGTACACATCTAACGCTTCAACCCACAGCTACATCAAGGCCGGCAAGGATGCAGGTGCCAACGTCGAGATCGGTGGTAACCGTAAGGGAGACAAGGGCTACTTCATCGAGCCCACCATCTTCTCCAACGTCACCGAGGACATGCAAATTGTGCAAGAGGAGATTTTCGGCCCCGTGTGCTGCATCTCCAAGTTCAAGACCAAGGAAGAGGTCATCAAGGTTGCCAACAACACCACCTACGGTCTTGCTGCTGCCGTTCACACCAAGAACCTCAACACCGCCATCGAGGTTTCCAACGCCCTCAAGGCCGGAACTGTAAGTCGTCGTTCCTCGCACTCGCAATGTCACAATGAGCTAACGTGAGCGCACAGGTCTGGGTCAACACATACAACACCCTTCACCACCAGCTTCCATTCGGTGGCTTCAAGGAGTCTGGTATCGGCCGTGAGCTCGGTGAGAACGCTCTGGACAACTACATTCAGCACAAGACTGTGTCGATTAGACTGGGAGACGCTCTCTTCGGTTAAATGGATTCGACATGGGGGACTTGGAAGGCTGGAGCCTGGAATTATTTTCATGTAATTATTTACGAAGTTTACGATGAAAGTTATGTAACATTGAGATGAACCATCTGACAACAACAAGACTTTCTTTCCTGAACTTTCACTGCAGCAGGCACATATTCTGCTTGAGTCGAATGGAGTTGTATGTACTCGAGTATATCGTTGTGCATTGATGGTCATTGTGGCATTCCATCATATCCACTGTGTTTCACCTCTGTGGATTCTGCCGGCAACGTGGCCTACCGCATTCAACCTCATCCCTCTACACGCATCTCTGCTATTCACGCACCTCATCTTCCCACACACACACTCTGTCTCCATCATGGACTTTGTGCAAGACTTTGCTCGCGAACATGTTGCTCAAATCAGCGCCACCATCGCCCTGGTCACGTATGCCGTCTCTCGAAACAAACTCACTCCCGCAGGCGTCCTTTCCGGCGTCGTCGTGGCCATTATTCACATGCTCCATCCTTGGCAGGCCTTCTTCTGGCTCCTGATGGTTTTCTTCTTACTGGGTACACTCGTGACAAAGGTACGTACCTAGGTAGACATACTCTTTGATATCCATCACCACACTTCAAACAAATTGCATCCATCCACAGGTAACTAACACCACTCTCCAAAAACACAACACAGATCGGCCACTCCCAAAAATCCCACCTCACCCAATCCGCCACCGGCGGCACAGGAGGCGAAGGCGCCCGCAGCGCCATCCAAGTCTTTGCCAATTCCGGCTGGGCCTCCCTCCTCATCGCCCTGCACACCTACCTCCTCTCATCAAAAACCTCTCCTTTCATTTCCTCTCTCATTCCCAATCTCACCCCCGGCCCTTACTTCCCCACCCTCGAAGGCCTTCTCCCCATCGGCATCATCGCACAATACGCCGCCGTGGCCGCCGACACTTTTTCCTCCGAACTCGGCATTTTATCCAAATCCTCGCCGTTCCTGATTACTGCGCCGTGGGAAACTGTCCCGCCGGGCACGAATGGCGGAGTCACGATTGATGGGTTTCGATACGGAGGACTCGGATCTTCATTGTTAGTCTTGACTGCCCATGTCGCGTTGCGGAAATTTCCGCCACATCTCGAGAATATTCCGCCGCAAGTCTCTGTCGTGTTGATTGCGAGTGGAGTGGCGGGGACGGTTCTGGATTCGTTGCTGGGTGCGTGGTGTCAGGTGACGGTGAAGGATCGCGGGACGGGAAAAGTTGTGGAGGGCGCGGGAGGTGCGAGAGTGCAAGTTATGCCGGGGGGAACGAGAGTGCAGATGGGAAAGGATTGGTTGACGAATAATGGAGTGAATTTTGTCATGGCTGCGCTGTCGAGTTTGCTGGCCATGGGGGTGGCGGGGATGTTGGAGTTGGAGTTGGAGTTGTGAGTGAGGAAAGAGAATTTTCACAAAAATAAATATGAAATCGAGAAACAGTCCAGGTCTGTACTGTAGTATGTATGTAGTAAAGTAGTATCAACAAAAAGCAACGTAATTCTTTTTCAAAAGTCTGCCTAGGTACCTAGAAAAGGAGGCTCTCTTGGCTTTGGGCACTTCTTCCCCATAATACCCTTTGCCAATCGCCCCAGCAGCAACAGCAGCAGTAGCAGCAACACATAAGATACCTGTAAGACCCTTCACGTGCGTGTCATTCTCCCTCCCCTCCCCTCCCTTTAGGCTCTGTCAGGTATCGAGTGCCCCTTAGGGACTCGCACTAAAACAAATACCCATCCTGATCCTCATCCTCATCATCTTCATCATTGTCCACACGCTCCGGTTTGACTTCGACTTTGACTTCATCTTCTTCATTCTCAGCCTCATTCTCAGCAGTAGCAGCATTCTTTCCCTTGTCTGTAGCCTTTGCCTTGAAAATCTTCTTCGACGTCTTCATTCTCGACGGTGTGCCTTTTTCTTCTTCTTGTTTGAATTCTTCATCATCTTCATTGTTGTCTTGGATGGCGTGTACTATTATTAAGTGATTCATTAGTCGAGTATCTTCTCGCCGTCTTGATGATATTACATCATATATATGTATATGTATATACATCGCATCATATATCCACGATGTCCATATCTTTTTCCCTTTCTTTTCCCGAAAAGAAAAAAACTTACCAAATTTCCTCTTCTTCGCACGAAGAGGCGTCGTAGCAAAATCCTTCCCACCACCACCACTCTTCTTGTTGCTGCTGCTGCTGCTGCTGGTGTTGTTGGTGCTCTCCGCAGCTCCTCCAAAGAGTTTATCACGAAGTGGATACCATTTATCGCGAGCGGCTTTGGGAGTTTTGTAGTTGATGTTTTGAGCGACGGAGGACCAGTCGACCTGTTTTTGCGCGTAAGTAAGTGAGTTAGTGAGTGGAAGTTGTTGGGAAGGCGAAAGGGTGCTTTGTTTGGAGAGAGATGGATGGGAGGGAGGGTGCTGGAAGAGGGAGTTGGCTTACGGAAGCGGTTTGAAGATGTTTGCCGACTTCTTTGAGGAGTTCGAGCTCGCGGGCCGTGAGGGTCAGATTGGTTGACATGGTTGTGGAAGAGGGTGTGGAGAGGTATCACGATGGAGACTGATTAGGTTTTTGTGTGTGTGGAGTTGGGGCGGTGGGTGCGGGTTTTCTTCTCTGTTGTGTGGTTTTGAGAAAGGTGAGAAGTTCGGTGTTGAAATGTGAGAGAAGGTGATAGTTTGATATGGAATTCTCATTTGTACCTTATGACTCCAAGCGGCAGTATGGTAAGTGCCGGAGCCAAGGCCCGTGCAAGTGAAGCAGGTTTTGGTTACAGCCTCATACTACTTCAGCTCTTTACTCCCGCTCGAGATGCGTGCTGTCCAGATTTCTCATAGACAGTCAATAGTCGCCGCAGCTCGCCAGTCACTAGAAGCGAAACTGGTGCATTACTTGGAGAGCTTCGTGAAGACCACGCTGGTTCGACAAGGGCTCGAGCGGCATCAGGAGTCTTCTCCACTCCTGTTCACGCACTCTCGAGCGTCTCCTCATCACAGATTGGGAGCAAGCTCAATACTTACCTTGACACATGATTAGCCAACATGGCTTCGAGAGGCTCACCGCGCTCCGTCATCTTCTTTATCTTCCACCCAGGAGATTACTCGCCCACTGGTAGCTGCCCAGGAATACAGCACCACCGATACTGATCCACATGGTCCTCGGTCCCAGACCGCTCCAGAAGACACGACCACCTTCTTGCTTCCAAATCCGCGCAGCCATATCAAAGGCATTGACTCGCTCCTTGGACAGCATCATCCTGGTCTTGAGAACATCCAACGGTGTCGTGAGACCAGCAGCAACGGCACCCGACATGGCTCCATACAGTGAGCTCTCAGCGGCAGTCACGTCCGCAGGCTTCGGGCCCTGTCGCTGTGCAAGTGACCACTTCTTCAAGCCCTCCCACAGCGGGAACTGTATAATCGTGAATGGCACTTCCCGCATGACCGTGATGCCCCAGCCTCGATACAGCTCCCTCCACACGTGTCCCAGGCCATATGTCGCTCTCTGCCCCAGAATGTGTTTCAAGGCACTCAGAGAACTAGGATGCTGCTTCGCCTGTGCGCGCTGCTTGACCACCTCTGTGGGAACCCGCACCGAACAGGCGGCGATCTCCCCCAAGCTCGCCGCTGCCATGTGCACGCCCGTCTCACTCGAAGCACTCTGCCTGTATGGGGCGAGATATCTCTTTGTCCCCTCGTAACTCATGAAGAACAAAGCCGCACCCGGCGCGGAGCCCACTGCTGCCGAGCCCACTCCATTGTAGACGCCGCGAAAGCCGCCGGATGCCCAGAAGCCGGCGGAGGATTGTAGGCGAGTTTTGAGGGTGTCGAGCGGGTATAGCGAGATGTCTACCGTTGTGCCTGCGATGCCGCCTGCCTGGGATCGTGAGCTTCTTCATCCTCTTTCGGATATATATGTTGGAGGGTGTACGGTACGGTACATACGATGAGAGAGCGGAGATAGGGCGATTCGATCCGCAATGGCCCTTCCATAACAACAACAACAACACACACGCCCAACGCCCTGTACAATGCGAGAAAGACAGAGCTGCTTCACAGGAGAGTAGGAGGTAGGAGGTAAGTGAGCTGGAGGAATGTCGGGAGCGATCTCGGCATTGAGACTTGGCATCAACCTCCATCCTTCTCTTCTTCTACATCAACATCAGCATCATCATCAACATCAACATATACACCATGTCACAAGCACTGCCCATGATTGTCTCAGGTACAAGAACTGCCTCCGTAGTCCGACTTCATGCCGTTGACACAACAAGGCGAACAACAGAGAGTAGTGCCTCGAAAGCATTGCCAACAGTTGAAGTAGCCAGATATTCTGCAGCTCACCAGGTCTCGGTCTTCAGGAGTCCTATGCAGGGAGCTCTTGATTTGTAATAAACATGATGACCTGATCACAGTAAAGTATAAAGAAGAATGAAATATGCGACTCTTAGCATTGTACACGCCCCGATCCACTTTGCCTCAGACGTGGCAGGGTTCTTGTCAGTGTACAACAAGACGTACTCGACAAAACCTTTGTCGCCAAATAGACCCTGCCTTTGTGCTCGAGAGATTGCTGCAGTAATGAGGACTTCATAACTGAAAGAATCTCTCCTTTGACCTATTTTTGGCCTTTCACCATCAAAGAAGACCTCGACATGGCAAGGCAGTGGCAATATAGGGTATACCAAGCCCGCATTCTCAACTTTCCCTTTCCTTTCCATATTGCTGCTTCGATTTTTCATACCTGTCATTTTCTTATCACACATTCATTCAGACTAGAGGCAGGTCCTCTTTCAGCGCTATATCAGGATACTGAATTCCCAGCCTATACAGTCAGACTACTATGGCCGAAGAAGAAAACAAGCCCACTTTGACTGCGCTAGGCGCAGACTATGTAGACGCACAGGTTGCGTCCGCTGAGAACATCCAAGGTTCAGCAGCTTCCGGCGGAGCAGCCACTCCAAGCGACTTCAGCGACTTCCAATTTCCGAGTACACTCGTCAAGTACGGAGTGTCGGCGTTTGATGATGACGACGACGAAGACGACGATGATGAGGTTGAAGATGGGCAAGATCACGATGGAGACTTGGCCATCGACGAGAGCAAGTTCAACAAGTTCCCCGCAGAGGATTATAGTATCGCTATCGATCAGTCTGTTTTTGAAGACTTTGACAGCTACAACCCCGAGCTGGTCGACGAGTACGATAGTTCAGGGGACGATCTGAACAACCGACCAAATCCTAACCCAGCCCGGCCGCGCAGTACCAGTTCCGCGGGCAGGGCGTTGGAGCCCATAGGTACATATGAACCTACGCGGTCGCGGAGTCTGGACTCCTCCCTCCCAGGGCCATCTGATGGCGCTCAGGCTCTATATCAAAAGGCGCAGCAGCGAGTCACAAATCCGACGCCGCAGATCCGTTCGCGAGCTAGCTCGCGCCTCGATGGCTCAGGGCCGGTACCCGCTGTTCGCATCAACACCAGAACTGGAGACCCGGGTCCAAACCGAATGGGCAAAGACGTTCAACCGAAATCATGTGGAGTCAAACGTGCGACGAGTCTGTTCGGGAGAAGTATAAAACCATCCTATGTCCCTCCAGTGTCAAGCCCGTTCAACCCGAACCCGTCAGTGCTCCCTCTGTCGTCTTTTGAACCCGGTGTGACAAGCACCGTCGACCCTACAATGGAACCCGTCTCGCCGCTTCAGTACGGTCCGTCAACGTCGAAGGGTCCAAGGAAGGGAACTCACCAACGAAGTAGTGCTGTATCCCATCCAGCAGGAGATGTCATATTCCCGGCGATACCTTATACTCTACCTGGCAGCTTCAAGATGCCAGCGACGCCAGAAGAACTCGAAGAGCTGACGGGCATGGATCGGGAGACTGGTCTGGCCGCGGGTGCAGAGCTTGCCATTGCTCGACAGAAGAAAGAAGACGCCGCCAGATTTCTCAAAGTCCAGAGATCATTCCTCAAATTCGAGACCGAAGCAGAGAACATCAAACGCGCTGATGCCGGACAACCACTCGTACCAGGCAGCGACCGAATACCCGAAATCCGCGAAGAGCGCGCACAGTTCACGCGAGCTCTATTGCACGAGTACCATGAACGATACACCACAATGAGACAACAATGGCACGAGCGTCGTCTAGTAGAGAAACGACTCGAGCAAACCCGCGCCGAGCTTTTCCAAATGACATCAAAGCGAGACTCCCTCCAAGAAGCACTAACCAGCGTCGAAGAGGAACTCGACGATACTTTTGAACTGCAACACTCGAAGCAGGCCGAGCAAAACACGAAATTCCAACGTCTGCAGAACGAGTATAGCAAACTGAAGGAGGAAGCCCTCGCGCTCCAGGGCCAATACTATAGCGCCAGTGAAGCAGTGCAGTCCTTGGAAATAACACTTGCAGAGCAATCAGCTGAAGTCGATGCTTTGAAATTGCGCTGTGCAGAGCTCGAGAGGAGCAATGAGCTGCTTCGGCGAAGTAGACACTTGTCTCCTGCCCCAGAAGAGGGGTCTGATGCTGCTACTGCTGCTGCTGCTGCTGCTGCTGCGAAGAAAAAGGGAGAAATTTCCGCTCGTCAACAACAACAGCAATTCTACAACTCGCCTTTCTGGCTCGCTGAAAGCTCTCGAAGGCAGAAAATTTTGCTTGAGTTGGAAATTCGACAGGCGGAGATGCAGAGGGCGAGAGAGGAGGCTTGGGAGGTTTTGTTGTCGCGTACTTAGGAAATTCTTTTTTTCTTAGAATTCTACTACGCTAGTAATAGGGATACGATAATTTTTAATTGCGATATAGTTGATCGGGCGAGGAAGAGGGAGAGGAGAGAGAAGTTTACTCGTGCGGGACAGTAGAGAGCTGGGGAGGTTGTTTTTGGAGGAGGTGGTGGTAGTAGTAGTAGTAGTTAGTTGCATAGCATAGTTATATGCGATAGCTACTGCTGCTGGTTCAGCATAGCATATCATAGCATAGCACATAGCAGTTTTTTTTCTATCTCATCTCATCTCATCTCGTCGCCCCGCCATTCGCCATAGCTTCTAGGGGACTACCAGCCTGCAGTAGCTGCTCTTCTGCACTCTCCTCCATCCTCCTCTTCAAAGTCTTCTTCAACTCGGCAGCACGCCTCCCTTCGACATGCTCCAACTTTTTCCTCAACAAAAACGCCGATCGAATCAATTCCGTCACCTTGTCGGGTTCTTCCGAGATTTTGATGCGATTCGACATGTAGGCCCAAATTTCACTCTGATCGGCACAATCCATGAGTCCTTTTTGATGTGCTGCGAGTAAAGTGAGAGCGATGTTGAAGAGGAAGGTCTTTTGGCCCGGGAGACAGAGCCAGACGTCCCAGATGCGGAGGAGGACGGATTCGGGGAGGATGGCGGTGAAGGCGGTGAGGAACCAGGAGAGGGGGACGGTGTGCTCGGGTGCAATGTCCAAGGCGTCGAATTTGGCGGACAGTTTGGGGAGTTGCTCTTTGACGTAAGATCGTAATACGACATTATCTGCAATGGGAGCTGACATGGCGGTTTCTTTGCTGAAGTAGTTGGGGGGAAAGAAGGTGTCGACCATGTTGCAGAGCACCCAGAAGGCGTCGCTTTCGTCGGGAATGGCGAGGAGGAGGTATCCCGCGATCATGTTCAGGCCTTGCGTATAGCCGAGGCCGGGGTATTTCGAGACGAAAGCGACGAGAAGACGACGCAGTCGATCGTAGCCCTTTTCTGCGTAGTAGTCGTATTTGCTCGTCAGGGTGCGTGGAATGTCTTTGAGAATGGCGTCAATGTCTTCGGAGGATTCCGAATGACGATGTGCGGTTTCTGAGATGATCTGTTGATAGTATTTGTAGGCATCGGGCTGCATGATGGCCTGCGTATTGGAGAGTTCCATCCATATCGGATGACGGAACTGCATGGGGATGCCTCCCATAACGAGGCGAGTCAATGCCTCTTGTTTTTGTTTCCCACTGGATCCTTCATTGCCAAAATGTGATGCGCCGATGAGCTCGCCCGACCGGGCTTCCTCGCCCGCTTGTTCGCGAGACCGCAGAAGACGGCTCAAGAAGCGATTCCACTCCGCGTCGTGCGCTGTTTTCGAGGGTTGAGATAGCAGAGACTTGGAGAGAGTTGGGGGTAAAGTGCGTTCATCGTGCCGTGTGCTCATCTCCACGGGCTCCCGGGGCTCATGTTCGGATCCGTGTCGATTGCCACCTCCCCCGAGACCTTTAATCGTGCCGCCGGCAGCACTGATGCCTCCGAACAGAGTCGTCGTCCATCCCATGCTGTCTCCACTGGCGACGCTGTTCAGACTCTGCACATCAATGGACTTTGGCCTGGGTGCCTTGCTGGCACGCACTGTCGGTGGTTGAGCGGAGCTGGACCTCGAGGATGAAGCGCTTCGCAGAGAGGCCACCGCACTCTCCTTCCTCTTCGCCGTAGACTTGCCGTTGCCACCGAAGAACTTGGTCAGACCGCGAATCGTGGCATTCCCATTCCCACTCACTTCACGCGCTTCTTCCCGCACACTCGCCGCTCGACTGCTCGCACTCGCACTCGCCCTTCTCGACACCACTTCCTCGTGCGCGGCCCGGGCGAGACTCCGTCGCCTCCGCTCGGCGCGCTTCACACGATCTGCAGTCTCAGCAATGCGCTCCTCCGGCACTTTGTACTCTTCGGCCAGTCTCGTCAGCGCGGTCACATGAGCATCCCGCTCGGCCAACAGGCGACTCAGCTGTTGAATCAAGGCGACGGCACCTCTCCGCTCGACAATCCGGTCAATACTCTCTCTGCTCGCCTCGGCCAAGGTTTGGGGATTTCCGTCGTCGACGTCCTGCACATCAAACATGGACGGACGGCCGCGTCCATCCAGCAGCGCACTCAGCGGCTCACTCAGCGCTCGACTGCGAGGAGAGGGCAAAGCTGCATCATGTTGGCGTTCGGCATCCAAAGCTTGTTCCTCGTCAGCCCCGGCTTCGAGACTAGAACTACTGACTCCCTGCAAGCTGGGAGAGGTGCTTTCTGCAGGGTCGGGAAAAGAAGTGAGGGATGTCGTGTCATCGGCTGGCACCAGTGGCACTCGACTGGATTGCCTGCTCAGGACGGCGGTACTCATGATGATGATGGTGATGATGGTGGTGATGACAGTCCCTCGGGCGACATCTGCATGCTGCTGCGCCTGACTATACCATTCCTACGTCGACATGTGTGTTTTTGGTGTGTGCGTACATGGAAGTGTCAGTAATGGTGTGTGAGTGTTGGTTCCAGGTGTTTGTCGGTCTCGAATGGAACTTCTCGGTAGACGGGACTAGATCTAGGAGGTAGTGCCAGGACTTGATGACCGCAGAGTGACGATGTACCTAGGCTACTAGGTAGTATGTTACCTAACTTCCATATCCATCACTGCACCCTTATATCCCTATACAAGGCACATGTATAGGTATGTAGTAGAGGTATAAGTACCCATGCACAATTCTGAGATGAGAGAGGAACACCCAGTTCTAACTAATACTTTTTTTATTCATTGACGCGACAGCTGTAGATACTAGCTACCTTACCTCCAGCTCATACATGCTGCGCGCGGACCTACCCGATGCCAAACGCCTTGCTAATAGCCTAACACTACCTGACCATGGTATAAAAAACCATCTCTTCCCAATGACACCGTATGCGCCAGTAAACCTGCACATGTTTGTGCGCGCTCGGAAGAACTCATGCATTCCGTCACAACGCCCACGGAAGCTCCCATGTTTTCTATCCAGCATGTGGCGCGCCAGGGAACGCAGCCCCAAATTGATGATAACGCCGTGGATCCGCTGGATTTGGCTGGTAGACCTCTTCACGACCACCGGCCCGGTTTCCCATGTGCGGGACGCCATGACCTGGCGCCTCTGCTGCAGCCGTGTATTCGCGAGCGATCTCGCGAGCGAGAGCATGACGAAGTGCACGGCCTCGAGCGGGAGCGTCACGTCCTCGCGCATGATGAGCGCCGAGCAGCTCGGGAAATAGATGTGGTTCGTGCTCGCCAGCAATCATTCTGCCGACGTCAAAGGCGTCATCAGCATTATCACCTTCGAATAATTCTGCGAAGATACGACGGATAAGACCTTGTTGACCACCTCCGAAGCCGTTGTTCTGCGCGCCCAGGGCATGGTCGGGGCCAGCAGCCACTGAATCATCATCATCATCTGCTGCTGCTGCTGCTGCTGCTGTTGCCGGTGGAGCTGGAGTACCCGCACCGACAACACCAAGCATGTTTCCGAGCCCATGAGCGGTGGTATGAGGGGCTGTACCATCGGGAGTCACAGCATTTGCCTGGGTGCCCGCTGGAGCTTCGTGGTGAGGAAAACGGCCGGCGCCAGGCATTTGCATGCCATACATGGGCATATAACCGGCCATCTCATATTGCACGCCCCCTTGCGGAGCCCGAAGAGCATCGCGACCTTGATACATCGCTGCTCGACGAGCTACATGGGCCTGAACTCCGTGTCCAGCAATGTGGCCTCCTAGACCATGTCCCAGGGCACCCCCGATCGGAGTGCCTCTGCGTATCGGGTCTTGCTCCACTTGGAGGGCATCCAGCTCCAGCCGAACTCGCACTGCCTCATCTCGGATTATCTGAGCTCGACGTGCCTGTAGGCGCGCTCTTTCAGCCGCTACCCGATATCTGATCAAGTTCAATTCATTCCTTCCTTGTGGTAACGGCGCCATGTGATCTTGAGCTGCGAAGTAGCGTAGCAGACCATCATCAATGCCCTCGTTATCGTTAGCACCGTTCCGGAGTCTACCTCGATCAAATCCAAATAAACCATAGTTACCACCGTAGGGCCCGGCTTGCCGAGCCCTTTGCTGAGAGGCTTGGCGCACTGCATCAGACTCGTTGATCGCCAAGTCTTCCTCACTCATGCCTGTCCCCGTGTTAGCTGAGTTGCTTCGACGAGCAATAGAAGTGGAGTTGTTGATGTGTGCAGAGGGTCACGGAACGTGTGCTGAGTCTTACCTGGGTGTGCCTCCATCGCCTCTGCTCGTGCTCTCTCTTCAGCTTCCTTGATCTCACGTGCGTGCCGCTCTTCCACATTGTCATATAGTGGACAACGCTGGTCTGATGAACCGGCACTGCTCGAGTTCGGAGCACGCAAGTCACTTTGGTTGAAATGGGTATAGTCTTTGACCGAGGTAGAGCAGACGTAGCACTGAAGATTGCCGCAGGAGGGACAGTGCTGGGGCAGGATTAGCAGGTACTACCTCAGCATGTGCAATGAGGGCGCAGGCTCTCATGTGTAGAAATTGCAGTGACTCACCATCTTGTTACAGCCAAACTCTTTGATAAAGGGCTTGCTACACCTGCCGCACTTCCTCACCAATGCTGCGGTCATGGCTTCTTCAATTTTATGCTTGCTGTCGAGCTTGTGGTCCTGAGCGTGCTCCTCACAGGACTTGGGAATGTGAGAGGACGCCTTGCAGCGACGACAGCTGACTCGTTCGCAGTCAGGATTGGCGCATCTAAACTCGAAGTCCTCTTCGATCGGAGGTAGAATTGCTTTGAAATCGCAGAAAGGACATTCTTCGAGATTTTCAAGCTCGGCGTCCCGGATATCCTTCTCCTGCTGTAGCTGCGCGAGCTTTTCGAGAAGTTGGTAGTCGTCGATGAGGTGCAGCTGCGCATACGCATAATCAGCACCGCAACCAGCAGTACACATCACCGCACAGCGAGATTGACCGATTTCAGACTTGATGTACGTAACCATGCAGTCGAAGCAAGTGTAGTGAGCGATATCGCCATTGCAGTGGATCTGCCTGTTCATTGGCAAGTCATCAAAGCATGCTTGACATTCGGCAGTCTCACCAGCCTCCGTGGCTCGCTTCATGTTCTCATCTTCCGCTTGTCGCTTTGCAAGAGCAATGGTGCGATCTGATCGGATGATGCAAACGCGCCTGCGGGCAGCTTGGAGTTCATCGTAGAGCTCGGGGATGCCAGTATTGAGGAGAATTGTGTCTGCTGTGTCAGGAAGCAAAGCAGGTCGACCAGTCCAGCCTGTGTCTGTTGCATCTCTCAGCGCTGCGAGAGCCACATACGTCTGGAATAGGTGCTTGTGCTGTGCCATTTCTTGCTTGATGGCTTTCCCGGTCATAACAGGAAAGTCCGCCTTCAAGGCAGCAGCCATGACACCTTTCAGTGCCGCAAAGCCTGCGGGACGGTTTGCTCCCTCCCAGCGTTTGAAATCGTCCTTCTTAAGGTCGTTCTCTGCCTTCCGTTTGAGCTCAGGACTTTTGCCTTTACCTTGCTTGGGATAGCCATCTGCCTCCACAAGTCTGTTGATGATATTCTCGTAGCGGTCGGCGCCGGGCATAGGAGGATCGCCTTGACCTAGCTCATCGTAGAGCTTGAGAACATGGTCGTGGCTGGCACGGAGTTAGCAGACTACTAGGATATTGGAACTCAGATCTTGCGCTGATTCACAAGGATCGTCTTGACGGAGATAATGTCTAGTAGACTTACCTGACATCTGGAAAAACGTCTAGAACTCGCTGTAGGCACGTATCGCCAGTGAAAAGGTTCTCAATCTGTTCAAACGGGAAATCATTATGAAAACCCTCTTCAGAAGCTGGGAACTTGACGCGTGGGGAATTCTGACCCAGCGGAGTCTGTTGGGAGTCGTTCGGTATCCAGACTATTTCATCTCCAAAAAACTCATACGTGCCGTCTTGCTCGGTCGCGTCTGGCTGAGTAGCAGCTTCTGGGGATGCTTGGAGTCTCTCGGCATCATCTGGAAATGTTGGGAAAGCACCCGGATGTCCGTCGAGGCCAAATGTTCGTGGCACTCGACTATCTGGAGAGGTTGGAGTCGACGCAACAAGCTCATCATCGGATTCGTCGAGGTTAATGGCCGGCGGCGGTGCAGGTCTGGGAGGCGGATCGACACGCTGGACCTCGTCATCCTCATCGTCGCTGCTGACAAGGTCGATGACCCGAGGAGGCGAACGTCGTCTCGTGGTGGCCATGTCTGAATGTTGCTCAGGTGCGGAGAGTGGCACAGTCAGTCGGTGAGGTGAGTTGCAAGAACGCGCATGCAGTCCAGAAAGCCCAGATCCCAGCAATTCACAAGACCGACACGCGCAGAGATCACCTCGGAGGTGTTGTTGCAAATGTCCTGGCAAAAGGAGGAAGTAGTCTTTTCATGAAGGAATGTCAGAGTTATAGCGAGCGCTGCGTACAGGTAGGTTTAGCTGTGAGGATTGCGAGGGTGGAGAAGGTCGCCGGTCGGCCCAAGGACATGTAAGGTACCGCAGGTGCCTTGAGCGCGACTGTCCCTTGGTCCTGCTCGTCTTCTACCACCGTGGTAGGAAGTAGCTATGTTGGTAGGTAGGTAGGTAGGTAGGTCAGGTAGGTAGGTAGTTACAGCACGGCACGGCACAGAACAGAAGCGAACAGACGTCCAGCAGAGCGTCGCGGCAAGCTGGGCTCACTTTTTCGTCGGCGAAGACCTAATAACACGGGTGAAAGTGAATGGAAGCCATCCGCAAGCGACCTCCCAGCGGGCGTGAAGGGCCACAGTGACCTCCAAGAAGGCGGCGGCGGCGGCGGCGGGCGCCCTCTGAAAGACACCTGCGGCTGCTCGATGCTGTCGCAAGGAGGGTTCCCGTCAGAGAGGTGGTAACTTTAGAGTAGTGAGCCAACGCCAGCGCCAGCGGAACAGAACTAGAACTATTCCAAGCAAGGCTCCAGGGCTCTTTGATGTCTTCCACCTCACACGCCCTCACCGACCACTCATCTCGCGGCATCCTGCAGCGCAACACGTCCATTGCATGCACAGTGGACGCTTGTCTGTCGCAGATAGACAGACATGAAAAATGACCAGTGGGCAGAGCGCAGAGCGCAGAGCGCATACATACAGCACGACGGGACCAGTTTCATTGCTGTTCTCGTCTCGTCTGCTCTGCAACTCTACCGTCCTAGCGCTTTCGCAGCTGACGCTTCCGACCCAAACTCCATCTCATCCCACGAGGATGGAGGACCGGTTGACAACGAAGCATCAGAAAGAGGGTAGAACGTCCACATGCGCACCAAGGATGGCGCGGGAGTGTGCGGCCTACTGCCTAATCTTCTGACACCACGGTAGAACTAGAATACCCATCGCACTCGTCCGCATGCAGGCCTCACCGTGAATCCCTTGTTGGTCCTGCCACATGGTATCGTCAGCTCGATCACTAACCGCAGGTATACTCGTTGCCAACCGCTAACCGCAAGTCTACACGACCAACACGAGAACTGATCACGAAGGGCGCACTGTGGGGCACCAAAGGCCGATCCAAAGCCCAGCACATCAAGATCGATTGATGCCTCCCTCTGTTTTTCTTTCTCGTACTTTCCATTCATTCTTCTTTCGATAGCGCACACGAGAGAGCTGACAAACGTTCCGCGAATCCAATTCACCCAACGTGACCCAAGATGGGCAGCATCAATCTTCCCTCCACAGATTCCGCCGACGTTTACCTCGCCACGGCGACCCCAGAAGAGGCAGAAGCACTGCAACATGCGAATAGTTCCGAGTGGAAAGGTGCGCTCAATGTGGAAGCTTATCTGCGCCGAGAGAAGTACCTGGGTGCTCAGGATCTCACCAAGGATGGTGGACTGACGAGCTGGGTACTGGTGTGGCAGCCAGGGCCAGCCGCCGAGCGTCAAGTACTCAGCGGATGCGAGACTATTAAGAAGCGTGCACTGGTTTCCAGAGATGGCAACGTCGAGGAGGTGATATGTCATGGACTGTGCTCGGTATTTTGTCCACCAGCCTTCAGGGGAAGAGGATACGCGAGTAGGATGATGACCGAGGTTGGGAAGAAGCTGGAGAACTGGCAGGTTGATAATGGGAAAGCACATCTGTTCAGCGTGCTCTACTCCGACATTGGCAAGCAATTCTATGCTGCAAAGGGCTGGCATCCTTTCCCGTCATCACACATTACGTTGCCAGCGAAAGAGACACCATCGGCAGAAGGCGTCAGATTGCTGCACAGCCAAGATCTTGCGGCACTTTGCGTTGCGGATGAAGACTTGATTCGCGCTCGGCTCAAGAACAGAAAGGCAGGGTCCCAGACAGCGGTATCCATCATACCCGATCTTCGCACTCTAGCCTGGACACATGCCCGCGAGGATTTTGTTTGCAACGAGCTATATCACAAGACTCCATCAATCAGAGGTGCTAGGGTAAACGATGTATGGGCATACTGGGCTCGAGTATGGTCCGATCCCACAGGTCACGAGCCAAACACTCTCCACATTCTGCGACTTGTGGTCGAGGATGACGCGCTCGGCGCAGACTTCTCTCCAGCATCCGCTCCCGGCACAGAGGCGATTAATGCAGCAGCAGAGGGCCGCACTCCTATCCACGGCGTGGAAGCGAGCAGAGTCGATGAGATCAGGCAGTCCATCGCGAAGATCTTCCAAGTCGCACAGACAGAGGCTGCGAGATGGGATATGAAAGAAGTGGTGTTGTGGAACCCTACTAGCCTCGCATTGGCAGGCGCGCGTCAGATCAGCCCGAACGTGGTTGTTCAAGAGCGGGAAGTGGAGAGCATTGCAAGTTTGAAGTGGTATGGCGAGGGAAGTGGAACGGAGGTGGAATGGGTTGAGAACATGAAGTACGCCTGGTGCTGAGTGATTCCCATGTCTGTCGTCCACTCGGAGCGACCGGTGGGCAGCACTCGCTTCTGCGGAAAGGCACATGTAACTCTCTTCACATGATAAGACTGCGAACACGTGGGCAACATTCGCATGGCTGCCCAAGATTTTTCTCCATGAAGAAACGGCCGCGCCGAGTGAAGCTAATCAGTGATCTGCACGCGTGCAGGTCCTTTCCGAGCGTCGAATGCATGGGTAAGGAAGGTAGGTACAACGATAGCAGTAGGAATAGCAGCAGTAGGTGGGTAGCTAGGTACAGGAGGTAGTCATGTTCAAGGCACACAATATTCTGATCTGCGTCCATAGGTACCTCTAGAGGTCTTCACAGGCCAGGCCGTCTGACATGTCAAGCATGGAAGTAGGTGAGATGAAGCCGGGTAGGTACTGGGTATGTTGGTATCAGATCTTACGAAGAACCTGGCAAGAATTCGACCGACGTCTAGCCTCCCTTATGGCTGGCCGGGGTTGAAGGTGATGGTGCTGTAGGTACCTGTAGCTGTGCAACAGGATAGTGAGGGACTCGAAACATACAGTGACAGCGACAACCACCCATCACGATTCCGCCTTCACGTTCGCGCGATGGATGAGTGTCACTACATAGCATCGACTATAATGTAGAACTGACCTCCTACATCTGTGACGATCTACTAAGTTAGTTCTAGCCTGTTCACGGCACTAAAGGTTGTGTATCTCATGCAGAATCACCCCGCCTTGACTCAATCATGGACACTCGCCAACCAACCTACCTAACCTCCTACCACCTCTCTCTCTCTCTCTACCTACCTACCTGACCTTCGCCTCAGCACTTCTCCTCTCCTCCCTTCCTCTCTCTCTCCTCCCTTCCCCTACCCTCCTCTCCGCTCCGCTCCGCTCCTCGTTATTCCCTTCTTCCGCCCGTCTGCGACGGTGTCTTGACGACGAGTCCGACAGCCAGTGCATGCCCGCATGCAGGCCACGGGAGCGGTTCCATCATTGCCACGCGTTCCGCTCGACTTTCCCTCCTAGTCGTGGCTGAGCGCACCAAGCGTCTTTCTACCTTTAGAACTACCCTACTAGGGAGAACTAGCCCGCTTGACGCATGGTATTGGCCGACGACGACCTTCATCCACCTTAGCCAATACACGCGAGACGATTTATCCTTCCTTGGGCCGAACCATAGAATACCTCAGGTACTAAGCTTACCTACCTACTACACTACCTACCTACCTACCTACCCTACCTACCCTACCTACCTACCTGACTTTGCCTCACGGACCTACTCTCTCCTACGGCCGCCGTCTCACTTGCTGTGCCTGCTTGCTGCCGCTCTGTGAGCTTCACAACCTACCTAGGTACTTGACCCGCTACTACTACTACTACTATTACTCTCGCCGGCAGTCCCACCGAGCGCTCACTCGCTGAAAGTCGAACGCCGACTGACCTCTGCGGCTTTGCCTGATTGTTCTAGTGGCCTGTCCGTCTGTGCCTGGGAATCTTCTTCGCCCTTCCTCACCACTTCCACCACACCCCACCACCACCTGCTCGACCCTCCCGCAGCCGCTGCGCACGTGTTCGTCCCGCTACTGCACACCCGAACGAGCGAGTCAGAGAGCGAGCGAGCAAGCAAGCAAGCCTTGCTGTGTTCTCTCTACGGAAGTCGAGCCACTGAGCTCGTCCATTCCTCGCCCTTCCGCCAGTCCGTGCGAAACCACTTTCTCTGTGGAGCCTCACGTGCTTGTGCGTGAACAAGCCCCACCTTAGCCTACCGACGACACGAGACAGAGAGCACAACAGAGACATCACAAGATCGAGGGGCACCGAACGCGAGAGATAGCGCTTCTTCTTCCTTTCGCCCGCCGCGGGCCTCGAATACCATCACCATGGAAGATGGCGCGGCTACGCAAGAGATCTATCGCCGGATAGAGCGCGAGAAGAAGCTCATCCAAGCGGCGACTCAGATGCGACAAGCCACCGGGAACGCCCAAGTCGTGTCCAAGGCAGATTCAGAGATTCGCGAAGCAAGACGCAACATACAGTATTTTGAGCAGAAGCTCAATGACCTTCGCGACCGCAATGTGGGTAACAGCATGGGAAACCTGTCTCTTGCGGGGAATGGTGGGCCACCCACGCCTTCACATGGCCGTGGAGGCTCATCTGGTTCGGGATACAACAATGAACAAGGTCATGGCGGGGTCGCGGACTACGGCAATCCAGGGCCGGGTGGCTATAGCATGGGCGGTGCTCCTGGTCTCATGCCTCCACGAGCACCATATGCTCCACCTGGACCCGGAGACCGATCACCCCGAGCTCGACCAAACTATAGCAAATTGGGTATGCGCACCCACGCTAACAAAGTGGTATGTTTGGCATGACTGACGTTAGCAGATCTGATCAAGTACGACACACCTCATCTCGGACCGCGCATTCAGCTCATGCTGTCGCAGCTCGAATTCAAGCTGTCGGTCGAAAAGCAGTATAAAGATGGTGTGGAGAAGATGGTTAAGCTGTACGAGATGGCCGGCGATCGCAGAAGTCGAGGCGAGGCTGAACTCAGACGTATGGAAAGCAACCAAAAGATTCAGCTCTTGACCCGGGCGTTGCGAAGATACGAAGACTTGCATGTGGATGTCGAAAATGGCGCCGATGCTGCTGACGACGACAGTCTGGACACACCCAGTCAACGGAAGCCGCTCACAGGACACATGTCAGTCCGGATACACGCCATTGACAATGTGGACCATGCAGCTTCGGGTCGTTTTAGTAGAGGACCGGACACTTTTGTTGTCATGAAGGTCGAAGATGCACTCAAGGGAAGAACAAAGGCCACCAAAACTGACCGGTGGACGGACGAGAACCATGAATTTGATGTGGATAAGGCGAATGAGATTGAGTTCACAGTGTACGACAAGTCGAGCGGCGATCATCCTATTCCGGTCGGATTCCTCTGGATTCGTTTGTCAGACCTGGTTGATGAAATACGAAGAAAGAGAATAGAGACCGAGTTCAACCAAGCAGGTTGGAAAACTGCTGATCAAATGGACGGCTCGACACCTCGACCGGACTTACAGTTCTCTCCTCCTCCCAGCTCCTCCCATGGCGTGGGGGCTCCAGGTGGGGGCTCTTTGGGCGCGTCTGCAGCAGGAGGGCCCGCAGGTGCTGGCCTGGCGCCGCAGACGGGACCTGTCTACATCGATGCCTGGTTCACACTGGAGCCAGTCGGCAAGATTCATTTGACCGTTAGCTTCATCAAACAGGTCAAAGATCGGCGACCTTTCGATGTGGGTCTGAACCGTAAGGGAGCTGTTCGTCAAAAGAAGGAGGATGTGGTGGTGCAGTACGGTCACAAATTCGTTGTGCAAACGTTCTATAACATCATGAGATGCGCACTTTGCGGCGACTTTTTGAAATACACTGCTGGGATGCAATGTGCCGACTGCAAGTATACCTGTCACAAGAACTGTTACCCTAAAGTGGTGACGAAATGTATCAGCAAGTCGAACTCGGAGACGGATCCGGACGAGGAGAAGATCAATCACCGCATTCCGCACCGTTTCGATGCTTTCTCCAACATGGGTGCCAATTGGTGCTGCCACTGTGGTTATATGTTGCCTATAGGAAGGCGGCAGGCGAGGAGGTGTACAGAGTGTAAGCTTACCACTCACGCGAATTGCGTGCACTTCGTCCCCGACTTCTGCGGCATGGATATGAAGACTGCGAACGAGATTTTGGCTGCATTGAAGGAGAAGAAGAAGGCAGTGGACACCGCAAAGGGACACGGCAGGCCGATGCTTGATACACTGAGAGCACCAGGCAAGCAGACAGGTGGCAGGCCCACGCCACCACCACAAAATGCCAGCTATATGCCAACCCCTGGTCATCAGGACCAAGTGGCCCAGAAGGAGCAGGAACGGCTGGCTGGAGACAGGTTCTCCTACGGCAAAGATCGCATGTCCGACTCATACGATCAGCCACCTCGAACATCATCCTTTGGTGCTCCAGGGGCAGATCTTGGCTCCGCCAGTGGCCAAGTGCCTTCATCACCAGAGAGTGCACATCGACCCCCTGCTCAACGGACGCAGTCTTCGCAATCGACTGCTGCTGCTGCCGCTGCCGCTGCCGCTACTGCTGCTATGTCAGGGAAGCGAAGTTCTGGCAATGAGCGACCAGGTTATGGTCGAGGAGCAACGGATTCTTACGCTCAACAGCAACGAGGGTCAGGAGGCAGCTATGCGGATGGCTATGCGGAGAGCAAGCGTCTTCCGCCACAGCCTGGTCAGCAACAATCAACATACAACCCTGCTGACTATGCTGCTGTTGCCGGCTATTCTTCCGGTCCGCCGTATCAGCAAGCAGTCTCACCACCGCCACAGCCACCGGCAAAGACCTATGCACAGCAAGTCCCTCAAGTCCAAGCACCGGTGGCGGCGCCTGCACGAGCTCAATCGCCTTCTGTTGCGCCTACGCCAAGTGTCTCGGTCACAGAGCCCGTGGTCGAACAGCGAAAGCCGGCCCCTCCAGCTAATACTGCCGGTACTGGGCGTCGCATTGGACTTGACCATTTCAACTTCCTCGCAGTTCTTGGTAAAGGTAACTTTGGAAAGGTGATGCTTGCGGAGACCAAGACCTCGAAGCAACTCTACGCCATCAAGGTGCTCAAGAAAGAATTCATCATAGAGAATGACGAAGTGGAGAGTACGCGGTCCGAGAAGCGCGTGTTCCTGATTGCGAACAAAGAGCGTCATCCGTTCTTACTCAACCTGCATGCTTGTTTCCAGACCGAGACTCGCATATATTTCGTCATGGAGTACATCAGTGGAGGTGATCTGATGTTGCACATTCAACGCGGACAATTCGGCACCAAACGAGCGCAGTTTTACGCTGCAGAAGTGTGCTTGGCCCTCAAGTACTTCCATGAGAATGGTGTCATCTACCGTGATCTGAAGCTGGACAACATTCTGCTTACGCTGGATGGTCACATCAAGATTGCAGACTACGGTCTTTGCAAAGAAGACATGTGGTACGGGTCGACGACAAGTACATTCTGTGGTACACCGGAGTTCATGGCGCCAGAAATTCTACTGGACAAGAAATATGGCCGTGCCGTCGACTGGTGGGCATTTGGTGTGCTAATCTACCAAATGTTGCTTCAGCAATCCCCGTTCCGAGGAGAAGACGAGGACGAAATTTACGATGCCATCCTGGCAGACGAGCCTCTGTATCCGATCCACATGCCGAGAGATAGTGTCTCGATCCTCCAGAAGTTGTTGACACGCGAGCCGGAACTGCGACTGGGATCTGGTCCTACTGACGCGCAAGAGATCATGTCTCATGCTTTCTTCAGAAATGTGAACTGGGAAGATGTGTACTACAAGCGTGTAACACCACCTTTTATGCCGACGGTGAAGAGCAGGGCAGACACCAGTAATTTCGACTCGGAGTTTACTAGTGTTACTCCCGTCCTGACGCCGGTACAGAGTGGTAAGTGAAGACATGTGTGCGAACTGGCCTGATCCATGTACTAACACGTATCTTAGTCCTGTCGCAAGCGATGCAAGAGGAATTCCGCGGCTTCTCGTACTCGGCAGACTTTGCTTAGCGTGCTAATCTGAACGATATGGAGGAGCAAGACACGAACAGTGCCTTGCATGCAGACCGTGCTGCGATACCCAGGATAACGTTACTGTCACCAGGTCATACTGTGCCTCGCGACCGGGTAGATCGTGCGCCAGAGCAGGTGTGATGAGAGAGGGCAAGCAACACGACAGCGCGACAGGGTGGAAGGTGAAGGTCGATAAAGGAGCTGTCGATGAAATGACGATGATGTGGCTGTATGCAATGCCAAGCGATAGAGAGAGAGAGAACATGTACTACCTTGACAGTTAATGATTACCACTCTCGTTGTGGTTGCTTGAATCCTACATCAGTGGCTTCAGAGCGCACACAGCGTTACGATCTCATGGTGCATAAGAGGCTCGTCCACGCCTTCCATGATGGTCGACCCTTTCACCTGTGGGGTATGCATGCGAATGCAGAACATGGCGAGGCAAGTTGCAAGACCAATACCGGATTCCCAAACGGAACAGTAGTCACATCCAAAAAGCGCCCAATCCATTACAATATATTATAGATCACGAGCCATTTAAAAGTCAGAAAAAGGGAAAAAGGAAAAAACACCACATTTCTAAAGATCATTCATTCACACGAGAACGTGCTCAATTCTCAATATTCAACTTCATCCTCATCATCCTCATCACCACCATTCCTCAAAACCTCATTTGGCTGCTGCTGCTGCTGCTGCCGCTGCCGCTCCTCACTCCCCCCCTCCTCCCCCTCGGCAAAAATAAACGGCCGACCACCCTCATCAGTCCTCACCTCCCCAAACATCCTCATCAACTCCTCGACCGTAAGCTTCTCCTTCAATCTCGGATTTTCCATGACAGTATCAATTTCCATTTCTTTCCTCTCCTTCATCTCCATCATGGCCGCATCAATCGTATTCTCCACCACAAACCTCGTCATCCTCGTCTCCCTGCGCTGTCCAATACGAAACACGCGACAAAACGCCTGTTGCTCCACCGCAGAATTCCACCACGGATCAATCAAAATCACATACTGCGCCATGGTCAAATTCAAGCCTAACCCTCCGCATCGAAGTGACGAGAGTAAAATCTGACATGTCGGGTCGGAATCGAAGCGTGATAGGGCATTTTTTCGTGCTTCTTGCGTTTGCGAGCCTTGGTAGGTCACGTAGCCCCAGCCCTCGGAGTGGCAGACTTGGGAGAGGATGCGAATTACGGGGATGAATTGGGTGTAAATGATGATTTTGGAGGTCGGGTCGGTTTGGAGCCATTCGAGAATTTGGGCTTTGCAGGCTATGGTTTTTGTGGAGGGGAGGATTTCGCCTTTGAGGCCGATCCAGTCGTTTATGTTGTTTTTATTGTTGTCGTCTTTTTTGCTTTTGCTCGTGTGGACGTTGTCGGTGCTTCCTCCTGCATTTGAAGGAGTTGCGCTGCTGCTGCTGCTGTCGTCGCCATATTCGGGCTGGGGCTGGCAAGGAGTGACGGAAGTGAAATTCATGCCACACTCTGGACAGCTAGCGAAGTCTTTGTGATTGCGAGCTGCCGCGTTCTGCAGCTCTCGAATGCAAAATAGACAGACAATGTGAAAGCAGGATGTGACTTGTGGATTGTGCGGCGGCGATTGTCTGCAAGCACAACAGGGCGAACGCTTCTGAATCGACCGGAGGTGACCAGATTGAGTCAGATCTTTCATATAAGGGCTGATGTCGTATTTCCTCCCATGTCTGCCACCTGCGGAGGATTGGCCTGCGGAATGATGGAATTCTACCGCGTTGATAGGAGCTGTCTGAGTCGCGCCAATCACGGTGCCAACACCTCCAGCACCCGCCTCGACAGTATCCAGTTCCTCGTTCACGCTCTTGGACAACACGTGGCGAAGGTGGAGCAAGATGGAGGCTCCTTCGTCCTCGTTGACCTGGCGTTGGCACAGGGCATTGAGTTTCTCAAAATCCTCACGCTTGAGAAGATCCACGATGGAGTCTTGTACGAGCAAAATGTGTGCACACAGCTGTCGGAGGCGAAGGACCATGGTCCAGATATGACTATAGCAATTCACGCCATTCTCTTGCTTGGAAATCGTATTGATGCGTTGAATAAAGCGCATCTTGACAATTTCGTAGATTTGTCGCTCCGTGTCGTTGAAGCTGAGCCATACGACTGTCTGCTTAGGCTGTGGTAGGTCGAGTAGTCGAGCGCCAAACAGTTTATCCAAGTGAGTGCGACGGATCATAATCTTCCGGAGGAAGACAGCCAGGCGGGCAGTACCATCGGGGTCGTCAGGGGTGCTGAAATTCTCTTTGAAGATCTTGAAAGAACCAGTATAGGGCTCACGGAGGAACTTGAAATACGGATAAAACTCGGTGAGGCGATTCATAATAGGGGTTCCAGTAATGGCCCAGTAGTGAGTCGCCTCGAGAGCACGACAGGCGAGACTCGTGTGTCCCTTGTGGTTCTATTCCTCATGTCAGCTTCAGCTTTCGCTTTCTACCTCATCCCCGAATTCATTCGCGTTCGTACTGACCTTGATTGCGTGAGCCTCATCGAGCACGACCCGGTTGAAGGTCACCTGATGAAACACCCCCTTATTCTCTTCATAGAAGCCTTTCCACCACTGGTCCTTCTGTGCTGCCGTAGTGAGCTCAGCGGGTACTACCGCCTTGGGGTAAGATTTGCAGATATCATAGTAAGTCGTAAGGCAGATGTCCGCCTCCTCAATACAACGCTTGGCCGTTGCTTCATCTGGGCTCAATCTGAAGCCGGCGCGATGCTGCACCACTCTGTCTAGGCCATGCTTCTTCGCATGCTCTACAAGCCGGTCCTGCTTCTTACTAAGAGTGTGCTTGGAGATTTCAGCGGCCCATTGGTTACACAATGCGGGACTGGCCACGATCAGGGTGCATTTTGGCGTGCCCTTGTCACGTATTGTTTGCTTGCCATTGACGATGTTCGCCAGCATCATCACTAAAAGGGTGGTTGGTTAGTATTATTGCAACTGAAAGGACATAAGGATGACGAACGAGTCTTTCCCAAACCCATCTCGTCAGCAAGAATGCCTCCTCGAGGCTGCTGCGTCTCATGCTCGCGCTTGCGCATAAAGGCTGTCCCTAGTACTTGGTAATGCTTCAGGCTCGTCCTCATTCCCTTGACGAGCCAGTTACCGTCTGGACCAGCCTTACACGCGCCGGTGCCGTCAAAGGCCTTACAGGCTTCGTCGAGGAAGCGTCTGTCTGTGGCAGCAATCTTGCGGTTTTCCGCAGGAACAGACGCAATCAGCTGCTTTAGGGCATCGGCTCTGCGTGTTGTATTTGCAAAGGTAGGTTGATCTCCCAGTCCAGCATTGGCTTCAGTATCCCGAAAGACATTTGTTGCTGTGCCCAGAATGTTTTGTGAGCTGGTCATGTCAGGACGGTTGACTTCACGTGACTTTGCCTTTGCCTTTTCTTTGCTCTTGCTACTCTTCTTCCGAGCAGCCCGTTCCATCAGGTCGTCAACGTAAGCTTCACGAGGCGCTTTCTTTGGTTTTGGAGCTCTCTTGGCGGCTTTTCGAGGCGCAGGGGCAGATGTAGTACTCGAATCGTCCTCATGATGGGCAAGCTTTCGCTTAGAATGTGATAGAGCCCGCTCGTCTTCCTCGTCACTGTCCTCCGCATGCAAGTAAGTGTACTGATTAGTAGCGTCACTCACAAAGAGATCACTGTCGCTACCTGTATCTGGACCTGGCGATTGCTCTTCGTCTGCTTGCTGGTCTGCCGCAATTTTGCGCTGACGAGCATCATACGCAGCCTTCAGCTTGAGGTACTCGATCTCTTGCGTAGTAGTTAGTGTGCGAGCAGTCCTTTTCAGTTTGTAGATCTCTTGTTGCTTCCGAAACTCCGCGTCCAGATCTGCTGGACTTGGTGGAGGTGGCATCGTGTCTCCCAATGTCGCAGAGTAGAGCTCATTCTGCGCATCCCAGAGCTCTTCTTCGGGGTCGTTGTTTCCGAAGTTCCGCAAATATGTTTCCTCCTGATCGTGTAGATCCTGAAGCAAATCAGGAAGCGCAGCATTGAGGATTCCAGCGTCCATCTCATCCGCAGTTTCATTTGGATGATCGAAGGCGTCCAATTCGGGCTGCTCCAAAAAAGGAGCAATCGGCATACCCTCTTGCGGAACAAAGTCGCGCGAAGCCATTTGAGAACAGCGGGGTGGAAGTGCTTGCAGGATAGGAAGTTAGTAGCAGGTGACCAAGGGTGTGAATGTTGTTGACGGTAGGTTAGAAGTCCATGCAGTAGGTAAGTAGGGTAGTGCAGGTGGATGTAAGAGTTCAAGTTGTGTCCAGCTTGTCAAGAGGAAGAAAGATTGATATACTTCATCATGCCAGCACGACATTGAGGGTCTTCTCCTCGGCAGGCACATCCTATCATCCGTCCAGTGTGAAGTGAGTTAAACACGCTGCAAGGCAAGAGCGTTGCGAGAATCTTAGCAATTCGAGGTGATTTGATGACAAAGTGATTGAATCGAAACTATCCAGTCACGTGTATGTGAGGTGAGGTGAGGTGCAGATGAGGTGGAAGTGTCAGCGGAAGTGGCGGTTTATACCTACCTGATGCATAGTGATGGGCGGGCCGCACCAGATATATCTATCGGTGGCCTCGGTCTACCTAGTCTGCCAAGATCGAAACGGATGGATAGGCGGACAAATAGCCCAGCCAGTTCCCAGTGCAAGACGCAGGTTGAATAATGGGGTAACAGGTAGGTGCTCCCGGAAGCCGAGTGTATTTACAACACTCTGTACCACATGTCTTCAAGCGCATGCGTGTGAGGTGAAGGCATACTCTCCCACGACCATGGCAGCAGCAGCAGCAGCAGCTTTCAGAAAATCTTACTCCTCAAACTTGCAGCCTGTCCGAAAGCCACCACATCATCATCACCACTCTTTCCCTCATTTTTCTTCTTCATACTCTCTTTCTCCTTCACAATCTTATTCTGCTTAAACTTCATCGTCTTCGTCTTCTCCCTACCCTTCTCCTTCCCCTGATCCGTGCCACCATCCCCACCCCCTCTCCCCAACTTCTCCTTTTCCTTCCTCTCCATCCCCGCCAACATCTTCCCCCTCTCCACGTCTTCCACAAACTGTCGATTCTCCTTCCTCGTCCTCCTCACCTCCTCTCGAATCCTCGCCGCCCGCTCTGCATTCTCATTATTAATTTGCTCTGTCAAATGCTCCCACTTGAACCCCCTCAAATACTTCATATTCCACAAATCATCATGATAAAACCCTCCCTTTTTGCCCCCAATAATATTTCCATTCAGTTGTTCCGCTGCGAGTTTGGCTTCTTTTTTACTCGTGAATTCCACCCAGCCGTCTGTGAAGGATTTTTTCTTGTTGCCTCCATTTTTTACCCGTTGCGTGTGTTGTGTGTGGTCTTCGGGCGTCAGGAAAATTCGGCCCAGACCGTGAGGTGCGTGCGGTTCGAGGAAGTGTTTGAGAGTTTGGGGTTTCATGAAGGGTGGAACGCGGGAGATGTAGACGACGCCGCTCTTTTTTGCTTTCTTGTGCGCTGCTTCGTAGGCTTTGAGGTCTTTGGATTTCTTCTTTGGGGGTTTGTCGGAGATTTGTGATGTAGGGTGTTCATCTTCGGCGAGGAATTGGGAGACGTCGAATCGCGAGTCGGTCGGCGCTGTTTTCGTGGCTTGTGCGGGAGGTTCTGCCTCGTCGGAGGAAATGTCTGATGGATCGTCTTGTTCGCGGTCGAGTTTGCGCCGCTTGTTCGCTATTGCGCCACGGCCCTCTTCTGCTTCCGAGTCGTAGCCATTTCCAATTTCATCATCGCTCTCGTCGCCCTCCAAGTATTCGTTTCGTTTGCGGACCGACATGGCGTGTGTTGTATCTTGGGAAAAGTGATGTGGACTGGAGTATGGAATTGTAGAAGATCTCCAGTGAACCTTATGTAAGCGAGATGGATTTCAATGCCTCAGGCACCAAGACTCGCATGTCCCACTCCTTCACTTACATTCAATCCTGCTTCAATGCTTGGCGTTAGAACTATCAAGATACCCTATTACCACATCCTCTCTTTCTCTTTCTTTCTTTCTCTCTCACAATATGCTCCAAGCCAACTAGTCCACCCATCTGCGCTTAGATTTGCATAGTGCAAGCAGAGATATACTGAACAATCAAAACACAGGGTTGGGAGTTTCTCAACTTTTCACATGTATATCATCAAGACCAGTCCAAGAGAAAGAGAAGCAGCAGCACGAAAAAAGTGAAATGGAAATGTGAGAGAGACAGCAAGCTCTACTTCCAGAAAAGCATCACGTTCTGCTACGGTTTCGTATTGGATGTCATAGCTATTGATTGGCTGGACAGAGAAAAAAAGAAGGCTCCAAGCATATCTTACGTATAGGTTGCCTCGAAGGGATGAGGTGGTTGATTTCATTATGCCCGGAATTCAGCGTGGTATCCATCCCGATCGAGCATGTAATCGAAGCGCTTACGATTCTTCAAGACAAAGTGGGGGACATTCTCGTTGTTCTCGATGCGCGTGTTCAACTTTCCTTCTCTGAGCGTTTGGTTGGAAGCAACCCAGGGCGATATTATAATGGCGACGACGACGACGAACACTATGTACGAACCTCGTTATTGTAATACTACAGTCCTTCTCCTCACCGGTTACAATTACCTCTCATCCATTTAACACAAAAGTCATTAACCCACCGAGCCTTATTTTTTTTTTACACGCTTTTTTTATACGCGCTCAGTGGACACTAAACCATATCCTGCCCTCTCCCAAAAAAAAAAACAATCAGCGCAGCTCCTCAACAACATACTTCTCCCGCAACTCCTCCACCATCGGCCCATTCTCCTTTGCAGGCCGAGACCAATTCACCGGTTCCAACCCCTCCTCTCTCGTAATCATATACAAAGCCTCTGCCACATCAATTCTAACATGCGGATACGGATTCGTCTGTAACATACTGAGCAGCTTCTTCAACGTCTCACTTCGTATCGCGGGGACATCTGCCAAGCCGAGATAGACGTGTACAGCAGCCAAGATTTTGGGGATTTCGTTGGATTTGTGGTGAGACTTTTGTACGACGGATAACAAATTGCGCCATTTGAACGTGGTGGAATCTGACGATGGTGTGGCCGTGAGTCGCTGTTGGGGGAGTTGCATGTCGAGGAGGAAGGCGAGGAGTTCCAAGGCTGGTAGCGAGTTGGTAGTCTCGGCGAGTTGCTCTTTCATGATGGTGATGAGAGTCGTGAGGAAGGTTTCGAGGGTTGCAGTCTGTGCGGCATAGAGACCGTTGATGAGAACGTATCGCGCGGCTTGTAAGATGGATTTGGCGCCGAGCCCTGCGCAGGAGATGCAGCCTTGTACTACTGCTTTGAAGATGTGTGCAGACGTGTCGTGCCAGAGGGGTTGTAGTGCAACTTCGAAGTACGTGTGTGATGAAACGCTGGCGATATCTGGCGCTGTGATTTCGAGATCGAGGTGTTGACTGCGACATTTTGCTGCTTGCAAGCGGACGCGATCCAGTTTCTCCATAGATAATCGGTAGATATTGGCTTCCAGAGTCTTGACCGAGTCAGGATTACAGAGGAACGCTCGAGTACTGAAAATCTGGGAAGCGCAGGCGATGCATTGGAGTCTGACCAGAGAACCAATATCGCCACGCTCATCGATGGTATAGTCGTTCAGACCTCTGTCTATGGCTGCACATATCTGAGCAGCCAGTGCAGCATCAATGCTTGAGGCGTCTGCCACACTCTGCACCACGAGTTCGAGCGATCGGGCTCCGATGATGCGCCAATTGACGTTCATGGCCTGCAGCAATCCACACAAGCTCGTGACGACTGTAGTAGCCTTGTCTCCAGCCAGGCCATCTGCACTATACAACGATGCAAGAGCCCCCAAGGCCAAAGCTCTTCCAGCACTGTGTAACGTGCTTTTCATGCCGTCCTTGGACACAGCATTAGCTAGGTCTGCAGCGGCGATACAGCCCAGTGGGATTTGTGCCGCGCGCTTCACTCCTAAAAGACTCCGTGCCAGGTCGGGTGTTGTTACTAATATGGATTCCTCGTGGCGAGCCAACAGACGATCGACAGCGCGGTCTATTGTATCAAGCGGAACCAGACTTGCATGTTCGCCATGCATCAGGTTCATGCGGATTTCGTCACATAAAGCGGTGATGTACCGGGACAACGCTGCTGGGTACTCCGAGCGAAGAGTTCTTGGCGAGAAGTCTTGTGCAGCTGCCACGAGGCATCCGAACGCAGCGACGAGATGAGGCAAAGCATCGAGGTGTTCCTCGGCCGAAGTCTTCGATCTTTGAGCATTGACGATATTGGCTGCCGATAGTGCTAGACCATGTAATCGTTCCACGTCTTGTTGTGGGCAGGTCGTCACGTGCTTGAGCACCTCCATCAGGACCTGTGATGATGAAGTCTCAGGAGTGGATATTGCGAGTCTCGCGATTGAATTCGCAGTGCTCTCCCGCGAAGGTACATCTGCAGAGCCAAGACCTCGCCACCCGAGCAGTCCATCAAACAGAGCTCGCCAGTAATGGGGATGAAGTCCTGCCGCGGCATGTGCCACGTCTGTCATGGCACGACTCCTGAGACTCACGGTGTGGTAATCAACCACCTGCACGAGTGTGATACCCTCAATTATCTTGTTTGGGTGACGACCAACCACTTCCTGCAAAGCAGCAGACGATCCCCGCCGAATGTTGCCAGCGGGGTCCAGACATGCCGATAAGAGGAGTTGTGTTGCTAGCACTTGAATTACGGAGTCGTCCGAAGCGGTCCGGTTGCTACTGTGCAGAGAATTGGCCGATACCGAGAGCAGCTCTGCTGTGGTGTATCGCCGAGCTAACGACCAGATACCGAAGTTTGCAGCGTCGCGAATATTGGTGCCAAGCGTGCTGCCTGTGCTGGTACGTTGCTGGAACTGCAGGGCTGATATAAGCGCATCAAGGATATCAGGCAGCTGTTCCGGCGACCCAGAACGCTTGAAGAGTGTGTGCGCGAGGGCCAATGTGAGACCATGCCACTTCAAAGGATTTGCAATGGTGAAATCCACAGTCGTAGAAGAGCGCGGCATGTCCTCTTTGAATGAATCAAGTACGGCTTGGATGATCTCATGGCCCATTTCCCGATCTAGCTCCTGCACCAGCAGACTGATGGCTTTTGCAGCAGCGTAGCGGACTTGAGTGTCCTTGTCGCCTAATGCTCGCAGCAGGTAGTCAACGACGTTCTCGAGCACGCTTGTCGTCTGGAGGAAGTCCAACAGGATGCCGTTCGTGCCCGCAGACCGAAGTGACAAGATGGCAATGTTACGCAGAGTCTTGATAGCAAATTTCTTTGCCACAGCGTTCGAATTCAACGTCATATTCGAGTCATCCACGAAAGCTCTTTCGCAGCTACTGTAGATGAGAGGCACGAGGTGGCTGAGTTCAGCAGCGGCAGCTATGCCAGCCACGAGCCTGAGGGCGCCCAGTAGTTCGTATGTGTCCGTTATGCTGAGGCTATCAGTGGCAAGTTTGGGCAAGCTCGCTTCGATGAGTGCATCTGCCAGCTGCGATTTGACAACATCTGGGCGGATGGAGAGTCGGACAAGCATGGAAGCGGCTGCATCCTGAGCTTTTGTTGGGGATCCGAGGTAGGCCAGACCCACGCGAAGCACCCTCTTCGCCAGTTGCGGTATCTGGTACAGTCCGAGAAAGCTATCTGGATCGGCCGGAGTTTCTCGTGCTGATATGGAGCTCAAGTCGAAGGGGGCGAGGAGAAGATGGGAAAGCCATAGAAGAAGCACATATGGTACCTGCCACGCTACTTGGTCTTCCTGATCTGACTGAATGGTTTCCTCAAGCCTTGCTAGGATTGGTTCCAAGTATTTCGGCTCGTTGCTCAGAAATCCTACGATGACCTTGTAGTCTCGGACTTTGCACAGGGTATACAACAGCGTACAGGCAGCAGTCTGGAGATCAATATGTGGCGATGGAGGAACGGGGCCATATCGCAGATATTCCAGGTAGGCATCCACTATCACAGGGAGCGTCGATTTCAGCTTGGCATCAAGCAGCTGAGGATCGCCTTGGAAGGGCTCAATCTATACCACGCCATGAGCGAGGCTCATAAGAAGACATTGTCTGGGCATACCAGTTGGACTAGCCGATTAAGGTCGTGCTTCGTGACGTGTTTATGGACACGTTTTGGCGAAGACGGGATGGTCTTCCAGAGCACTTTGGGCAGTTCCGCTTCGAAGTCTGCCAGGAGTCCCGCAGAGGCCTTGATGAGCTTGAGCTCCTCGTCCTCGGGTTCGTTTTCGGTTTCGTTCTTGGCGGCGCTGTCCATGGTGTTGTTTTTCAAGTGCTGTAGTGTGAGTAAGCTGAGTATGTAGGAGGTAGTGTGGGTCCTATGGGGGATCCGACGGTGAACCTCTTATCCGTGTTGCCGCCTAGTAATCCTAGTATGCACAAGAAGGCGGGGAACCTGGAAGGCATGGATTCTAGTTCTGTGGCCTGTGATTGGCTCACGGACTGCACGCGGACCGTCCCCCGACCGATTGCGACGCGCCCCCCACGCCCACTCGACGCGTCTTCCGAATTGCGTCTACGCTGTCACCTACAGCAGCATAACATGATGGCGCAGGAGTATAGCGAGTATCTCGCCGCGAGCGTGCTGAACGAGCAGCAGCTGGTAAGCCACTTCATCACCATCTCCATGGCCATTTCCACCTTCACTTCGGCCTCATGTACCACGAGCTCCCACTCACGCTTCCCAGGTCAGCTACCGCAGCCTGAGCCGGGCGTTGAAGGTGCACAGCAATCTGGCCAAACAGATGCTGTATGAGTTCCATCACAAACAGAACAGCAAGAAGCCCGACAGCGTGCACGCAACATACCTCCTCGCCGGCACGAAACTCGAGGCCACGGCCAATGGCGCAACCGGGACGACCAGCCACGAAGATGGCGAGGACACCAAGATGCGAAGCAGTCCGCCGCTGCCGAGTAGTTCTTTTCAACGTCCTAAAGAGGATGAACGCGAAGCAGTGGCCACTAGGACAGTCATGATCGTCAAAGAGGAGAACTTGATGCAGGCCAAAGCATCGTTCGACACCATCACCGGCATTCACATCTACAGCGTACAAGCCAAAGGCCTTGGCGATATACATACACTGGCCGAGCGCAAACGCGAATTTGCGGCAGACCATGCATTGGAGGACCCATTGAAAGAGTGGAAACAGTATGGCGTGATACAGAACCCGAATGTGAAGAGGAGAGAGAGGCGGAATGGAGCACCTCCTGCCATGCCTGCGAAGACAAGAGACACTGCGCCAGCGAAGAAGAAGGAGACTGTGCCTGAAATTAAGGATGAACCGGCGAAGGATAAAGGTGTTCCCACGCTCACCAAGCAGGCTTCTACCATTTCCAACACCTCTGCCAAGACCGAAACTGAGCCCACAAGAGCTACGACGGGTAAGCCCACGGCCAGTCAGAAAGACTCATCGAGCATCTTCAAATCTTTTGCAAAAGGCGCTGCTGCTGCTGTCAAGTCGAAGAAGACAGAATCTCAGCAGAGCTCAAAAGCGCCTTCGCCTGATCCCGCCGAGGATGTCCCAATGACTGGCTTTTCCGACGATGACGACGATGACGATGATGGCAGCGCTGGCCTCCCAGACACGCCCGCAACAACTGAACCAAGCGGGCCATCCAAGAAGGAACGAAAAGCGAATCTGGAAGCGATGATGGACATGGAGGATGAACCTATGGAGGATGCCGTTGCAACACCTGAGGCTGGCAGAGATGAGGACGAGGAGCAGCACGATGAAGGAGCTATCGACATTCCTGCTGCTAACGAAGAGCCGAAAGAGTCAGTGATTGTGGAGAATGGTAGGCGACGTGGGCGCCGGAGGGTGATGAAGAAGAAGACAGTCAGGGACGAGGAGGGATATCTCGGTAAGTGATCTCTCACATGCTACATAGCTTTCGAGCTTACACATTACAGTTACGCGAGAAGAAGCTGCATGGGAGTCCTTCTCGGAAGACGAGCCCGCGCCCAAGAAGGCCAAAGTATCTGCCCCTATGGCTTCGACAAACAAGACTACCGCAAAGAAAGGTGCAAAGCCAGGGCAGGGGAACATCATGTCTTTCTTTGGGAAGAAATAAGCGTTATATCTCCGAACAACTCTCATCCCTACGACACATCCTGTCTCAAAAGCCTTGCCGATGTTCCCTGATCAACGACAATCTTTCTCTGTGTCCTGGCATGGCTCAGAGCATTAATCTCCTCGAGAGACTCGTCAACTCCAGTCGACCTTTTCTGCTGGACTTGAGCAAAGCGTGGTCCGCAAACAGAATTCCTCCTATCCTGTTTATCTCTCACCAGCCACTTCCAGATCTCCCGCTCAGCACACGTCGCTACCCCATCCAATGTCCTCGCCTGTCCAATATTTCCATCACAATCCGGCATGTGTTGCAACGCATCATCAAACACCACGAACCTCGCATCCTCGATGACTTGTCCCGCATCCCAAGCCTCTTCATACGAACCCAGATACCCCATATGCTCACCTTCCCTTTTGCTAAATTCCGAAGCTCGGAGCAGATAATTACGGTGCGGCAAAAACGTCGCTTCGTCGAACAATATGTTCAACGTCGCCAAGAAGCTCAATTTTACCTCTTGCTGCACATCACTCTGATCACCGAAGAACCTCACGACAAGCCTTTCGAACGTCAACGTGTCCGGGTTCGCGAGAATCATCAGATCTGAAAGTGAATTATCATCCTTCCAATATGCCCTCGGCATTGCCACTGCAGCATCAGAAAAGTGAAACATCTCATCCATCGGCCGGAGGATCGTTGAAGCTGTGGTATCCACATACACAATTCGTGTGTACTGCGTCTGATTGAACATCAAGACTTTGCCGTACTCAGCACTCAAAGCTTCCAACCCAAATAACGACGATGTCGGCACCGGTTGTAAAGTTGCCCGATATTCTCTCTCGGCTCGTCTGAGAAGTCTGGCAATGTCATCTTGGAGCGGCGCTGTACTGGAACCCCTTGCTGCTGCTATCCATTCCTGCGGATAGGCGAGAAGCCGAGTGGCGTTGGCGTGCAAGCGATGCAACGACTGAATATGTGTGAGAGCCGCGCAGAGAGATTCTGCATCGTACGCGTAAAAGCTATACGCGTACTGCGACCATGCGGGATCATCCACCGCAGCAATGGTGGACCCTGAGACTGGGTAATCGTCGTCGGAGAAGGAGGAGTCCTGCAGGAAGGCATGGAGGTTATATCGAAAATTCTCGATGCGCTGTTGGAGGTGTCCGTGGACACTCCAGAATAGCAAGATCATGGCGATGGATAGGACGATGCGTTCGTGGAATCTACTCCATTTTCTCCAGAAAGCTGTGCCACTGCTGCTGCTACCACTCCACGTCCGTGGCTGCTTCGACTCCTCGCATGGAGTAGAGGAGGAGGAAAAGGAGGGTAATCGAAATTTGGGACTATCGAGGGTTGGCCATGTGCCATATCGGCCTCCGCTTTCGCTGCTGGCGACACGAGTCCCGCGAATGGGAGAGGGGAACCATTCTTTGCCGAGAGATTTTGTCGTGTAGAAGGAGGACATTGTTGACGGAGTTGTTGTCGTTGTTGTTGGAAAACGAATGTTGCGGGCGAAAGAGATGTGCGAGTGGAAGGATTGAGGTGGGGGAAAAAATATGCAATGCCTCTCTCTTCGTTATCGCGCAAGGGGTTTGATGGGTTGGTATGTGGAATGCTACGCTCTTACGACGTGTACTCCCTTCCCCCAAGGACAGCACACCTCATCCTTTCGAGACCGCGCGAGACAGCAATCGCGAAATCTGGACTAGGCCCCTTCCTTTGAGGCCCACACAGCAGCAAACACGAGTCAACCGCATATATCAGCCAGTGCGCCTGTATCAACACTCTCCCCGCACAGAGACCATATACTCCTCATTCAATCATTCTTATATATCCTTGTTCTTGACCAAGCCTCCCTCATACAGAGTTGGCCATTCTCGGAAAATCGGCACGCGCCTCACGTCCATTACTTGTCAGCAACTGCTACTCGAGATGAGACGGTAGCGGAACAGTGGAGAAGCTCGGCCTGCGCTGCTTGTCAGACGAAGGGAAGGGTAGTGGAAGTCCCCCCTTTTTTTACCAGTTGCGGCACCACCCCATTCAGATGAGCTTCTTCTTCAAAGGAGCCTGCATGAACTGTGGGTACGAGAGCTTCCCTCATTGTACTGCTGCACCACAACTCACAAGCAGCATCGCACTAACATGTGCTGGAAGGAAGCTTGGCTGGGTCGGTCTCTCCGAATTCATCCCCAGGGCATAGAAGAGGTGTTCAATCACTTTCGCCAGCTTTCATCGAGTGGTGCCACCGCTACCACTGCATGTGGCTGTAGATCGTCTAGATCACCTCTCAATAATCTGGAAATTTCATCTATATTGAGTTGAGCCTGACGAAGTCAGTCGGATGGTTGAGAGGCTGTGTATAGATGCACCAGCACTTATTTATACCTAACAGGACATTGCGGTGGACTATGGACTAGCGGGGGAATACTAAAGGTCCAGAGCAAGATAAGAAGCCCACTATGGTCGACTGGGCCGGCTCTTTAGACAAGGCAGATAATTCTCTTGCTGGGTTTTGCTGAAAGGCACGAAGAAATGTTGAAAGGATGGATGAGGCCATACGCCTCGACTAAACCAATCACGAAGGCCAAGCACGGCACAGCGGTAGTGTCACTGGACCACATTCCCGCGTATCTCTGCCTCGGACCTTCGTCAATCATCACGCAGTGGATTTTGCCGCTTTTTCAATTCACTGCTGGAGGCTTTATGGCAGATTCTCGTCACATGGCCTTGCGCCCGGCGGCATTTCCTTACGAAGCTCATCACAACTTACAGAAAAGGACATGTCATCGACAACGGCTGTTCACATTGGAACATATTGTTTTCTTTTCCCGAACGTCAGATCACGGCTATTGATAATTTATGTCTCCCGTCCCATCAAGATGGACGAGGTGGCCCGTCTCCTCGAGATATTACAAGCTGGCCGAGCGGTGTTTCCCGACCAAACCTCTTACGAAGATGAGCGTGATTAGGAGGCGAGAGCGTGCGTAAATGGAGCCCAACATTCATGTTCGGCGCCCTTGCCTCCTATGAGGGTTGGGTGGAAAAAACACAGCTCGCCAACTACATTCGTGCCATCCTAGGAGACATCAACCGCTGGCTTAGTTCTCCCGTCCCTGCACTCTTTTTGATCAGCAAAAAAAGAGTTTTCCTCCTGTCTTGTCTAGTACAAGTCAAAGCTGTCAATTCCAAAGAAGAGATGACCGATAAGCAAAAAAGCGGGCTGCGAGGAAGAGGACAAGGCGGATGCTGATATTAGTACCAATTGTTCAGAGAGAGTGTGAAAGGACCATGGAACAACTTGCGGAGAATCAGAGCGCTATACTGATGAAGACTTATATGAACGAGGTCGCGGACCACAAGTGTCACCGCCTTGCGGGAAACGAGGACGCCTAGACAGTCATGGATCTTTAGCTCGCCCTTAACCGCAAATCGAAGAAACACGTCGGCGTCTAGACGTAGGTCCGAAAGGAGCTGCTCGGGGAGACGGTAACCGAGGGAAATCTGCTAGACTACGGCACACTAATCGACTTCATCTACTCCGGAATAGAGAAGAATAGAGATCGCCTAGTACTTAACTCCGCTCCTACTACCGAAGCTGACGAAGACAGTGAAGCACTAGAAGACGATGAACTAGACCTCACACTAGGAGTATAAATGGCAACGACCTTCATCGGTCTCTTTCTCCGCTCATGCTCGGGGTAGAAGGTGATTTTGAGGACCTTGATTGAGCTCTAACCAGGGCAAATGCAATGGGCGAGGAAGATTCTATTGTGTCATTTTCTTTTTCTTTGCGAGCAAAGCAAGTAACGGCGAAGCAGCTAAATAGTCAAGACTAAGATAGACCTGGAAATATATGGTGACCTATAGTTAAACTACCTAGTGAAAACGAACTCATCAAATAGTCGACTTTTTTTGCAGGATTTGTATACCTACCCTACCCTACCCTACCTAGTGTATGTACTGACCGTGTGTACGTCTCTCGTCAACGCCATGTTCCGTAATCAGGAGGATTGAGTATGAAAAATCAAATCCAGAAACTACCACCCCTGTGAGAAGGTAGATAAGGTATGTACATAATCAGACAATACCCATCTGTATCTTTCATCACTTTGCTCCTACCTACCTACCTACCTACCTACCTACCTATAGTCATGGCTTCGAAGGGCCTTCGGTCATTACTGGTGTATGGAAGGAGTTGGCTTCTATCCTTGAATACAGCCACCGTACGCTCGTTCACTCGTCAGCCTCAATGCATCTCAGCATTCAGCGCGAGAAATCAGACCATGCACTGTTTCTACCATGCTCCACGCCGCAAGAGAGAATGAAGAGGTCAGAGCTGTCGGCGTAAGTGTTGGAGGGAATCAAGTACGATTCAAACGGGGCGCTTCATGTCTATTTCTATTTTATGGGCTGCTCGGAACTCTTGGGTATATTGTACATTGTAAATGTCTTGAATTGGTCCCTCCTAATACTGCACACTTCATCAGGTTCCAGGATCTTTCACCTTCTTATCAGGGATGATTATTTTCAACATGTCGGGCTTCTGCGTTTCCGAAGTCTTGGCCCCACCAATCTTGGCAGGGATTGCCTCGTCGTCGTCGGCGGCGCCATCAGCCATCCCAGCGAGAACCAAAGCAATATTTTTGGCCTCATTGAAGTCTGAGATTTCGTCCGCGTATTTGAGAACCTGCCCGGGAAAACAAAACAGATCCTCCGTCTTCAAAGGCACGACTTGGCGTTCACGTGTCGCTGCGTCGCCTGTGCAGCCTGCTATGGCTTTGCGGAAATATTTGACATAGTCGTCTCTAAGTTCGTCCAAGTCGGACGACGGTGTGATCTTACCATCGAATCCGACGTAGGGCAGCTGTGAGATGTCGGGCAACACTCCGTTAAGCGGCAGCATCTTGTGTAGCGACCCACGATTCCGATCCGGATCAGCTTCGATGTGCTCGATCAAGACTGGAGCTTCTGTGGACAGAATGAACGGCTCTTCATCAGAGTGCGCTGCATCTTGTGCCGACGACTTCGCGATATTTACTGGCTTCAGATACTCTTCTGGAATCTGTGCCAACTCGTTGTGAATTGTAACGAATGGCGTAGCTGGGTGTATCACGAACAGATCTCGAGCACTCATGAGCTCAAGTAAGTACTCTAGCCACGCTGGCTCCGTCTCAGATACTAATTTGGAACTCTTCTTCGACACTCCAGAGTGCGACGCTTGCAGACGGTTCGTGAGAAAATCGTGGAACTCTGCCCACTTGTTTCCAAGGACTAACGTTGCCTTCGCCGAAGGTGCCTGATACAAGAATGGATATGGATCATCCGGACTTGCTTCGTTCTCGTTCATGACCCTCCCAAGTATCATGTCCGTGACCTTTGGTGGCACGAACTTGTTTGCTCCATTCAAGGTCGTTAATGGCACGTCTAGCGAAATGCCAAGCAGCTTGTTAGACTCTAGGAGACTGTGGGCGGAGTATCTGTAATTAAGCATGTTATACTGCAGATACTGGTAGTACATTGCACTGACATCCACCTGGGGCGAAAGAAGTAAGACATGGTGGTCATTGGCTTGGGTCGGATAAAAGGACTCGACGAAGCGCAGCGAGGCTTGCTCGGAACTCATACGTTCAGATGGAATGCGATGGTGTACTGTGAGCAAATTCGGTTGTAGTGGTGAATCCTTTCTTGGCGGCCATGAGAACTCGCTCAAGTATCTCTGTAGTGCGGGTTCGACGTCTGGAGGCAACTCAATGTTGAGTCTCGGCACTTTCAAGCCTGAGTAGTCTGCATTGTACAAGCTTTGCAGTAAACGAATCAGACGACCGGAGCTTCCGCGTGGCGCTTGGATGACAATGTCAATCGTTGGCTTAAACCACTGTGCCAGGCTGCCAGAGTCTAGTTTGGTGATCCACAGAAACTCTTCGTACTTTCCTCGTGGGATCTCTATCAGCGCCTTGTCCATGTCTCTGGCCTTGGCGCGCATTGCCTTCGTGAAGTAAGCCTCTTCCTTGGAGCTGTCGTCCACGATCATGGCCTGGGGATGTATGTACTCCTGGATGTGCTTCATGGCTCCTCTGACGGCCGATTCCACTCGCGCGTCACTGCTGTACTCGGCATAGTCTCCGCGCGCATCGTGCCAGTAGACGGTACAGCTCTTGTCAATGCCATTCAGCTCTTGAATTTCCTCGATCGATAGCGAGCTTCTCCCAAACACGGCAAAATGCGCAAAGCTCTTGTCATTCTTGGCCATCTCGCACGCCAGAGGAACTAGATTGGCAACACTCTTCAGTGATGCTGCGGCAAACAGCACGTTACGATTCACTTGATAGGCTCCCATGGTGTGCGAGGCCTTCTGAAGGGTGCTCCCGAGCTTGTAGAACCTGGTCACGCCATTGTAGTAATGCTGCATTTCCTCCTCGACCTGCTCCTCAGCCTCTGGATCTCGTGGCGGCGCTCCCTTGGGCTCTTTTGCTGTCGCCGCATCGTAGCCCTGGAACGTACGCGGTGGCTTCGGTCGGAAAGCGTCCGTCTGTGTAGCTAGTTCACCAGGAACATACAGATGCAAGACATAGAGCAGGAACAGCAGTGCCAGCACGGCCAGCACCCGTCGTCGGCGCCATTTGAACGGGAAGGACGCGGTCATCGATGTCGAGTGCGAGTGCGACCGTCGCGGGCGGAAGTGGAGGTCATCGTCGCGTTTCCCGAGCTCTTCATCAGCTTTCGCGGTTCGGCGCATAGGGTCGACGGGGGAGGATGTGACATGCGCTGGTCATGTCTATGGCATTTAGGTATTGTTGTCGATGTGATGGAGGTCGCGTAGCCTTGCGTGCATACAGATAGGTATGGACATGTAGGTAGGAGGTGCTGGAGGCAGGAGGTGCTGGCCTGGCCGGAACAACACCTTAATCTGGAGCAACAGCCTACAACAAACCCTGGCGACGTTGCGTCTCCAAAGAGTACAGATACCTGGGTAGGGCATGTTTTCTATGGCTTGGCAATCCTGCCTCGACTCATTCAGAAACTACCAGGTAGCTAAAGATAAGGTACGACACATGTGCATGTACCTTGCCTACCACCTTTCACAACAACAACAATAACACCACCACCACCAACATCGACATCGACAGCAACAGCAGCAGCAACAGCAGCAGCAACAGCAACAGCAACAACACCAAAACCAACAGCAACAAAATCAACCCTCCCACAGGCGACCACGATCGCCATCTACGACGAACTCGCCCTCACTCCCTCCATGCCTCCGTAGTCCTCTCCCAGGACCGTTCCATCGTCCAATTTCACCGGTTGTGCTTCCTGAAGCACATATAACATCCGCGCCCACTCCGTCGTGCTCGCATTCTTCCAAGCGTGGTTTGTAGCCCGCTGAATCACAATGTCGCCCCGATTCAAGAGCTTGACTTCGCCTGAGTCGAGCACAGCTTCGACTTGTCCCTCCAGCACGACTCCGTAGTCGAGGGAAACAGTTCTGTGCATGGGCGACGTGTTACCAGGAGCAATGTCGACATATCTGAGGACTGTACCGCCCGGAATGGTGATGCCAGGCTTCCGCTCGAGGTATTGACTGTAAGTTTGCACATCCACGTTGGAAGATAGCTGGACGGGAACTTTGTTGGTGGCATAGGCGAGGGAAAAGCGGTCTCCGCCGGTGCCAGCTATTTCCTCGAACGGCAATTCTGGCTCCAGGTCGTGGAACACGGCCTTGGTGTCTGCGTTGTGGGCCGTGATGTATCTCTTCGGCCGTGGTAGTCCGTTGTCGGGAGGAGATTGTTGCCCCGTCATGGTGAACTCTCTTCTTCGTACCGCAGTTTGCGTGGGAAGTGCAAAACAGGAGGAGATTGCCTGGAGCACCACAGTGACATACCGTGAGTGATACGGCAATTAAAACACTGCCTCTCCATCATCTACCCCGGAGGGCCCGCCCATACTACAGGGTATACATGGCGCTGGGGCTCCACACAAAGCGCGCATATCGCCGTACGCTGGTATGTATAGTGGTCAGTCATCTGGTATTTCATGACTCCGGTGGCCCGTTCCGGTGGACGTCCACATGTTCCGCCATTCGGATCATGCACAGCTAGAGTTTACACCGAGCGAATCCGAGGTATCAGATGCGGTGGAACTAGTGGCACGCGGCCATGCAATTCCATAGAATCAGGCTTCACCACTCCACTTCGACCCCGTGAATGGCACGGCACTTCTCCACGAGGAGGAAAGCGTAATGTGATGACATAAAGACGCGACTTCTTCCATGGCAGTGAGGGTATTGTCCAGCCGGCTCTGCCGAACCAGAAGCTACTTCTTCTACTTAATGATTCCCTCGACCAACTCATTCCTCCTCCAGACTTGAATCGCTCACGCATACCCAAGCTCACAGCATAGCCGGCAGGATGGCTTCTACATCGACAGAAAGCGGCATTTCGGGTGCGAATGGCACGCATACCACCACACTTGCATCTCGACCGAACGGCCAGCAGACTGCTGCCATGGAGCCATTGACAATACTGATAGCAGGTGCTGGTATTGGTGGATTGACTACAGCCATTGCCCTCCGCCAACAAGGCCACAATGTCAAGGTCTTTGAACAGTCTCGTCTCGCAGCTGAGGTGGGCGCAGCAGTCCATCTTGCACCCAACAGCAACGGTATCCTGCGGCAACTTGGCATCTACGCAGAGAACTTTGGAGCCAATACCATGAATAAGCTCACAGAAACCGACTTAGCCGGAAAGCCGCAAAAAATGATGGATATGAGACCCACGAGCGGTATGTGGCAGCATCCGTGGCATCTGGCCCATCGAGCACACCTGCACCGAGAACTGAAAGAGACGGCAATCTCGCCCAAGGGCCTCGGCCGTCCTGTGGAGCTGCTCACCTCGAGCAAAGTCAAGTCCGTGGATGAGAAGTCTGCTAGCGTTACCCTCGAAAACGGCGAGACTATACAGGGAGATGCCGTCATCGGTGCTGATGGTGTGCATTCTGTCGCACGAAGCTGCATAGCACCCGTCGATGTCAAGCCATTCAGCTGTGGCAAGAGCGCATTCCGTTTCCTGATTCCACGAGAAGCGATCAAAGCGGACCCCCAAACTGCACACTTAGTGGATGAAGAAGGCGAGTTGAAGATCTGGTATGCTAACGATCGTCGCATCGTTATGTACCCGACCTCGAAGAACACTGAATTGAACTTTGTCGCCATACACCCGGAATCTGAGTCGAGTGCCAGCTCCGATTGGAATCAAGAGGCCAGTCTCGAGACGATGCTGAAAGTCTATGCCGGCTTCGAACCTGCTGTTCTGGCAATGATATCCAAAGCAGACCCACAGTCTCTCAAAGTTTGGGTCCTGCTCGACATGGACGAGATGCCTATTTGGCATAAAGACCATCTGGCTCTGATCGGAGATGCAGCTCATCCATTCCTACCACACCAAGGCCAAGGAGCGGGAGCTGCAATCGAAGACGGTGCCACTATAGCCACCGTCCTCCCTCTTGGCACCCCTCGCGAGGAAATCCCAGAGCGGTTGCGACTCTACGACCAAATCCGTCACGGACGCGCGACCCAGATCCAGACCTTCTCCCGTCTCATCGGTTCCGACGATCTCGAGGGAAAGAACTTGAATATGTTGGGGTTCACAAACTTCAACTTCGGCCACGACGAGTTTGACAACTCTCGGCAAAAGTTCCGCGAGTACCAATGGGCCAAGGTCGAGAAGAAGTATTCTCGCATGCCCATCGCCTTTGGTCCCATGCCTGGCCCTCGACAAGATCATTATGGTCTACCGCGAAGCGGAGAAAACAGTACCTTTACAACAGCTTCGATTCGTTTCAAGACCTCTCGCACCGCACTCCAGAACCTCTTTCCTCCTGGTCGGAAAGGGTACTCCTTCAAATCTCCGGGAACTGTGGCATACGCGTCTTTCAGCCAGACGACATTGGGCAAGATGCAATGGCTCGGTGGGAGTGGGTATAATCACATTGGGTTGTATATCCATGGGGTGACGTACGAGAAAGAAGACGGCAAGAGTGTTAGTGGAACGTATTTGCCGATTTTGTTCGAGAACCTCACAGATCCGATCGTGAGTGGAAGAGAAGAGCTGGGCATGCCGAAATTATACTCGACCATCGATGTGCATCGGCGAGAGAAGAGCTACCATATGAAGACGGGATGGCAGGGTGCCTCGTGGGGATCCTTCAGCCTCACGGACCTCGTCGAACAAGATCCGGCGGCGCAATCCGGGAGTATCTCGGGTGAATCCGACGAAGGCATCATCGCTCATCGATATGTTCCTGCTGTCGGCCGAGAATTCAAGGGATTGGCCGAAGGAGGACAAGATGGCAATGCCGCGGGAGTGGACTATGCAGTCTTTGACCGATTCGCAGAGGCCGAACCCAAGCCCACAGTGCACAAGGTCTGGACTACAAACAACGCCAAATTCGAGCTTCAAAGCGGCGACTGGGACACTCTGCCCACGTTGCACCATGTCATCTCGAGGTTGGCGGAGTTGCCCGTCTATGAGATTATGGGCGCCAAGGTCGTCGAAGGTGTTGGTGTGCCTGATGTCAGCACAGCCAGTCGGGTTTAAAGCATGAAAGCGAGCATGAAGACAAGGAGTTTTTTTGGTTCGCTTACTTGGCTAGGTATCTTAGAGCTTGGAGCAAGTAGAAGAAGATCTTTATATGAACTTTTTTGTTATTCTAACGATCACGTGGGATATGAGTGACACCACCCGTTTGCACGCCATTTTTATAGGCACATACATGTATATACCTACATTATACGACGTTGGTCTCGCGCAATGCCCATGTCTCGAATTGCGGGGTAGGCCCCCCGCATACACATGGAAGCACATGCCTTAGCTAAGCAATGCCCTTATCGTCTACCGTTTGCCGTTTACCGTTTTACGCACTCACTGCACTGCTTGACTCAGTTGACTGGAACCTGAAAAAGAAGAATGTGGAAAGTTTCTACACTTTGTATACTAACCAATGTTATATCATCTAGGTACTTTATCTCCTATTATCGAGAACGAGGGATTATACATGGACATGATATATGTACCTTACTTTCCAGGAGGTAGAATTGGTAGAATCTTACCTAGTATCTAGACGAGTAAAAGAGAGGGAGGGAGGGTTGGTTCTCTATATTTTGGTTTTTTTTATACACCTGGTATTTTTCTTTTCTTTCTATATGACATGTCAGGTATTGATGCCCTATTGCCCCTACTCCATGGAATTATCATAACATGGAAAAGAACCCGGAGTCAAATTTCAAGGGGCATCAATACGACTGTACCTCGTTCTGTTTATGCAGACATTCTGTTTGCTTTTTCTTGCTTTTTTGAAAGCTGAAGGAACGAGTATTGGTTGGTTGTAAACGCTTCGGTCTAGGTACATAACCTCTTCAATACGCTGTGCAACGGCGATACGCTTTCCACCTCACCTCAACTCACTACCACCACGACGAGCACTCTTGAGAAACGTGCACGCCTTCACACCCCGCGCGAGATCATCTGCTCCAAATGTACCTAGTAGGTATCTTCGAAATGCCGAAAGATAAAAACTACGAGGTACCTTGCCAACTCGAATCAGATCGCGAAACCCGTAAGAAAAGCTTTACCACACCCTCCCTGACCCAACCCGCAACAGCTCTCTTCACCGCTCAGCCCCCCCAAACCCATAAAGCGGCCTGCCCATGCGATTCAACACAAACACCACATCCGTCACACACACCGTCTTGCGGTCCGAGAGTTCCACGACGGCACAAATGTCCTTCAACAGCGCTTCTAGTCGTTTGCGAAGGACGAGTCTCGTCTCGTCGTAAATGGTCGCTTGAATACGTTTGACGCCGCCGCGGCGCGCGAGGCGGCGGATGTCGCCTTTCGTAACGCCTTGAAGGTTATCGCGAAGGACCTTTCTGTTTTTTGGGGGGATATTTGTTAGATTTTCTTCCTGTTTTCTTTTGATATATATATATATATATATATATGAAGACGAGAAAGAGATAGGATGGGGACAGGGGATGGAAAGGGAAATAGGGAAGAGGGAAGTGGAATAACAAACATGACAACAAGATCAAAATAACAAACATAAAGATCACAAAACAAACATACCGATGTCTCTTCGGCCCCATCCCAACTCCCAACCCCCTTCCACCAGCCCAAGACCCTCCCGCATCAGTCGTCGTCTTCCCCCCAAACCCTTGTTTCCCCCCACCAGGAGTCGCGAAACCCGGTCGTCGTACACCAGCACCAGCACCAGCACTCCCCGCAGTAGACGGGAATTCTCCTCCTGCTGCTGCTGTTCCTCCTCCTCGAGCTTTACCGCTAGACGAGGCAGATGCAGCCAGATGAGGTAGATCCGACTGGAACAGCGGTGTAGCACCTGTTGGGGCGTTGTTGTGATTGTTGTTGTTGTCGTTAGTGTTGCTGGTGTTGCTAGGTCGGAATCTTGCCATTGTGTGTTTGTGTGCGTGTGTGCCTCTAGTGCGGTATGCAGTTCAATGCTCGTGTAATGCTCATGTAATGCTTGATGAAGGGCGGTCGGCTGGGGACATGTACATGTACATGTAGGTAGGTGTAGGTGGTTAAGGTATTACCTAGAATTATATTGGGATGTTGTGCCTCATTCTATACATATATTTGGGGTAGGAGGTATGTACGGTGGGTCTGTCTGGTGGGGCGACTACTGGGGTAGACGCGCCTGCTGCCTAAGGCCCTAAGACGCGTACGTGAAGCCCAGAAGAGCGCGTATAGGTTGTGGATATGCACGTGCGACATCGTGGCTCACAAATGGCTTGTGGATATCGAAATTCGATTTGCTAAAATTCAGGTACCGTGTCCTCCGGGATCCTGTTCTTCACTCCATTCATTTCACTCAAACAACGTCAAAGATGCACAAAAGATGACAGAAGAGATGGAGGAATCGGCCGTGATGGACAGTGTGACGATCTCGCGCCATATGCAGTGAGTGGTCTTCACCTACAATTCAAATATGAAGCAATACACTCCGAAGAAGCGAAAGAATCAGACAACTCCCACAAATCCACTGGTCTCACACCCTTTTCGCTCAGCAGCTTCTGTCGGCATACCAACAACATCCCATCCTCGAGATGTTGCAGGAATGATATCCCCAGCCAGAACCCTCGGTGACAAGAATGCAAGCACTCTACCCGTTACTCAGAAATCGATCCTCGCCCTGCCACAAGGCGGACCCAGTCCTGAAGCCAGCGCTATTCCGGAAGCCATACGTCATGCCGTAATTCATCAATCATGCCGAGAAGAGAAAAGAGAGAAATAATATGAACCCCCTCTTCGAGCCATCGTCCAATGGTTTCAGGCCATGTCCGGCTCTTCCCGACCACACTATTCATTGCAACCTGCCGCATCGGAGCCTATCCTTGCCGCGAGTATGGCTTGTTCATGGCCGCGATTTCTCGTGCAATGGTCGCCCATTCGAGTTCTCGGCGTATGGGCTTGCCGCGCTGGATGCACTGGAGCTCTTCCCACTTCAAGAGTTCGTACCTGTGTACGATTAGTGATGATATTCTGCTGTGTATCGGAGATGCAAACTTACGCAAATCGTAAATGCGGTTGAATGATCACGTTCAGTCGTCTTGCTCTTACAAAACAGTATGCGCGAGGAAATGACAAGCCCAGCTCGTTCATCACCTCAGCAATGCATATCGTCGCAGATCGAGAAACGCCAACTCGACAATGCACGAGCGTCGCTGTGCCTTTCTTTCGGCCGTTCTCTGCATTGGTTATCAGCATATGCGCAGCCATGCACTTGAGAACAAACGACACTCACCGATGAACTCCAAACAACGATCAAATTCTTCTGTGAGCGGATCGACGCCATTGTCCTGGACTTTGTCGATATACTTCAGATTCTCTTGCGGCCACGACTCCATGGCCTCGCGTGTCCAGCTGACAGGCTCTCCAACGCTGAGGATCTGGCCAATGCCCAGCTCCTGCAACAGTTGAGGATTATTAGCATGGCCCAAGTTTCCGAGATACATGTACGGCAGTATTCGGCTAGGAAGCGAGCCATCAATCTTGTCCAGCCAATCAGGGTGGGGCGGTGAAAGCTCTCGAATTTCGCCAGAGTAGGCTGGCGAGGCCTGGAGGATGCGTGGCTGTATGTTGCGCAGTAGGTGCACGTCCGAGCTGTAAGCAAAGAAGTTCCTGCCCTTTTCGCGGTGCAACTGCAACCACGCATCATGGACAGGAGCGCAGTTTGCATACATGTAGTATGCCAGCGCCAGCAGAGAGGATTCTGTGTAGCCATCGGTACAGTGAATAAGCACCTTTCTGCCCGGTTGCCTGTGACGCTTCGATGCTTCCATGGGGCTGTCTCCGTCTGAATCCAGCTCTGGCATCAGCGAGAGCTTACTATCCCTCCGCTTCTTGGCTTCTGGCCCAGAGTTGGCCTGCTTGTAGATCCACTGGCATGTTGCCAAAAGCCCGTCAACTTCGGCGTGAGACCAGGTAGGTGGCAGAATCGCTCCAGAACCGGGAAACTCCAGCTGATTAAGCAGACTGTCCGCGGATGATGGCTTCTTGCTCCGCTGCTCGAGCACCTCTTCGAGATATTTAAAGGCCTTTGCTTCGGGAATCTGGGCCACATCGCTGCATTCAACGAGCAGGTCAAAGTGCAGCTGCTCTTCACTCAGACGCAGTCCCTCTTTGCCCAGACACACGTTGGGGTCCGGCGTAGGCCCGAGCCAGACATTTGGCGCTATTTCGCTAGGCGCCGACATTGAGCACATTTCCAACCTTTCCCAGTGAAAGAAGTCCATGACTTTGCCAGTCATGCAACCTTCGCCGTCGAGCTGCACCAGGTCTGGATGATCACACTCGACAACTTCCCATGTATCTGGAGCTCAGTCAGCCTGGCATCGGTCTCAGGAGTTCGCTTACAGTACTCACCATGCAGGATAAAAGTATTGAACAGACGGCCAGTGGTATTGGTACCCTCGGTCTTCTTCTGCCAAGCGGTTTGCGCGCGTGCCATTCGCTTCGCAAGCTTCACAACATGGTCTCTCGGCGTCTTCGCGTCACCATATACGATGATATCGCTGACGGTGGCCATTTTGCAAGTCTGGATTTGGAAGTTTCGCACATTGAAGCCCTCTTTTGGATCGGCTTCTTGGAACTCTGGCTCCTCGTGCTGTCGCCCTGTGGCCAGCGGCTTGAGCACCTCTTCCGGCGCAATTGCGCCCTTGATCCTACTGTGCGTGAGGTCTCCTCCAGCCTTCACGACAGTGATGCCACGAATGCATTTAGGAGTTCGCCGCTGCGACTTCTTTCGCGCGATGAAGAAGGCCAGCTGCAGCTGGTTCTCGGCATGTAAGCCGTGAAGCCACGGGAACACCTGTTTGGCCGAAGGTAATGGCTGCGAAGCCAAGTAGTCTAGCGACTTGGACAGCTTCTCGGCTGTCATGGAATAGATGGGCGGGTCATTGGACACCTTCTCGAAGCCATTGGGCGGGTAGGTCAGCGAAGAGGTGTCTATCAGTTGCGATGGCGACGGAGGTGACGCCGGTGGAGTGTCGAAGCCACGCGACGCCGGGCATGGTCCTGGGGAGCAGAAGGGAATATGTTTGTTGGGAACGGGCGCAGGTGTCCCTCGCTGGGTGGTGTTGATTTGCAGTTGCGGCGGTGGTGTGCTGCTTCTCAGGCTCTCGAGCGGCCTGGCCATCACACTGGCGGACATCCTTCACATGGGCGGGGTTGATGACTGACGTCGCGTAATTCCGGTGGGTAGGTGCCCGGACGAGATCAGACAATGCGAGGCGGGCGGTAGTGGGTTACAGAAGAAGAGGGTCTGGGAAGGTGCGGTAGTCAATGGGTCGTTGCTTCTCCGTCGCGGGTGTTTGGGGGCGGCGTGGAATGTAAGGTATCAGGACTCAAAATATGCGATAGAGAGAGCAGGCGGGCAGGCAGTCCGCTTCTACTCGCCGCAGCAACGTCGTATAGTACAAGAATAACCGAAAGTCGCACAGTGCAAGCTGGACAGCGGAGCGGTGGCGAGGTGGTGTCGGTGGTCAATGGCGAGGCAGCGAGTCGTGGAGGAGAAGTGCACAGAGAGCGCGACGGGACAGAGAGATAGAGAGTGAGTGGAATTGCGCGCAATTGCATTTCTGGAGGCGTGAGGGTGAGGCAGAGGTGCAGGCCAGGCCAGCCCAAGCCCACGTCCATCCAACAACAGCACAGTGGGCACAGACTACAGTGCACAAAGCACAGGCAGCACAGCAGCAGCAGCATCATGGGAGGCCCAGGGACGGGCGGCAGCTATCCATCCATGCCATGCAAACCATGTGCTTGTGTTATCATCGTCCAACAAATCACGTCGTTCGTTTCAGAAGTAGCGGATGCGGGGGCACAGGCGTTTCCAACTCGGCGATCGCTTCTAACTTCTCGGAGACCCTCCGTCACTGCACTGCACTGCACTGCTGCTGGCTGCTGCTTTGCTGTCCCTCCTTCGGTCACGCTGTTGGCTGTATACAGGACCACCGGAGGCAGAGGCAGGTAGGTCTGTTGCTTTTTTGGCGACTCTTTGCCACCACTCACCCCCCTCCTTCACTTTCCTCTATTCGCACCCTCACAGCACACCAGCGCATGCATCCGCCAAAGCAGTAAGCGCCACCGTGCCTCTTGTTCGGCAAGAAGCGCATGCCGCCGCCGCCGCCGTTGCCAGGCTGGTCCTGGATCATGTTGCTCCCGGGAGTCAGCCAACAATTGATTTTAACCTTCTCACGAATGCACTACCTTCAAGAGGCTTTAGTACCTTATACATGCACATTCATTTTACTATAGCTCTGTACACGTTGAAACGACGTGCAAGGACGATGAGGATGATGTCGCGGAACCAGGATCTGCTCAGCCATACCTCCTCACTGGCCCAGATCTCCCCCCAGCGGCCCTGCTGCCGCAAACTATGATAGGATGGCTCGCCGTTCTGCCCTCGTCGCAAATCAGAAATGCATGGCATCTGCAGCACTCCCAGCACACCAGTGGAGTGCAATATGGCACGAAACCTATCGGGCACCTCGTACAAGCGACGTCTAGCTATCTCGATCTGACCCCGTTGCACAGAGCCGTCTCCTCTTCTGCCGGTACTTTTTACATACACACGACGCGTTGCAGATAAGACCCTTCCCTTCTGCCCGATGCGCCTGTCTTTTGTATCAGCACTCCCGTGCTTGCGCAAGTGCCAAGCGGCAAGGCGAGGCGCGCATGGGACCCTAGCGTTGCAGCTAGAAGCCCTGGGCGCATTCACTCGGCACAGGCTTTTTGAGCCTCTGCCAGCAACGCGACGAGGTACCTACTACTACCTAGTCCACTACCTTATAGCAGTAGGCGATCCAGAGACGACATGTAGAGCTTCCCGCTCGCTTGCATTCATCGTACTTGGGTGTGTACCCAACCAGCGACCAACGATATGTCATCGATGATGAGAATGCTCGCCTCGATGCAAAGATGCTATTATTCCGTGGTATGTATATGTACCGTTCATAGCAGAGACGTGGTTGCGTGGTACTAGGTCTTACAGCATCCGCTGGCGCGAAGCTCGGAATCATCGACGATGCTAATAACGATCTCGGGGACGGCTGATGAAGGCAATGCTAATCATCACAGAAGAAGCTGCTTCAGAAGGAGCGCTGATAAGGACACCAGTCCGAGCTCGAGACATTTCTACAGCATCCAAAGAGTGCGAAGACGCTCACTTCAGCTGATCTTCCAACACGAGTATACCACCCAAGACTTCGGCTAGTACTGCGCTATGCCCCCCTTCAACGCAGTGGTGCTGCTAAAAATACGGAAAAGACTGCCACTTGCTCGCGTTCGTACTATCTCGCGCTCGCTACAGTAGTATATGCCGTCCCAGAAGCTGACTGCTCATCACACGCATTCTCGTCCCGTATCAACAGTGTCCCCACAGGTCCGGAGAAGTGGCAGTCGCGTCGTCCGGATAGCCTGCGAAGTAGATAGATGGATGCGTGGGATCAGGGCCTGAGAATGTCGTGTTCTTTGTCTATAGCGTAAGCATTACATCAAATACGGAATGCTTATGAGAGTGAGGATGGTGGGTAGGTACCTAAGGTAGGTATATATAGAGTCGAGGCGATTGGAAGTGAAAAAGCGAAAGTGGTGGGGTGGGCATATGATTGCCAAGATTGTCCGCCCACACGGACACGGACCGGACTCCCGCCCGCTCAGACTTCGACTCAGCTTCTTCCTGCTTTCTTGGATCAGCCAGCTTCATCGTTCCTCGCCATGGCGTTCAGAAAGCGCAATATTGCTGTAGGCAGGCAGAACGCCACTGCGCCAGGCGACGCTGCTCCCGAGAGCATTCCTGGCGTCCGTCCATCCCCCTTGACCTCTCATCCTGTGACTTCAACAGGCACTCCATCACTAGACAGTCTGCTTGGTGGTCACGCGGGTCTTGCTGTCGGCTCAAGCTTACTAGTAGAAGAGAGCGGCACCACGGACTTTGCAGGCGCTCTGCTGAGGTACTATGCTGCTGAGGGCATATGTCAAGGTCACGTACTGCACGTGGTGGGCATGGGTGAGGGCTGGGTGAGGGAGCTACCAGGTGTGGCAGAAGAAAAGAAGAGTAGCAGGAGTGTCAAGTCGACGGCAGACGAAGAGAAGATGAAGATTGCTTGGAGATATGAAAAGCTTGGGCAAGCAGGAGAAAGAGGTGCGTTGGACACCTTGGCATAAAGTCACGGCGTGGATGTGCCTTAGCCGGTACAGTATGAGGCTTCAACACTGACGGTAAGTATAGTCCTCCCTGTCCGCACTGTCGGCGGAAGCCCAAACAATGTTTCCCAAACAGTGACTCCCTTTTGCCATACCTTTGATCTCACCAAGCGTATCACAATTCCATCAGACGCAAGGGTAAACCATATTCCAGTCACGCCTTCTACAAGCCTCGACTCAATCGTTCAAGCCCTGGCGAGGAGTTTGGCTACTGCACCCCCAAACACTGTCCATAGAATTGTGATCCCGTCTCTCCTCAGCCCAGCACTATACTCGCCACTCGTAGGTCGACCTGAAAGCTTCATTGGCTTTTTCCGATCTCTCAGAACACTCCTCCGACAGCACAGCAACAAGTTGACAGCTATGCTATCACTGCCCTTGGAGCTCTATCCGCGGAACTCTGGTCTTGTGCGCTGGGCAGAGATTCTCAGCGATGGAGTCCTGGAACTCACACCTTTTCCGCATCTGATGGACGCTTCGAACAGCCTTGCAGAGAGCGGTGGTGCTCGCGAGAAGGATGAGCAGCCGCAAGGGCTCGTCAGATTCCACAGGTTGCCGATCAATACAGAGCGCGGAGAGGGTGGAGCTGGGGCTGGGAATAGTCTGGGAGAGGATCTGGCCTTCACTGTCAGCAGACGAAAATTCGTCATCACACCTTTTTCGTTACCGCCCATCGAAGGTGATCAGGAAGCACAGCATGATGCTGGGAAAGTTACTGCCAAGGATATGCAGTTTTGAGCATCACTGCCCAACTAAGCATTTGAACTCCATCCTCGACTGGGATCCACGAGAGATTTTGTCACTTCATACTATGAAAAAGTCTCGTCCCTCTTCACTCGTGAAACTGTCCTTGCTTCACAAGAGGGTTTTCCTACAAGACATCCGAGCAGATGTTCATGGCCAATATTCGACCGAGAAAAGGTACATCGCTTACAGATGCACCTAATAACCACCTTCCACATTCTGGTAAAGAGACATTCCATAATCATCATAACCATCCACGACTCGAAGGTCAGGCAGGTACCTCTCTAGCTCCTGCCAAACTTTCCATCCTTACCTATCTACAATCGGAATGATTTGGTCGACCAGTCTAAATTTATTAATAGACTCTCTATCGAGCTCCCGTCTTCGCAAGAGTCAAACGCTCAAATCAAATCAAATCATATGTTGCGAGACTTCCAAGTCGCCGCCTCTCTCTCTCTCTCTCTCGCGCGCTACAAGGCGGAGTTCCCAAGCTGCGATTTCTTTCGATATATTGGGTTATGATGTGTATGATGCAAAGCGAGATATTGGAAGTGGAATACCTATTCGACGCTAGAGATTATTCAAGCCTCAGGTAGGACAGGACAGGAGGCTTTTTTGTCCTTGTAAATTGATTGGGAAAGCAGGTGAGGTAGTGAGTGTTCTGTAGTAGTATATATATACACGTCAGGTATGTACGTCTGTACTTACATGTAGCATTCATGTTTCGTGACGAAACTTTTGTACTGGAGATAAGCGTAGGGTCTAGGGGTATTTTGTGTTTGAGAAAAAAAAAGATGACTATAGTGGTCTCTGACGACCATCTCAAATGTGCCTTCCATTGTCGAGACAATGTACATCGTACGTATGCTATGCCGTGCAATTCCCAAAACGCCTCACGCCTCGCTAATGATTTCAAAAAAATGCGACGGCTGGTCAGCACGCTCTTATTCAAATCCATCGTCCCTCCTCTCTTTTCGCTCCAAAACCGGACTGGACGGCTGCGCGAGGTCCACACCAGGCGGGTTTAATGGTGGTGCGCCTGTTCCGTCGTATGCGCTAGGTACTGCACCTAGTGGATCGAAAGATGCGGGCATGGGAGGTGTACCACCAATACTGATGCTTCTCCTATGAGCATGAGCATGGCCCAACGTTCCCGCCACGGGGCGCACAGTCGTGCTGAGGCTGCCCTTGCGATGTCCAAGTCCGGAGGCGGGCGTCTGCTGTACGAGTTGCTCGCGCTCTTCCTGCACTGGCTCGGGGTGATCTATCAGATCATCTTCATCAAGATGGTGTGGGCCGCCTCGATTCGCCGACACGGCGTCTTGAAGTGTGTAGAGGTGCTTCGTCATGTTCACGAAACCAGTGGAGGCCTCGATGCCCTCTACTTTGTATAGTCGGAAAGCTTCACCAAGACATCGTTCTGCCTGGGATGCTTTCTCAAGTCGTAGCCAGGCATCGGCAGCCAGCGTATTCCAAAACGCACACTTTCGATGTCGATCAACGTCACTCAGTCCACCAATGGCTACTCGTTCACCCCAACAGGTTGCTATGCGTTCAGTCAGCAACGCATGGCCGACAGAGCCCACCATATGATCGTCCAGTATGCGATTTGCCCATCGAGCAGCATCATCGAGCGCATTACCTCCCCGCATCTTTAATAGCTCTACGCCAAGTACGAGTGTACGCAGAGCATTGTGTGGCGTACCAGCACGCGTCACATAAGAATAGTACGCAGTTTCGAGATATTGATCGATGCCTTCTATCCGGATCTTGTTGCTCGCTCCCGTGGCTAAAAGTAAGCTGACAGCCGCCATCTCGTTGACTCCCGCGTAATGTCGCCATGCCTTGTCGTTCTTGAAATCTTGGCAAAGAATTTCATAAGTGCTATGCGCGAGCTTGAAATCACGCAACATCATGGCATAATCCGCTAACTTCCGCATCACAGCTTCTGGCGCCTCTGGTCGATAGAATCCTTGTACGCTGTCGTAGTTGCTAACTGCGCCGCCCAGAAGAGGACTGGACGAGTTCCGGCCTCCTCCGAAGGCCGTAAAGCGCTTCGACATGGACATGAATCTGCCGCTGAGACCTCGCCGTCGAGATGCCACCTGGTCATTCCAGGTCGCCGAAGCCCTTTCCATGGAAGGTATGATGGACTGGGTAACCATTTCCCGCACAAATGCTCGCAATGCGTTGGCGTCAGACTCGAAAATGTACGGCGTGGGGTCCTCATCATCCTCACTCGACTCTCGCCGGACGATTTCCGCCAACTCCTCTGCTGCTGCAGACCACTCGACTGGCGGTAGCCGCACAGTATCGTCATCTGAAGGAACACACTGCGTACTATGCAGTCTGAGAAGGTGACAATGCAGGCCAAAATGCCTCTTCATCTGGTCGTACAGAGCCATAGATTTCGTGATGTCATCATAATCCTCATCGTGTATTAAGACATAGTATCGTAAGAACTCGTTATGCACCCATTGCGGGAGTCGATGCTCGCCACTGTTTGAGGAATCGTACAAGCTCCGCAGCTCCTCAATTGGCGAAGGTGATCGTGACGAAATGGCTATCACTGAAGCGACAGGGTGCGAGAAGGTTTCGAAAGGTGACATGGGAATGCCAGACAGCAGGCGCCGCAGATATAAAGAGTAGAACGGTGAAGTCGAATGGGCGTCTGGGACGGATGCGGTATCCTTGGCCGTCATGTAGCTGGCTTCAAGTGGACCTGAGTTCTCCTCGTAGAAAGTCAAGTGCCGCTCTACTAGTTCCTCAACCTGGCCAATATCACCTCCAGTACGCAGTCTTGCAGGTTTATACTCTAGCAGAGATGCGCCCCGCCTGCGACTCTGTTGGGAGGGCGCTGAGTCTGTGCTCTTGCGCTCTGTGCTTCGCGGGTTTTCCAAGCCATCTCGAACGCCCACAAATCGCAAGGAGAAGTCGTCCCATATCTTGCTGATGCCAGTGCTGTCTCGTGTGGTGACCTTGCCCTGTATGTGCTCTCCAAAGGGCCGTAGGAGATCTAGCAGCCCTCCAGCAACGCCCTTGTGCCGCACGAGCTCCTCTGTGTCCTGTGAAGCCAGCACCGAGACATGCGGCGCATAAGCCCTCAGGATCAGTTCTCGAGTGTCATTGCTGGCGATCTGTCCGGTCAGCGCCGGCGACGGTGAGCGTACTGAAGAGGTTGCCACAGGAGAGAAGACAGAGGCATTGCCTCTCTCTGCTACCGGCGTCGAGGCGCCGGACTGGCTCGGCGAGCCCGTGGGCAGGGCGGTGGTGGCGGAGAAGATGTTGGACAGCGAGGCGTTGCTGCGGCGATAGGGCAACGAGGAGATGGAGGACAGAGGCGAGTTCCCGAGGCGCCTCTTATGGACCGAAATGCCATCGTCCGGCGGCATCAGTAGTCACGCCGGAGAGAAGGACAGGGCCGCTGACACTGCTGCGCGGGCGTGGGTGATCGATGCAGTGCTTTCTGGCGCATTGAGCTGTCTAACGCATACTCTCGATCCGTTTGGAGTGGTCGGGTTTCCAGGCTGCCGGGGCTTTGTTCTGGAGAAGAAGGAGAACCAAGAGAGTGTGAGAGAGAGTCGTGGCAGCGCTCGCATGCCGGACACCGTAAACGTTAAGAAGGTATTGGTTCCCACCACTTTGTTGTGCCTTCTGGAAGAACTCTACCTCAGGTATCCACTGCTGTTTCTCGCACTCGCAAGATGCGAAACATAGAGCCATACCGCCACTAACGACCTCACGCGTCCGAATTGGCGTTGGTCACTTCACTTCACTTCTGCACCCTCTGGCCGGCCAAGTGAATGCTTCCACTCGCACGACGGACAACGCATTTGGCACGATCACGGCTTGATCTACCGCTTCGCACACTCACCACCCGCCAATGCCAAGTCATATCGTGCATGTCTCCGGCTCTGTCAATCGCAACGACACCTGAAGGCTCTAAGCGAAGGAGGCTGGACAGCAGTGGTCCACTCTCACCCAAACGTCGACTGCTCTCCACCATGTCGCCTCTGGTGGTGGAAGAGATTGATGATGATGTTGCCAACTCATCTTCCAAGAACATCGCATGGGAACCAATCGAGCTCACTCTGAAGACTCTTCTCCTCGACGTGGCGAGATACATTGACGAGACTCCGGCACCTCCAGACGATGCAGATGCCATCAGCCAAGTCACAGTCCCAGACGTGTTAGCGAAGCAGCCTATCGTGCTGCGCTTCACTGGAGGATGGGTGCGCGACAAGTTGCTAGGCAAAAAGAGTCACGACATTGATGTCGCCATCAATAAGATGACTGGTTATCAGTTCGGTCTTCGACTCAAAGAATATCTGGAAATTCCTGGTAACCTTGCGAAGTATGGTCTAGAATCAATTGCTTCCAGCGACAAGCAAAATCAGAAAGCTGGCAAGACCGACAGGTCCAAGTCAGTTGGAGGGCTGCACAAGATCGAAGCCAATCCCGAAAAGTCCAAACATCTCGAGACCACCACCATGCAGATTCTTGGCCTGGACATCGACCTCGTCAATCTTCGGAAGGAAACCTACTCGGACGAGGAGGGACGCATCCCGCAAATCGAGTTCGGGACGCCAGAAGAAGATGCCGAGCGGCGCGATGCGACTGTGAATGCCATGTTCTATAATCTCAACGAGGACATCATCGAAGACTTCACAGGAAAAGGACACGACGACATGAGAGCAAAGATCATCCGGACGCCTCTTGCGCCATATCAGACCTTCAAGGATGATCCACTCCGTGTTCTGCGACTGATTCGCTTCGCTAGCAGACTTGGATATACCATCGAGTCGAGCGCGCTAGAAGCGATGAGCAACGCAGAGATCAAGGACGCACTCCGTGTCAAGATCAGTCGTGAGCGCGTTGGCACAGAGCTGGAAAAGGCACTTCAAGGACCAGATCCTCACGAGGCTTTGCGACTAATCTTCTCCCTCGACCTGTACGAGACCATCTATTCGGATCCGGCCAAGGCTGAAAGCGACCACTACAGACCACAGTGTGAGGAATGGAAAGTGCTTATCGATACTCTACAAGATATCATTGCAAACGGCGACGTCTTGCAGAGCGAGCTTGCGCGTAGCCAAGATGATGGGCATCGTGAAGAAGAAGTGATGGCGTGGCAACTTGCCGCCCTTGTGCCGTATCGAGATGCTCCTCTTCCGGAACCATCTGCACCTGGGAAGAAGGCACCGCCTCCGATATCAGTGCAAGTAGCTAAAGAAGGCATCAAAGCGACTAACAAGATATGCGACGTGATCAACGCTTCTGTCAAGAATCAGTCAGAGATCTCAAACCTGGTAGACGAGCTCTATCAGAAGAAGCGTAGACCGGACAAAATGATCGAAGGTGATGATCCTGCCGCGCGCGATGTTCTGGGAATGGCAATCCGAAGATGGGGCACAACTTGGCGGAGCCAAGTTCTATACTCCTTGCTAGTTGAAGTCGCAAACACCCCAGACCAGGTTGAAGGTAAGCGTAATGTCCATTCTGCTGCTATGGAGTACTTCAGCTGACAAGACTGCAGCCATCGAGCGAAGATATGCGACCTTCGTGCAACATCTGCGCGAGCTCGATGTCACAGAAGCATGTACTTTCAAGACTCTTATGGACGGCAAACAACTCGCCAAAGCCATTGGCACCAAGCCTGGACCATGGATGAAGGATGCTCTCGATGTGATCATGGCGTGGCAGCTTCGAAATCCTGGCTCCACGGACTTAGAACAAGTGATTGAAGAGGTGAAGAACCACCAAGCAAAGGGTGAGCTCACTTCTGACCTGATTCGGCATTTCTTGAAGCTTACCGTTCGTCCTCTTTTCATCAAGGCCAGTCCAGCAACGGTCACTGAACAGGGTCGCCGAGTCACGACTGAGCGATTACCTGCAAAGCCCACAATCAGCTCTACGGACGATAGTGTCACCAAGCCTTGGAAATGTGCAAAGGATGCATATTCATTAGACATCTTAAAATGGGTGGTGCACAGCTTGGACGAAGAAAGTGTAGCTGGAGTCTGGCCCTTGGTGATTCCCCCACTCCTGACACTAGTGGACGACTGGGAAGCCAAGTATAAAACCATTGGCGCCGACTTCATATCTGCACTTCTCGAGGCCACACCTCCTTCTCTCCTTGAAAGAACCGGCCTAGGCGAGGTGTTTGAGCAAGCTCTTACGCCATGCTTAACATACCTACCGACCATCACTGAAGAGGAAGAATCCGTCCCACTCCTCTCATCAGTCTACCCAGCTTTGCTCAGTCTGAGCCGGAAGCGTTTTCCAGTCGTAGAAAGCGATACTGCTATAACCATGCAAACCCCACTCACCCAACCCGACCGTCTTCGGATCAAGTTCCTTGACACCGTCATTCGCAAAGGTATCATTTATGGGTACTCACACTGTGGTTCCACCCACCCAGCCCTTACCACAGTCCTATTCGATCACCTCGCCATGTACCTTCACGAACTCAAGATTGATTGCGTCAAGCATTTGAAATTCATCATCCCCATACTCAGCGAAGCACTTTCCAATCCCACCGGATCAGCTACTGTTGCAATGCTAATTAGCGCCACGAACGCTCTGCGCGCTATCATGCGAAACGCGTGGCCGAGAATGGCAAACTACCGAGGCGAGATCCTCAAGGGGTTATGCATGTGCTGGATCAAGATCGTGGATCTCGAGGGCATGGAGGTATTGAGAGCAAAGTTGCAAGAGAACGTCAAAATGCTAGAAGCGGCGATGGGGGCAGAACCTTTCTTCTTGAAGGAACTTCAGCTTCTCGTGGAAGCGGATGGCAGGCTCAAAGGCTTGTTGTTGCACTAGATGGGACATGCTTTATCCCTCTCTCCTCCGAATACGACGTATCTCCAGCGATCAAGTGTCTACTAGCCCAAGGCGAATGAATATGCGATGTTCAGGGAGACCGCAATAATGATTCCATGCATGCAGATGCTTGAGACTTGCCATGGTATAGAGTCCGGAGACGCAAAATATGGCACTCGAGGCACGCAATGCACAGCCCAGCACTATCTGATTCTATAGGGGCCCATAACGCTTTTCCAACCAGCAGAAGAGAGATATCAAGCGTCCTTACTGACAACGCTTCCTCGCGCCGGATCCTCCCCGCCGTAGTTTACCGGGACGGAAAGAATGTTCCTTCTGATTGTGGAACTAAAAACGCCTTCCATTTATCCTGCCTAACAAACGTTTCGAATGAATCAGAACAATACGAATGGACGGCTCAAGCAAACTCTTATGATTGCTGGACTTTTACCTAGGTATTTATATCATGGTCTATAATCCGAACCCATCTAGAGTTCCAATCCTCTCAACCATGCGATGTCTCCACTACCAAGCTCGCCGGTCGAAAATTGTCTGAACTGTTCTTACGAATTTACTTTATACAACACCTTATACTTCTAATCTCTTCTGAAAGACGCAATGCGTCATTATAGAATCACGCAACCTTCTCATATACCTACCTGCACCATCCGCACGAGCATACCCGATCGCATAGTGCCTCAGGAACCTTGTGGCGCATATCGAAGCAGAAGATAAAGCCCTGTGAGCCCCTCGTCCAACACAAGCTGCCACCGTTCAATTCAAGAACCAGTTGAAGATGCCAGAGACACCAGCAACAGAGTGGTATGAGAAGATGGTAGTACAAGGCACTATGCCTGAGGGAATGGTGTGTTGGGAGGCACCTAGCACCCGTACTCAATTTAGGGGTGCACCGACACAAGTACACTGGGCTCGATGGGGCAGATCCCGTGTGGCTACACACGATATGACCGGATCATCTACAGCCGACATGAACCCCATCAGTGGCATGAAGACTACCTTTCACTTTGGGTAGTGGCAGAGGACACAGTACATTATGTGCTCATTTTGACCCGAGCACAATATACACGTCGACCTACGCCCTTTCAACGACTATACCTCTTGATACACCATGCCATCAGCAGCATCACTTGTCATATACCTGCAAACTATATCTACTAGGGATCAGCGTAGCTACACAAACAGGCTAGCGACGTTGGGTAAGTCTCTCAGTATGATATAATTACCTTCCAGGTTCAGAGACATGTAATTGACATACATTTTTCTCTTCTAGCTGCTACGAAAGATATCATCCTCCAACGCGAACAAATTACGACAAACTACCTTTCTCTGCCTACCTAGCTATGACGGGCCTTTACTGTGGTTTCTAGCTGATATGCAAGATCATCTCTTCGACCACTTTTGTTCATAGGAGGATTGTCGCGCTCTCGGGAGACTTCAACATTGATATTGCAATGCTCTCCTATTGGAGCGGAATGTGCTGCCATGAACAACTCCAATCCTCCTCCGGGCTGCTACCTAGCAGGGACGGCAAAAGCGATGTAAGTTAAGCACTACTCTGCAGGCCTCAAACGTGTCTTCCTTCGCTAATACGCCTACCTAGCGTTTCTTGTCGAGTGGGCAGGCTATACCAAGCATACCAGTAGTATAAGCGTTCTCGGATCGGGGGTGCTCCAAACCAAACAGCAGTCTCAGCACTACCAAGGAGAGGCTACCCGTATAAGCAGGAGGACGAGCGGATGGCAATTATCGTCCTTGCTGGGCTTCGCCCGGCATCGTCGCAAGATGTGCAGTGGCTGGACCACGTACCTATTTCCTTTTTTCTTCTTGGGGCTCTCGTATTGGGCATCCTCGCCGAGGACGTGTTGTGCCAATACGGATACCAAATCAGTGGCATTTTTGTGGCCGTATACAAACGGTATTTCCTCCCTTGCTGCTTGGAATTTATAACATGATAGGTGGTGGAATGGCCTGTATCGATGAGATTTCAAAGTAATTCTTTTTTAAAAAACAAAGAAAAAGGAAAAGACCGATAGACATGCAGCAACACATCATTTGGCCGGCTGTATTATCAAAGCGGCTGCGATGAAATCGCCGATCCAGGAGATGCAAAACATTGTCGCCTTCGCCTGTACAGAACAGCTATCTAGTGGTAGCGAGTCTCTTTGTTATAATCTAATTTCTTTTCCTGTGGTGCTTTTGCTAGACAGAAACCTGCTGGACTACTGTATGTATCTACCTACCTAGGTATATATTCGCTTTACTTCTCTTCTAGGTACGAATGACTAGGCTTCAACTATTGGTAGAGCTCTATACTCGAGTAAATAGGTAGATAGCAATTCACGAAGATTAAACGATTCCAACGCTGTATATGTCGACATCAATTACTCACTAGCCATTCGATCAAGTGGAGCAGCTTTTTTTGGTTGGTGTAAGGATATGCCTTCGGTATAGACCCTCGTCCGTAGACTCTTTAGATCGAATTTGCATGTCTTGATAGGGAGGGATGCCTTAGGTGAGTGGAAGTTCCAAGGGGTTAAAGGATATGGTACTGCCCCTGAATTAGCCTGCTAGAGGCAGAGGTTGAGTGAATTGCAATGTTGGCGGGGAGCTTACAGGAACCAGAGGCGACGGGAGGTGGTGTCGCCACTGTCGCGTGTCGAATGGCCCGGCTTGGCGTTTTGGGTTTGGTACGGTCGATCCTCCATGGCGCTTCTACAAGGGTCTTGTCCGTGCTGTAGGTATTGAACAGCTAGACCACAAGATCAACATCGCATACCGACCGCATACCATACCACACCACTTTCCCACTTCCACTTCTACTTCCCTTCTCCTGCCATTTCCAAACCATCGGCCTGCGCTGAAATATACATGGCCGTATAAGAACATCCACATCCACATTCCCCCCCTCGTGGACCCGGTATGGCATCCATACCAGTAGCCATCGACCCAGTGTCGCTGGTGGTGACCGAGTGCATCACCGTGACTTCTGCTATGCGAAAGCATGCTCGCTGGGCCCACTCGAGCATCTCCTCCATCCTCGGATCCTCGCCTTCCAGCCACACGCGAACCACATCCTCCGACCTCTCCTCGCAGCGATCGAATCGCGAACGAGAACGAACGAGGGCCAGCAGCAAGATCGACCTCATAGAACCATACTTCAGCGATTACAACAGCGCGAGCGGCACTCGTGCCAGTGAGGAGGCGTCACGATGGGGTCTGCGAGGCAAGAAAGGCCAGTCCATGCAGGACAATCCGCTGATGAGTGCTTTCGCGAAGCTGCGCTCCGAATTGAAGGGCGTCAAGGACATTCAGACGATACCTACTCCCGATTTGCTCCACCCTTTCCTGCAGGTCATCCGGTCGAGCAGTACCACAGCGCCAATCACGAGCTTGGCTTTGATTGCCATCACCAAGATGCTGGCGTACAGAGTCGTCCACGAGGAGTGCCCTAAGTTTGCGCATGGGATGCAGTTGCTGGCGAGTTCTGTCACCCATTGCAGGTTCGAGGGCGACAATTCTCCGTCAGATGAGGTCGTTTTCCTGCGCATCCTAAAACTTATGGAGGATATGATATGCGGGGCTTCAGGAAATGTGCTGGGGGATCAGTCAGTGTGCGAGATGATGGAGTGTGCTCTCTCGATATGCTGTCACTTGAGAATGTCAGAAGTGCTGAGGAGAAGTGCCGAAATCAGCATGGTCACAATGTGCCAGACTATCTTCGGCAGGTTAAAAACGCTGGAAGCCGAATTCGAGGGAGACGAGGTGGGCGACATGGAGCAGGAACTGGGCTCAGAGGAGATGGAAGCTGCGAAGATTGACTCGAATGGAGACATGGGGCCAGATAACATGAAGCAAATGCGGTCAAGCTTGACTCTTGATGTGCCAGCGACGAATACAGAAGCCAGACCTAGTACAGACATGAACGCCAGTCAGATGGATCTTAGCTCGAGGAGTGGCGAAGAAGACGAGGAAGACGTGGACGTGAAGCCATATGGACTTCCGAGCATACGAGAGCTGTTCAGAGTATTGGCCGATCTGCTGGACCCTCATGACCGACAACGGACTGACACGTTACGAGTGATGGCATTGAGAATAGTCAACGTGGCTTTGGAGGTCGCTGGTCCGAGCATCGCAAATCACCCTTCTCTGGCCAACCTGGCAAAAGACACGCTGTGCAGGAACCTTTTCCAGCTGGTAAGGAGTGAAAATATTGCTATTTTACATGAATCGTTGCGAGTCGCCGGAACGCTTCTTGCGACATGCCGAAGTGTGCTCAAATTGCAGCAAGAGCTGTTCTTGAGCTATGTCGTGGCTTGCTTACATCCTCGAGTGCCAATACCAGACGAGCCCAACGTCGACCCGTCGCTGTACCAAGGGGTGCCACAAGCACCGACATTAGCACGACCGCAGCCTTCAACACCAGGTTCCAATGGTCCTCCAGCGAGTGGTCGATCAACCCCTGTCCCCGTTCGAGATCGACAAAAGTTAGGCATGGAGGGTGGATCGAGGAAGCCAGATGCGCGAGAAGCAATGGTAGAGAGCGTGGGCGGACTTGTGCGTATGCCGAGCTTCATGACCGAGCTTTTCGTCAACTATGACTGTGAGACGGATCGGAGTGATCTATGCACCGATATGGTCGGCCTCCTGTCAAGGAACGCGTTCCCAGATTCTGCAACATGGAGTACCACGAACGTGCCGCCATTGTGCCTTGACTCTCTCCTTGGCTTTGTTCAATTTATAGCCGAACGAATAAGCGACGAGCCCGTCACGACTGGTCTGCCCGAAGTGGAGAAGCTACGTGAACAACGGCGAAAGAAGAAGGTTATCATCCGCGGTGCTACCAAGTTCAACGAGAGCCCCAAAGGCGGCATTGCTTTCCTAGCCGCGCAGGGCATCATTGCAGATCCGAATGATCCCCACTCTGTGACCAGTTTCTTGAAAGGCACCACGCGTATTGACAAGAAAGTCCTGGGAGAATTCATCTCGAAGAAGTCGAACGAAGCTATTCTCGACGCTTTCATGGACCTGTTCGACTTTGGCGACCTCCGAGTTGACGAAGCACTTCGCCAACTGCTCAATTCTTTCCGTCTTCCGGGCGAATCCGCACTCATTGAAAGAATTGTGACCGTTTTCTGTGAGAAATATATGAGAGCTGTTCGCCCCGAACAGATTATTGACGTCGACTCTGCCTTCGTCTTGACCTATGCCATCATCATGTTGAACACAGACCAGTACAACCCGAATGTGAAGTCAGCCAATCGGATGAAATTTGAAGACTTCCAGAAAAACCTCCGTGGCGTTAACGGAGGCAAGAACTTTGACGAAGAGTTCCTGCAAGAGATCTACGAAGCGATCAAGGCTCGTGAAATTGTACTGCCAGAGGAGCACGATAATAAGCACGCATTCGAACATGCCTGGAAAGAGTTGTTGATGAAGGTCAACACTGCCGAGAACTTGGTCATCTGCGAGACGAATATCTACGATGCAGACATGTTCGCAGCCACATGGAAACCTATCATCGCGACACTCAACTACGTTTTTGTTTCGGCTACTGAGGATGCTGTCTTTCAGAGAGTGATCGCAGGATACAACCAATGTGCACAAATTGCAGCGAGATATGGCGTTTCCGAATGCCTGGACTATATCATCCTCAGTCTGGCCAAAATCAGCACTCTTGCAACTGAAACACCGCCAAGCACGAGTCTGAATACCGAAGTGCAAGCCAGTGGGAAGAGCATCATGGTCAGCAAGTTTGCAGTAGACTTTGGCCGAGATAACAAAGCTGAGCTCGCGACGATTGTCCTGTTCCGCATCATCAATGGACACGAGGGTGCTATTCGAGATGGCTGGACACAGATTGTACGAATCATCGTCAATCTCTTTGTGAACTCGTTAGTGCCGACAAGCTTTACGAGCATATCGCGAGACTTAGATCTTCCGCCCATACCGCTGCAATCGCCCGCGCAAGTCATTGAGCGTAACGACAAGAGAAATGACGTCGGTCTGTTCAGCGCCTTTACGAGCTATGTCAGCAGTGTCATGAATGACGAGCCTCCGGAGCCAAATGATCAGGAAATCGAAGCGACGCTGACCTCTGTGGACTGTATCAATGCCTGTCGTTTCGAGGAGATACTCGGCAACGTCAGTGAGCTGCCGGTCAGTACCTTGAAGAGCTTGACTATGTCCCTTCTGTCGCATTTGCCAGAGCAGGATTCACCAAGAGTCATCGCTGTAAAGCCTGAGCTACCTGCCCCCACTCCATTGCGAGGCACGGGAAGCAAAGTTCGTGATGAACCTCCAATGTACAATCCTGCCGTTGTCTATGTCTTGGAGCTTGCAACGATATTGGCCTTGCGAGACGAAGAGACTATCACAACTCTGGGACCTGATGTCGCCGAAGCCCTCACGAGTGTTACGCGAGATGCGGATCGACTGCACCCTGTTGCGCTGAGCCGAACGGTGTTCTATCTGCTCAGTCTGCTCCGAGCCAGCAACGATCATGGCTACATCCGCGCGCCAGTGGTGCTCCATGCAATCTCTTCTTTCCCCCAGCACTTACTGAAGCAATGTGCTCTGCCGATATTGAAGGGCATATACGGCTGTATTTCCGGGCCCCAAACAGAACTACGAAACGAGATGGCAGCCAGTCCAGACTTTTGGAACATCGTTCACAATCTCCATCATGAAGTAGAGGCAGCAGGATTGGTCTTCCAAATCGTTGAAAGTGTCGTAGACGGGCCCAATGCTGCCATCACGCCAGACAATTATGAAGCCTGTGTAGCATTACTCAATGCGTTTGCCACCAGTGGCAGCATTGGCGCACGAGCCGAGCAAGCCGCTCGGGGAGAGAAGTACCCACAATCTGGTCGTAAAGGACAGAAGCAACCTCCTCGTAAGACAGACAGTACAGAGGATGAAGGCACTCCTGAGAAGAAGAAAGTGAAGAAGCTCGAAGTTGTGGTTCGTGGCAATCGTGCCATTACACTCGTCTCTCACCTCGCAGGACGAGTACCTCACCTCATCAAACAGAGCCAACTCGAAACAGAGGAGGCCTGGAAGGCGTATTGGTCGCCCGTCTTCCGCTGCTTGGCAACACAATCCACCAACCCATGCCGCGAGATCCGTCAACTCTCACTGTCGAGTCTACAACGTTGTTTGCTGTCGCCAGAGCTCGCATCGCCAGATCACACGGAATGGACCAACATCTTCTCCGAGGTGCTCTTTCCGCTCATCCAACAGCTACTTAAGCCTGAAGTCTATCAGACCGACCCTGTCGGCATGGGCGAGACGAGAGTACAAGCCGCACAGCTGCTATGTAAGATTTTCTTACATTACTTGGTGTTGCTTTCTGAATGGCCTGGTGTGGGAGAACTCTGGTCTGGTATACTCGAGGTCATGGAACGTCTGATGGGTAGCGGGCAGAGAGATGGTGGAATACTGGAGGAGGCTGTACCTGAGTCGTTGAAAAACATTCTGCTTGTCATGGGCAGCGGAGGCTATATGGTTCCGCCACCAGCCGAGGGCGATGATGAGCGTAGTGAGCTGCAACGAAAGCTGTGGCAGGAGACGGAAGTAAATCTAGAGCGGTTCTTGCCGGAGCTCATGAAAGAGGTGTTCCCGGAGAGTGTCAACCGACAAACGAAGCAAGTCGCACCAGCCGAGGCTGGGGAGAAAGAGACGGATGGCGAAGGGGATAATGCGGCCGCTGGGGGCGTGCCAGCTGTAGATGACAGCGAGAAAGCGGAGGCATCAACCAGTGCTTCATAGTAGTAGCGAAAGTTCTGTATAAATACTGTAGACTCTTGACCCGAATTCTCCCGAGATATCTCCGTCGCCCACCTCGGCATTGCACTTCACTCCATTGCCACCCATTTACCCTTTGCAATTCGAAAAACATCCACGCATTTAGAATACAGAAGACACTTACTATTTCAACATCTCGATTGCTAAGGTCTCAAGAAATTCTGCCAACCATGACAGCAGCAGCAGCAAGAACATCCTCCAAACTTCGAGTCCTCTGTCTCCACGGCTACACCTCCAACTCCCAAGTCCACGCACACCAGCTCCGCCGCCTCACATCAGCTCTCTCATCCGATTATGAGTTTCTCTTCCCTGACGGACCACACAAAGTCGACCTCAGCTCCTCCTCCCCTACCTCCGCAATGGACATGTCAAAGCCCGCAAATCAAGTCTGGCACGAACTCGTGCAGGGTCTGAGTCCGCGTAGTGCGGAAATCGGGCATCGTGCGTGGTGGTTTGCGCGAGACCCTGAGTGGAAAACGAAACGTCAGGGAAGGTTTGAGGGGTTAGAGGAGACGTTTGAGTATTTGGGTAGGTGGTTAAGAGAGCATGGGGGGCCTGTGGATGCGGTTTGGGGGTTTAGTCAAGGAGGGTGTTTGGCGGGGATGGTGGTGGCTTTGTTGCAGAATTCGCAGAGAGGGCATGTTTTGAGGAGGAAATTGGGGGTGGATGATGATGGTAGTGATGATGGAAGTACGGAGGTCAAGGCTGGAGTGGTTTTTGCGGGGTTTCGAGCGAGGTTTGAGGTGTATGATGATGTTTATGAACCGTATGGGATTGAAACGCCTGTCTTGCATGTCATGGGGAATCAGGATCCGTTGGTGGATAGTGAGAGGGGTGAGGCGCTCATGAGGGTTTGTAAGCGAGAAGAGGTTTTGAGGTTTGAGGGAGGGCATGATATTCCGAAAGGGGAGAGGGAGGTAGAGAGGATTGTGGCCTTTATGAGGAGATATGTTGATGCAGGTCGAGGGAGAGAGAAGAGTGGGAAGGAGCAGGCGAGTATGTAGGTAGTGTTGTTGGAGGAGGCGGCATTGATCGAGTGACCCATGTCAGGGTAAGCATACGATTAGAATTGGGCATGAAGCCACAGTAGGAACATGTAGGTAGAAACGCCGTAGTCGTCTGTGAAATATATTAGACTCAAATCGACAGGTACATGTAGTGGAAGGTCTCGAGTCCTACATGTACCTCCTTACTCATGTCCTTATGGATGTGTGAACGTCGCGACTCGCACTCCGCAAGCACGGAGAAACTGACGCTATCCGTCCCGTCACGTCCCGCGCCGTCCCGTCCCGTCACCTCTCGGCTCGACCAGGGCGTGCAGACATCAAAAGATTATTCTCCTACTCGAGTCTCGCGCGCTTCCCATCGTTCAATCATCCATCCCGGATCATCTCTTTCCACCTGCATCTGGGGCTCGCCGCGAGACAGCACTCCATCGACGGATGCAGGACGAATCTCCATCTCGAAGATGCTCGCACGATCCGCAGCACGACGACAGCATCATCGGCACACGACTCGACTCCTCGCCGCCGCCTCCTTTGCCCAGCTCACTCTCCCATGGCTGGCGCCCGCCCAACTACGATGGACCGCCACCCGAGCAGCGACAATAGCACGTGGCAGTAACACGAGAGTCGACACACACACATCTTTGCTGCCGCGGCCGCGACACGAGACTCGCAGCAGAGCACCTTCGCCACTTCGACCGCAACTTCGATGTCTCGCCACGGCAGCCGACGCGCACACAGCCCCGTCGGCTTCGACCTTGAACTCAGCGCTAGGTGGCCCCGCTGCCGATGACTATATTCCCTTTGACTTCTCCAGCTATGGGAAGCCGGCAGCAGGGCCGTTTGGACTTGGCGGTGCTCCTGATCCCATCATTCTCTCCGCTGCCTCTCAAACCCCCGACAAGATTCTCACGAGAAGTGGAAATATTCTCCGAGCATCGGCAAGAGATCTCCTGGCCCACCTGCACACCAGTATGTCCGTTGGGCGGTGGGACCGTGCTGCATCTGTTGTGCAACGCCTAGTGCGGGAATGCGGTCCTCATTCAGAAGAAGCTATGCATGCACACTCCTTGTATCTACACAAATTGCTGTTGGATCTCATGCTACACGGTCGAGATTCGCCGCAGACGGCTGTAGTGCTCAAGGAGATGCAAAGGTGGTTCGAGGTCGAGGTGCGCAACAAGGGGGTGCAGCCCGATTCGAGCATGCTCGTGACCATGATGCGCGCCTCAATCAGAGGACTAGCAGGTTCGAGACGGGATCGTTCGATACGGCGATATGCCGATCTTTCCCAGCAGCTAGGCGACGATGTGCTGGAAGATGTGCTGTTATCGGAAGATTACGACGACAACGAGTTTGCGGTACTTGGACGCGCAACCCAGGAATTTTACGAAGACGAGTCTGTGCAACAGGAAGAGACAGTAGATACACCATCCGCTGATCCGAGCGGGTCTGGACAAGCGCACTTGAGAGATGATACCATTGATCTTTCGACGGTGCCCGAAGTGCGCGCGACTGAGCAGAAGGGCACTGGCTTGGAGGGCATCAAACGGGCGATGGGTGTGTTTACTCAAGCCGAGACTCTACCCGCGGATGCTCCTGCAGCATCACGACGAGAGCAGGCGTATGCCCTGCAACGCAGAATGGAAGACACTGCAGTGGACATAGCTGTTGCAAGGTGGCAGAAGGCGGACGAGGACCTTCGCAAGATAGGCATCCACACATCCATGCAAAGCAAGCCAATAGCTGGGCTAATGTGGCAATGGTATTCAAAGTTGCTTCCGCTGCTCGAGGAGGAACTGGAAGAGGTGAAAAAAGCTTATATTCGCGATAAGGGCGATGATTGTCTCGTATATGGACCATATCTGGAACTGCTTCCGGTCAAGAAGGTCGCTGCGAACACCATTCTCCATGTTATGACAAGAATGGCAGGTGACAAAAACACCATCACGGAGCAGTTCGAGAGTGAAACCAAACTAGGTACTCTTGCAATCAATCTCTCTAAAGCACTTGAGTCCGAATGGCTCGCTACTGTTGCTGGCAAAGGCGGCAAGTCTGCAAGTAAAAAACCTCATAGCACAGCAAACCTCCGCAGACGAGCGATCCGAGCACTCGAGAAGGGCATAGAGAAATCGAGGCCTGGGAAGTCGAAAAGAAAAAAAGAAATACAAGCAGCACTGGCCCAGGTGGAATGGCCGGTTTCGGTGAAAGTGAAATTGGGGGCTATGCTGGTTTCTAAGCTCATGGAGACTGCTCAATTGCCAGTAACACGAGAGCATCCACGGACCAAGGAACAAGTCACTCAAATGCAGCCAGCTTTCATGCATCGCATGAAGTACTATCACGGCAAAAGGGTCGGAGTTTTCATGCCAAATCCTGCACTGATACAGAAGATCAAGAGCGAGCCAGTGGGAAGTCTGCTGGCAAAGCGGATGCCCATGGTGGTACCGCCCCTACCATGGACGGGATGGGCAAAAGGTGGATATCTGCATTACTCTAATCCAATCCTGCGTCTAGCAGCAGGGGACAAATCTGGTAAGGATTATTTCATGGCAGCGGACGAGAAGCAGGATCTCAGTACACTATACAAAGGCTTGACGGCGCTCAGCAAGGTGCCCTGGAAGATACATCGGGGCGTTTTCAATGTCCAGCTAGAAGCCTGGAATTCTGGAGAAGAAATCGCTAACTTCGCACCGCTCAATCCTGAGCTGCCCGTGCCTCCTGAGCCAGACTCATCCGCAGACCCGGTACAACGATTGCAGTGGCAACAAAAGTGTCGTGATATTGCCAACAGCCGCTCTGGAAACCACTCGAAGCGTTGCTTCCAGAACTTCCAGCTCGAAATCGCTCGGACTATGCTCAACGAGACACTCTACTTCCCTCATAACATGGACTTCAGGGGGCGAGCGTATCCAATTCCCCCTTATCTCAACCACATGGGCGCCGACAATGTTAGAGGACTTCTCGTATTTGGGGAAGGCAAAGAGCTCGGTGAAAGTGGCTTGCGATGGCTCAAGATCCACATGGCCACGGTAGCCGGGTACGACAAAGCGAGTATGGAGGAACGTATTGAATTCACGATGCAGCACTTGGATGATATCTACGATTCTGCGAAGAACCCACTGAGCGGACGACGGTGGTGGTTGCAGGCAGAGGATGCTTGGCAGACTTTGGCGGCTTGTTTCGAGCTGGTAGCGGCGCTAGACTCGCCCGACCCTACTAAATACATCTCGCATCTTCCAGTGCAGCAAGACGGCACATGCAACGGCCTTCAGCATTACGCTGCACTTGGAGGTGATAAAGCTGGCGCAGCACAAGTCAACCTCGAGCCCAGCGATCGTCCAGCAGATGTCTACACTGCCGTAGCCGAAGCTGTGAAAGCTAAAATAGCAAAAGATGCGCAGGACGGCAATCCCGTCGCGCAAAAGCTGGACGGGCGCATCACTCGAAAGTGCGTCAAGCAGCCAGTGATGACCAATGTGTATGGTGTCACATTCTGGGGTGCGCGTGTGCAGGTTAGAAGACAGCTGGAAGCTATATTTACGGAGTCCAGACATGATGATCCCGTTAACCTTGGGTTAATGTCGCACTACGTCACACAGAAAATCTTCGAATCTTTGGGACAAATGTTCACTGGAGCACAAAAAATCCAGGATTGGCTTGGACAGTGCGCTGATCGAGTAGCTACATGCCTTACTCCAGAACAGGTCGAGGAGCTGAAAGACGAGAAGAAAATGTTGAAAAGGGCGAAAAAGTCGAGGAGCAAGAACACTGATGATTTCGAGGACGAGGAAGCTGTTGCCATCGCCAGAAGAGTCGACAGAAAGGAAAGATATGCCGCCTCGAAGCCGTTGTTCAAGACCACGGTAGTGTGGACCACTCCACTACGACTCCCCGTGGTACAGCCCTACCGAGCTTCCAAGTCCAAGATTGTTTCCACCTCTATGCAGGACATTTCGATCCGAGACCCTCAGGTCTGGGATCCTGTGAGCCGACGCAAACAACTTCAGGCATTTCCCCCCAACTTCATCCACTCACTGGACGCGACACATATGCTGCTCAGTGCGTTGAAGTGCACAGAGAATGGCATGACATTTGCAAGTATTCATGACTCTTTCTGGACACATGCCTGCGACGTCAACCGAATGAGCGAGGTCTTGCGTGACGCGTTTGTAGCTATGCACAGCGAGGACATTATTGGACGTCTGCGTGAAGAGTTCAATACGAGATACAGGGGACACATGTACCTGGCTACCGTAGATGCCGACAGCGCGGTCGGACAACGCATCGAACAGTATCGAATGGAGGCGAAGACGAAGGCGAAGAAGGCAAAAGTAGAGTCGATGCCAAGTGAACTGGCCCGTGAGGCAGAACGCGCACGACTGATGCAAAGCGAAGATGCAGCAGAGAGAGCTCAAGGCCAGGCTATGGTGACTCCTGCTAGTATTCTGGCCTCCGAGACCGATACAACTTGCTTTGCACCTGCAACACAGTTTGCAGGCGCTACGCTTGGTGAAATGCCTCTGAACCCTGCACGAGTAGAAGATGACGAAGCTATTGCCGTTGACGCGCCCGATGATGAGGCCGATATGGAGGAAGCAGGCGAGAGCGCTGACGCTCCCGTTGAAGATGTTGAGCCTGGCATGACGGCTTCCGAGTCCAGTAAAACGTCCCAAGGCCCCGAGCAAGGAAACAAGAAGAAGACCAAATCGAAGAAGAAATTACAAGTCTGGATCCCTCTCACGTTCCCCGAGGTACCCGAGAAGGGAGACTTTGATGTCAGACGGTTGCGGGAGAGCCGATACTTTTTCCATTAATGGAAGGAGGAAAAAAATAGAATCTGCCAGTTTGAGCGTTGTACATATACTGTTGCATGAATGAAGCATTTGTGCGGTCTGGGAATGCTGCGCAGCGGAGGGCGTTGTTAAAACTAGAGAGAGCGAGTTGAAAAAAGAGATGCGGCGTTTCAATGCGCCAGTATGGCGAAGAAGACCGGGCCGTGGGGGCGAATTGCCCTTGTATGATATGTTGATACCTTTATACCAACACCACAACTACCTGTACCTTAGCTTACTTTACTGCTACGATAGCATCGGTAGAATCACTAGCTGATCCTCCTCGTTCTTGTCTCTGTCCTCTGTTTTATGTATATGTACAATTGTACGCCGGGCTAGGAGATACTTGGAAGGCTGCGATAGAGCAGGAGAATCGGAATCGACGGGGTTTCTCGTTGCGATATCGTATTCATTAACTTACTGTACCTACCTAGGTATGTATCTTAGGTATGTATCTACCTTGAGGTATGTTTATTAGGCAACCTACCTTACCTGTTTGTTCGAAACACTCCGGTTCTACTTCTGTAGCGATATCGCGATTGTGTTGTTTCTACTTGAGCTTTCAGCTGTCTGTCTGTCTGTCTGTATACCGGTCACTGGTTTGTCTGTTTTCATTTGCTTCCTCGATACATATAGGTACCTAGCTAGGTAGGTAGGATTTTAAGGTTTTAAGTACTATCTACCTGATCTACGACACCAACGAGACTACGAACATTAGGAAAAAGGCGCTTATCGGGGGAACAAGATCAAAAAGTCGCTCGCGTGCGATTTATATTACCTCCTAGTATAATGTATTGGTATACTGTAGTAGCTTGTACCCTAGTAAGGCAGGCTAGCCTATTTTGCCTTGCCCTAGGTATCGTTTAGTTCCACTTCACTAGATCCAATCAAAGAACGACCTTTTCTTCATATATATAACTTTTTCTCGCTTGTTAGATTTTGATTACGATAGAGTGCATATATACCTAGTCTGGGGAAAACGTGATGAGTCTCCCCATGGATATATGTACATAATCCGTATTTTCGTATGTAAGCTTTAGAGTTACTTGACCCTGCCTGTTTTGAAACCATAGCGGTTTTTTGGATAGAGGGGAGTGGGGGGGAGCGGGACGGGGGGGGGTTGTGTTTTTCTTTCGCTGTGTGATCCGAGAGCGCGGTATGCGATCGTCGCTTGTGGGCACAGGCTTGATCCCTTCCACTTCATGTATACATGACTACATGTACCTATTCAACGGTCAAGGGACAAGGGACCTCTCACCTCCACTGTCCAGTCCCAGCTGAGTGGACGGCAGAACTGGATCGGGGGGTTTGTTTTATGGAAATCAGACTTTCCCGCATTCCGGGAAGAGAGAGGTACTTTTGCCCTTGTGCATGGTTGAGCGATTTGGTGTTTATGCAGTAATGCAGGTGATGGGAGATGGTGGACGTTTTGTGTTTTCACTACAGTATTATTGTACTTCTACCCGTGAGAATGCTGATGGTCTGTTTCTGCTTCTACTGCTGTGGTAGGCTCCGGTAGACGCTGCGCTATACTAGTAGGTGTTGGTGGTGGTGGTGGTGGTGGTGAAGGTCGGAGACATGGTAGTGATGTACTGTCGAGAGGTGCGCGAGTGGAAACGGAAGGCAAGGTGAGGCGAGGCGAGGCGAGACGGGGCGAGTCAGTCGAGTTGTGGAGAGAGAGGAGAGAGACAGAAAGATGATGACAGAGAGAGAGAGAGAGAGAAAGAGAGAGAGAGAGAGAGAAAGAGAAAGAGGAAAGACGGGATAGCGGGAGAAACTAGTAGGGTCGTTACCGAAGAGAAGGGACGTCTGTGCGCCCGAGAGGCTAAAGTTTGGCGCTGCTGCCAATTCCATTCTTTCGTCCGCCGTCCGGAGACCAGACCCACGAGCTGGATCCTCCCGTCCCGTCAAACCGTTATCACATAATCACAGTGGAGACACAACTGCGCGACCCGCCCGTCTGGTCCGCTGATTCCTTCTCGTCCACTGGGCCCAAATCCACCCACTTGGCTCACTCCCACAACTGAACAACCGCCGACCATTGTCATCCCCCATCCCGACTCGGAGTCCACTCGACTCCGCACCACCACCTCTGCCTGACTCGGAACCTGCGACAGAGTTGCGTCAACGATGCGATAGAACGACCTAGCGCTTGCTGTCGTCGTGCTCATCACTGCCGCCGTCGCTGATCGCAAACGCACCTCGCTTCCCTTCTACCTCCATTCATTCCACCGGCCCATTCGCTCGTTTCCTCCCACATCACGCCACCTGCCCTCGATTCCTGCTACACCACTGCGCCCACACCTCTCTCTATCATGACCGAAGACGCATCAACTCCACCCTCCATGGCAGATCGGGAACGGAGGAGAGGGAGTCTGGCGAGGAGGGCACTACAAAGTGTGCGGGCTGTAATGAACCGACGGAGTAGCGGCATCAGGAGCCCGACAGCATCTTCGAGCGCCGAGGTCAGGAATGTAGCGGCCGTGAGGATAGTGGAGCCTACAAGCAGTGCAAGTGTCGGGGCCGAAAGAAACGACATTCCGGGCAGCGTCATAGAGGATGTAGGACCTATAAGAGCGGTAGAAGCTCCGGTGGTGTCTCTTGCTGCTATGCGCAATACAATCGAAGTGGATAACAGTGACGACGACGAAACCGTGGAGCCATTATTACCGATGAGAATGGGACGGTCTGGTCTGTCGACAGAGAAGGCGCGAGAACTGTTCGCTCAGCATGGGTTCCACTATGAGCTCCGAGGCTTCCAGCCGCATCAGGAACCACCAAACAAGATACGACGTGTGGAAAAGCCAATCCGACTACGAGTCCATTACACATGTCACGAGTGTCAAAGGAAATTCGGCGTGGAAAAGACGTGTCTGCAATGTGGGCACCAGCGATGTCGAGTCTGTGCAAGAGATCCACCGCGAAGAGTGAAGGAGTTGTCAGATCGCTCTCGAAAGTCAATGCAGGCAGATGAAGCTGCCAAGGCAACCGCTGCTGCTGTTGCATCGACGGAAACTTGTGCCAAAGTGCCGGCCATTGAGCCAGCAGTCCCTGCTCCCGAGAGTGCTCCAGAGATGCTTACTGGTCCATTGCTACTGGATGAAAGCTCCGAGTACACGACCGAGCCACTGCCAAAGGACTTTGAGTTCACCATGTACGCCCGACCTCGAACAGGCATCCAGACCATGTGGAGAGCCGACTCACGGCCAAGAGTCCACAAGCAATCTCATAGCGCTTCACTCACATCGTCAGAGGATGATGTACCTATGGTCAGAACCGTCAAGCGAGTGTATCGAAAACCTCGTCAGCGGGTGCGATATACTTGTGAGAACTGTTCGACTCTTTTCATCGAAGGTGTCCGTTGCTACCAGTGCGGGCACGAACGATGCCAGCATTGTCATCGTGAACCGTAAGTCATTCCCTTCTATTCTTACCACTGTGCCACGACGATCAATACTGATAATATCTTCCTTGCAGGCCCAAAAGAACGCCTCCACAACACGACCCCGAAGTGATGCGATCTCTCGCTGCCAGAATCGCGTCCTATAACTACGGCCAATCTTCTGGCGTTACTGCTTCAGGATAAGAAGAACATTGTTATGAGTTTGGTTCTACTTTTGGCTCTTGCATTTTTCATGCGATTCTTTCGATGCTCATTCACGATACCAACTTGTGCTTTCTTCCTACCGAATCGATCGTGATTTAATTGGTGGGATTCTTTTCGATTGAAGAATTAGGCTTTGGGGGAAATAAAGAACCGACAGGAAAACATCACTTTATTGAGAAGAAGAAGGAAAAATGGAAATGGCAAGCATTGCATTCCATTGCATTTGAGATAGATCCACAGCATACCCTTATCCTTACGACGCAAAAAGCCTGTGGTATATACTACACGTATGTACCACAGCATACCATACCATTCCGTTCATTTAGGGTATCGCGCGCATATCATTCATCGCAAATCATACATACGCTGGTCGTGACAACCTGTGCACTCTATGACATCCTGTTGTTGAGGATCACGTCTTCGTCGTCACTTGCACCTCCCCTCCCTCCCCTCCTCCAACCTCCTTCCTCGCTTCTACATCCCTCGCTTCGGACCCGAGTCCAGCCATATATCTCCTCGCTAATGATGATGGCGTTTGTGGCTTACCTTTTTCCATGTTTCATATACACGGAGTCTGGACCAGGACTACGGGAATCGGGCTTTTGTTTTTCTATCTATCTTTCTACTTTATCCATTCTTTTCTTTTCTTTCATTCTCTTTTTGCTCAGAAGACTATTTACCTGCTTTACTATTTTGGTATGTTTCACTTTTTGGTTTGGTTTGGTTTTGGTTTTGGTTTTGGTTTTTTAGTTTAGTCTCGATGCTGGTCTGGTCTCGGTCTCGGTGGACTGTCCGGGTTGCCTGCTTGTCCGGGTTGGAGGCGGACTGGCGGGTGTATTGCGGGAGAGAGGCCATAAAAGATACGTATGGATTGGTCGGATGCGTAGGGTGGTTTGTTATGTGGTGGTGGTATGGATCATGTCTCTTTTTATTAAGAACTTGATGCACCTATACCTATACCTTAGCTATCTACCTACCTACAGGTACCTAATATTGAAGTTACGAGCTAGGTATGGATGGTATACAGCGCGCTGTAGCTGTAGCCACCTTACAGTATACATGTATACATACTGTATCTGTCTGTTGTGGAATGATATCATCCCGTATAGACATCCTTCCATCCATCTCCATCCATCTCTATCCATCTAGTCTCCAGCCCTCGCCCAAAGTTCAAAACTACTTAATACCAGATCTAGACTGATTATAGAAATTGCATTAGAGTTTGAGTAGAATGGTTCTAGCGCCAGAATAAACCAGAAAAGTGAAAGAAACAGCCACAAACAGCCTATCTCCTAAAAAGCACACTGTGATGAGGGGTATACATACGTAGCGTAGCTACGTGTTGAAAGGATCTCCGGTAGGTATGGTATCTATCCGTCTTTTTCCTTCTCCCTTTCCCAAATACACGAGAAATTGCATTTGATGGGAGAGTTTGCTTTTTCTGTAATGGTATGATTGATTCCCGTGTTCTTGGCTCGCTCCTTCGGAGGGGGGGCTGAACTTCAATTGCCACGTTTTTTTCTAGAAACTCCCTCGCTACCGTTGTTGGGAGATACATATTACGGCTAGGTTCTACCTCCTAGCATAGTAATGCTGCTGATGCTGTGCATTATGCAGCTGCGGGTTTGACGAGTGAGGAGTATATTAGTCGAAATGGGAATTTAGGGTTCATATATCCACTACCTGTCTCCTCCTCCTCCTCTTCCTGAGCCTTTGCATCGGATCCTTGGCCGGCGGGGGCGGGCAAGAACTCCCGCTGGATTTCGTGGAAGTAGGCTTACTCTGCAGTCTGCACGGAATACATGTGGCTTTTTGATAGTTTGGGTACGGTTTGATGGATCCATGCATGTTACCGCAAGGTAAGGTTGGTGGCGAAGCTGTAGAGGGGCCAGGGTTTTCCATCGAGTGTTCTAAAGATGCCTCTAGAAGGCGGCAGGGTGTGACTATGGATTTTGTGGTGGCACGCTCTTGCGATCAATAGCTTGGGATGGATAGAATAGGTACTCAGCCATGCAGTACTTGGACTTCACTTGACTCGCAACGGGAGGCTGTATGTGTGACTACGGTCCAGGTATCTCGGCCGAGCCTATGTCAGGTGGAACGGGCCGTCTCGGACGTGCACTCGCGCTGGGTCCTCGGTCCTTGCTCTCGGTACCACGTCCGTTGCCGTCCCAGAAGTTCAAGGGAATGGTCTCTGGTTCTCTTCATCAACATGCACCACAATCAGGTTTGGGGTGTGATATGCATGCAGGAGCGGAGGTTTCGAAGCGCTGGGACATTGTGATGATGGCGCAGGTCTAGACTGTCAGGTCGTGCTGGCCGAGTCACCACTGCAACCGTATTGATGACCATTCGATGCAGAGGCTTTTGGGACGCGCTGACTTCTGTCCTGACTTTCTCCGATCTACCTCACCAGCAAGAGGGAGGTGTAAAGCGTGACGCGTTGATGGGAATCAGAACAGACGCGATACCAGATGCCAGAGTTCGGGAACGCAGGTTTCCAAGAAGATCAATTCTGCTATTGGACAGACATGCATATACTCCACACGGTGGTAGAAGGTGTACCGCTGTGAACCTGGTTATCTCGGCCATTGCAAACGCATAGCATAAAGTCAATGCTTGTGGTATGCAGCTCTTTCCCAGAAGGCAGGTCGATCGCTCGATTCTCATGTCTGTCCCCGCAGCAACGTGGACCACGAGACTCTTTTGGCGGACTGTTCAGCCTGGAGAAATCACTTGCCGCAGAGAGTCTGGGTCAGAGAAGATACAAGTGACGCTTCGAATCCGTCCTGCGAGGTTTGTCCGAGACTCGACTCAACTGCTTTCCATTGCCCGTTCTGGATACCGTCGGATCTATCGAGGAAGAAAAAGAGGTTAGTCCAGTGCTCCTATGGCAGACTAGGAGGTACAGGTACCCTCACTCCTATGGATGATGGAAGCCAAGCGCACGAGCTGTCCTGAGGCAGAACACAAATTCAGAATCAATGTCTCACATCTATAAGACCTATGACATAACTCACCGGTCGCTGTCTTCCGGGCCCCGGTGGTCCAAGTCATGGTCCTTCACTTATGTTCTCCATGTGTTAGCGTGCTCCGAACAAGGTAGGAGGTGCCTCCTCTATTGCATACCTGACGCTAGATTTCGTCCGAATGCCAGACTGAAGAATTGAGGAACACAGACAGGTGACGAGTGCGACGTCTCTCGTTCTGGCATCAACCTGGAAAGTGGGATGGACGACGTGGTTGGTTTCAGGCACTGGCTTTCGCACTGGAAATAGCAATCCAACCATGTCGATCTAGAACCATCTTTATGGTACAAATGGCATTGGCCTTTGGACATCCCACGTTTTCGTGCACGCACAATATGATTGCCCACAGCCTTCCCACTGTCAGCGAGCTCATATTTTGGCATTGTGCTCTCCATCTTCTTTGTGCTCGAGGGCCGGGTCCGCACACGCCTCTACAGTGGCTACAGTAACCTAAATCCTACCCAAGACCCTTGGTTAGGTTCACTCATACAGCCCAGCTATAGGTACGAGGTACATGTAGTACAGCTATTCGTCCCTCTCACCGCCCTGCTTGTCGTTGCTGTGAACCGCTGTGTCAAATGAGAGAACTTTGGTGATGAATGATGGGATACTTCGGTACCATCGGAACGACGCATGGCATGGAAGCATGGACGTGCTTACGTAGTGAGGAGCGAATGAGCGAAAGGCTTTTGGACACGATGTGCCACTCCAAAAATTCCTCCGAGAGAGTGATCATGCAGCATCATGCTCCCATGCGTGCGCACACCATAATGCCGCTTTCGACTTCCTAGCCGTTGACCCTGACTCAAGGAGACATCAATTCCTTTGTCGCTGCCCGTGCCGCCTTAGCACACACCTCTTCTTCTCGAGCGGTGACTTGCGCGCGCGCATATTGTATGCATTGCTGCGTCGCCATAGCTCTCTTGACCGAATCCATTGCTGCTCCCTCTGACGGCCGCAGACGCTGATTCTTGAGCTCTTGTAGCCAGAGAGGTCTACGAGCATATCCAAGGATGAAGTTTGGGCAGCAGCTACCTCGCCAGCAGGTGCCGGAATGGGCTTCCGCATACATCGACTACAAGGCATTGAAGAAGCTCATCAAGGCGGCGAAGGTGGCGGAGGCACAGAGTGGGGAGCCGGATCTTGCTGGTAGACGACGGTGAGCAAGCCTACGAGGCACATTAGATAACCTAACCCGTGCGACAGAGTTCTTCTTTACTCTTGATCGCCAACTGGAGGATATCGACACCTTCTACAACCGCAAATATGCCGAGATCTCGCGACGCCTACGACTCTTGTACGACCGATATGGCGTGGCCTCGAAGCTCAAAGATGGCATGGAACAGGAGGATATACAGGATTTGACAAGCACTTTGCTCGAGCTCCGTGCAAGATGCCGCAACCTGAACTGGTATGGAGGCGTCAACCGGACAGCTTTCGTTAAGATCACGAAGAAGCTGGACAAAAAGATTGAGTCCTCGAGACACCAGAGCCGATACTTGTCCACCAAGGTCGACCCCAAGGCCTTTGCAACAAGGAATAAGCTCAATCTGGACATGCGTAGCATCAATGACTGGCTGATGGCTCTGACTGCAATCAAGGTGGTGCCCGACGATGGATCGGTGCACTCGGGCAGCTCGGGGTCGATACATCGCATGGGCTCCCGAGCGTCACTCAAAATCTCCTCCGCCGCGTTGGATGCTATGGAGACTGCTATCACACAAGACGACACCGCTGAGCTCTTCAAGTTGACTGAGACCCATGTGCCCAGCGCCACGGGCGACTCACTCAAGGGACTCTACCTCGATCTGCTGCAACGAGCAATCTCCCACAAGTCACTGAAGTGCATCAAGTCGTTGTTGAGTAAAGTGCCTTCGATCGACGCGGACGACGATATCAACAAGCGCAATTGTCTGCACAGAGTGGTCATTGCAACAGGTCGTACTCGAGCATCGGAACACTCCGGCGGCTTCCATGAGATCGCCAAGAACTCCAACTACATCAATCCTGCCGAACCACCTTCGCGTCTTCCAGGACAGTTCAAGGTAGAGGAGCGTGATCCCGAGCGAGAGCCCTTCCCAGACGACAGCATAGAACGACTTCTGGCTTTCATTCTCGACCACCTCAGCCAACAGCAGCGACAGAGTGTGCTTTCCAAAGACACCTATGGCCGCACCCCTTTGCACTATGCTGCGCAGTATGGTCTGGTGTTTGCCACTGAGATGCTCATGAAGCACTTGCAGGATTGGCATCTGTTCGAGGTGTCGCAAGGCATTGACTCAGAAGAGTGGCAAGATGAAGAAGGATACGCCCCATTGCACCTCGCTGTCATCGGTGGACATTATCGGACGACCAGAGCACTCCTGATGTCGGACGATTGGAGCGCCTTCACCGATGCACGATTGACGAATAAGCACGTCGAGAAAAGCGGCACGTCTCTCGCATTGGCGACGAAATCGAACTTTCACAAAATTGTCAAGCTATTGGTCGAAGCTGGAGTAGACGTGAACTTCCAGAACGAGCAAGGCGACACCGCACTTCACATCGCTGCTAGGAACGGACATGAAGACTGTGCAGAAGCCTTGCTCGCCGCAACTGAGGGAAAACACCGCATCAATATCGAACTGCCCGACAAAGACTTTGGATGGACACCAATTCACATTGCGTGTGTTAATGGTCATATGGGTGTTGTCCAGCTTCTGCACAAAGCCGGTGCCGACATCAACAAGAAAGACTACTCGAGCTGGACGCCCATGGAGCATGCAGCGTTGCGAGGACACATTGACATTGCTCGCTACTTGCATCAATACAGCCCGTCACCAGAACTTCATGCGAGCCCGGAGTTGAACGGACAGGTTTCGGGGTCGCCACCCAATGCTGTTTGTTCCACGTTGGAAGAGCGGCGATCGAATGGCGTACCCAAGGAAGACGCCAAGTCCCGCATTCCTGAGCCGGTCAAGTCTTTCGGCCATCGATATCTCACAGATGAGTCCATGATTCTCGTCAGTTTGGGCACGCTTGATGAGAACAAGGACCTGAAGCCGATCAGCCTCGAAGACATCGCCATTGCCGATGCTCATGCCACCCAACTGGATACTGCTCTGTCCTTGGTAGTGACAGCGCAAGGCGCGACCGGCGAGGAAACGGTCATTGATCTTCCCATACACGAGGAGATCAGCACAACCCCGATCGTCTTTAAAGCCAAGGACCCGTCCAAGGTGAAGCTGTTCTTCGACCTTGTGCCCACGTATGCGGGTTCGAGTGAGAAGCGCATCGCTCGTGCTGCAGCCTTGTTGTCGAGCATCAAGCCTGGCGTGGGCAGCAAGCGTGTCACGCTTCAAACCGATCTTAGCATTCCTCTGCTGGCCGGGCAAGATTTCGATGTGATTGGGGCGATCAACTTCAACTTTCTGGTCATCTCGCCGTTCCAACATCCGAACCTGAACATCAGTGAGGAGAAAACGTACTGGACCAAGTCATCCACCATGGTCATCGGGCATCGTGGACTTGGCAAAAATGTCTCCGCAAAGACGTCGCTGCAGTTGGGCGAGAACACCATTCAGTCCTTCATCACTGCTGCCAACTTGGGAGCATCCTATGTCGAATTCGATGTACAGATGACGAAAGACCATGTGCCAGTCATCTACCACGATTTCATCGTCAGCGAGACTGGCGCGGATGTGCCCGTGCACACCCTCACCCTGGAGCAGTTTCTTGCTCTGAGTGATACGCCAATGACCTCGCGACCATCTTCGCCTCCCACTACCAACGGGCGGAGCGACAGGAACGGCGATATGCGTCGTGCACAGCGTTCGTACTCTGTGGGCGCTCCCATCATCGAGGATAAGACGAATGATCGCCTCAAGCATACTCGAGACTTTAAGACGAAAGGATTCAAGGGCAATCGCCGCGGTGACGTGATCCAGTCACAATTCACAACACTGGAAGAGATGTTCCGCACCTTACCGGAAGATGTTGGCTTCAACATCGAGATGAAGTATCCCATGCTCTTCGAGTCCGTTGAGGAAGAAATGGATACCTATGCTGTGGAACTCAACCTCTTCGTGGATACTGTGCTCAAAATGGTATACGACAGGCGGAAGAAGCGCAACATCGTCTTCAGCTCCTTCCATCCGGATCTCTGTTTACTATTGACATTTAAGCAACCTTCGATACCAGTGCTGTTCCTCACGGACGCTGGAGTCGCTCCCGTGGGTGACATCAGAGCGTCTTCTCTACAAGAAGCCATCCGCTTCGCCTCGCGCTGGAACTTGCTCGGCATCGTCAGTGCCGCAGATCCATTTGTGCTATGCCCACGTCTCATCAGCGTGGTGCAGTCGTCCGAGTTGGTGTGTGTCAGTTACGGAACTGCGAACAACGACCCGGCGAAGAGCAACCTCCAAGCGGACTGGGGTATCGATGCAGTGATTGTCGACAGCGTCGCTCGCGTGAGAAAGGGTTTGACGGAAAAGGTCACGAATGGCGCGGAAATCGCGAAAAAGAAACCCGAGCCCAATGGCGTCAGTGAGCTGACGAAAGAACTTCATCACAATCTTGCTGTTGCCAATGGCGGCAAGCAGGAGGCTAAGACAGTGGCGTGAGACCCCTCGAAACCGAGAGGGCACTGGAAGAGTGGAAATTGATAGAGCCGCCTGAAGTGCTCGTGGCGGTGATTGATGGCGTTTTGTTATTTTCATTTTCATTTTTGACAATTTTGTTGTTCTTGTTAGGCAAGGTGGGCAACAAGTTACTGTTTAGCTAGGTAAGGTAAGGTAAGGTAAAGTATTGATTGTCAGGTGCGCTGTATGTACGATTTATTTCTGGATGGTGTTCCTTCCTCACTCACATGTTATCAAAACAAAAGAAAAAAAAAAATAAGATCTCTCCGCTTGATATGATTCATGTACCTTACCTGCCTCACCTACCTACCTTGACGTTCTTTGGCAAACTGATAGAGTTAGGAGTTTTGTGTGCCCAGGTATGTACCTGGTAGGTATCTATTGAAGCCGTCCGTGTTCATATACCTGACCCTTCCTGAGTTCCAGATCGGACCTGCTAATGTAACTAGTTGGACCCAGACAACAATGTATCCCGAGAACATCTTCTGAAATGACTTTAGCAACACGGCAATCCCCTCGACACTGGAAGAAGTAACTCCCCCGGGGGCTGTGGGCCCAACCTGGGTTTCACGATGAAAGTCGGTAAGTCCCTGTATGTACTTGGTAGCATTTCTGAACGAAACCTGCAGGTCAGTCAGATTTGGGCTTGCTTTGCTGTTCTGGAAAAGCCTACAAGTCCGGGGCGAGGCCATGCAACCGACCACAGACAGCAGTCACCAACTTCGCCTGAGGTGAGAACATGTTACAGTTACTATGTCCTCGGAACATCAATGCCACGCTTTCGCAGGCATTTCCCAAAGCAGGAATGCTAAGCAACGACACCAACCAGGGATTGCGTACTTCTCACAGTCTGCCAGACGAGAGTCTAACAATTCGAACAGATGGTGGAAGATGTCGGGAGTAGATTTCAGCGCTCTATTGTAGAGGTCCAGGTATTGCAAAGAATAGCAAAGCGGAAAACCATCTTCGTCTGCGCGGAGCTTTCGTCGAACACTCAGGTCCGAATTTATAAGCAACGAGGTCTCCTCTCGAGCCTCTCAAAAAGCGCAGGTCATACTCTCTGCTAGGCTCACCTCGGATTGCTTTAATCATGATTTCATGCTACTGCGCCGCCATCTAATCGGACGACCCCCCTGCGCGATGGTCCCGTGTCCGTTGCTGCGACTCATGGTGCAGACTGGCATTCTCTCGTCAGAGTGCATACTCGCCAAAGCGAAACTGTTAGTATTGTGCCCGAAGTACAACCATGCACCATCCCTGGTTCTCTTCACGCTCAACATTCCAATGGCACTATTCGAATCAGAGTATTTTACGCTGGGATGGCCCATGAAGTCCTTTTCGATGAAGCTTCTTATGGCGCTCTCCTCGATGCATTCCTCAAATGTGCCTTTCTTGGTCTTCTTATGGGAGTGGTAAATGCGATCGCTGCAAACCGAAGACGCCATGGTGGTAGACATCTGTTCGCCAGTGCCGGAAGTAACGGTGGCGACTGTGGTCTTTTCCTCGTCATCGTCCTCGACAGGCACAACGGTAGCGCCGATGCCGATGAGCGCAGCTGGCCCAACGCGACCTCGATGCTTCATACCAATACCGCCGGAAGAGGCTCCACACGCGATGTTGCCGTACATGTCAATGGCAATAGCCCCAACCGTGTCTGTTATGTGATCCTCGCCATTGTTGGGGCCCGGCCCAGGTATCTTGCCCGGGGCGTTAGCAACTTTGGCTGGTCCTGGTGATGACATTGGACTCGAAGCCTCTCGTGTTCCAGCGACTTTAGCTGGAGACGGAACCGGACTGGAGGCTTCTTGTATGCGGATGACTTTGGGTGCTTCGTCTGCTAGAGCTTCCTTGCTAGGTAGATTCGATCCGGGCTGTAGGTTTTGTACAGGCTCAGTGCAACAAGCACCAGTGCTATGTGTCTGTGGCGGACAAGGCCGTGCCGTCGTGCGAGATGTTCCTGACCCAGAAGATGGGGTTTGGTGGCCGTCAGTGCCAAGTCGCGCGGTGTCATCAGAGTCCGAAGCAGAAGATAGACGCCGAGAATCTGATCGGGGCCGGTGGGAACTAGGTAGCACTTGGCCTTCACCCTCGCCGTACTCTGTGTAAACATCCATCACGTTTTCGTCGTCAAGTATGCCGAAGCCATCATGCATACTCGCTCGATGTGAGTGAGTGGCAACCGGCTTCGAGGAGCCGTGAGTCAATGGGCGTTTGACCAAGTTTTTGAATGGGACAGGCGGACCTTGCGGATCGCTGTAAGTGTCTGGATGCGAGTCCGAGTCGTCAGGCGTGGTGTCAGGCGTTCCTGCAGCTTCGCTGAACGACACGCTGGACGTCGATGGTCCCCTCGAAGAGAGGGACTCTTCCCGAAGATCTGACGGCGGAGGTGAAATAGGCTGTGCATCGTTGTACAGCGATTCTATCAAGGCCAACTCGCGCTTTTCGTGGGCCTGGCGTTGTTGTTCAGAGTCAGTAGTATATTCGACTTGGTGGCGGAAAATTTCAGCTTGCGAGCCCGTGGAAAGAGTATTGTAGGTGCTCAAATGATCACGGGCCTTGTGCCGATCAACCTTGTTGAGGTCTCCTCGCCACTTTTGCCATCGATGTCTAGCGAAAGGTGAGATAAGATAATCGTGGGGCATGATGGGCATGCCATGCGCATCCGCAAACTGCCTCGCGCCTTCGCCGACCAATAGGTTTGGTGGGACACGTCGCAGAGACAGAGATTGCGTGGAATGATCGAGGACTTGTCGCGCGAGCGAGATTGGATTTTTGATCTCTGCAGGTGATGGTCAGCTCTCGCTTGCTACGTTGTGTCTGGCGAGGACTCACGAGCAACAGCACCAGCAGCTCCACTCCTGCCGAAATGATCTACCACGATAGCGTCACACTCTACCACGCCATCGTAACCCAAATTGCTGCCGAAACCTGCATTGGTGATTTCCCGGTCCTCGAGAACACGAATGGCGATTTCGACAGCATCGACCGCAGTGCCGCCACTCTGCATAAGCCGCATAGCTGTTTTGCACGCACTATTCCATGTCAGCCATTGTGAATCCACCCCATACCACCGAAAGTCTCACATACTCCTCACATGCCTGCAGATGGTGTAGCTCGTTATCCTTGCTGTGATAACCGGCTCCAGCATGCACGAAGATGCAGGCGATATCTGTCTTGTGGCGCCCTGGCCTGGCCTTCGACAACATGGTTGATGTTCTCTGCTTAATCCTGGCCGACGTTGAGGCTATCGTATATCGACGGAGACGCAGACTCGCGCGCCAGTCCTGTCCAGCAGCTTCTCGTAGGTCTGTAGAGGTCGCGAGACTTAGTAGGAGATTGCAGCACGGGAAAAAAGTTGGCGATGAAACGAGCGACTTGTGTCTGCTAGAGGGCGAGGCCCGGAAGAATGTGCAAGCTGAGCGCAGTGCTGGATGGAGCAATGTCAGTCGAGGAGGCACAGCAGAGAGGGAGAGTGAAGGTGAAGTGAAGTTGAGGTGGGAATGGAAATGGAAATGGAAATTGAGGTGGCACACAGAGCCTCGACCCGCGCACGTCTGAGGGGAGGCTGTTTCTTCCTCAGGTCCCACCGACGGACAACAAGGAAAGAGCGATCTTTCTCGCTTGCTGCTTTAGGTAGTAGGTAGGTGGTTCTGGTCGCAGCAGGTCGCGCCTTCGCTTCACGTCGGCTTGCACGTGTCAGCGAGGTCCACCTACTGTAGATACCTTAGGCAGGTAGGTACAAGGTAGTAATGCACGTGTAACGTCTCTCGATCAGTCTGCTACGTGGATGCGGCTGATGGACCTTTCAATGGCCATCCAGGGCGGCTGTGTGATGCAGTATCTCCTAGGAGGTAAGAAGAGGGCAGAGGAAGCGTGATGTCTGGTCTCCATGAGAAAGTCTTGGCGCCCCGCCTTCCAGAAACACTCTCTCGGCGCTTCCCGCACCTGTAGTTGCGTAACTGTCAGCAAGCTGGCAGACAGGCAGGCAGGCAGGCAAGCAGGCAGGCACAAACCTACCTTACCGACGCGACCACTAGACACGACATACTTACGCTCTCTCATCAGCACTGCAGGCGGCTACCGAAAGCAATACCGCCACTATGGCGACGCAAACTCCTGCTGTTGTCATGGACAAGTATGCTTGCGCCAATGCCTCGTGCCTTACTACGCTCAACACCGCTAACTATGCCCCAGCGGCACTGGCTACTCGAAACTAGGCTTCGCCGGCAACGACTCTCCTTCGTTCGTCTTTCCGACCGCCATTGCCACCAAAGCGGCCGGTCAAGCAGGTGGCAGCTCGGGCTCTGGCCGACCTGCTGTTGCAAATAAGCCCTCGTTCTTGACCGGAGGCGCGGGACCAACAGGACATTTGTCCGGCAAGAGGGGGACAGAGGACTTGGACTTCTTCATCGGCGATGAAGCACTCGCCGCGTCGGCTGGACCTGGTATGCATCGTTCCTGGTAGTATCGGGGGGACATGTATTGACTGCGTGGAACAGGCTATGGCATACACTACCCCATACGGCATGGTCAGATTGAGAATTGGGTAGGGAGGACATGCGTGAGACTATCGAAGATTGTCTAACCCATCGTGCAGGACCACATGGAGCGCTTCTGGTCGAATAGCATCTTCAAGTACCTCCGAGTCGAACCGGAAGACCACTACTTCCTCCTTACCGAACCGCCTCTCAACCCGCCTGAGAATCGCGAGAACACCGCCGAGATCATGTTCGAATCATTCAACTGCGCCGGTCTATATATCGCTGTGCAGGCTGTCCTTGCTCTGGCCGCGTCCTGGACATCATCGAAAGTGCAGGATCGATCATTGACAGGAACCGTGATTGACTCTGGCGAGGGTGTCACGCACGTCATCCCAGTTGCCGAAGGATATGTGATTGGAAGTTCGATAAAGTCCATTCCTATTGCTGGACGAGACATCACGTACTTTGTGCAATCATTGCTGCGAGACCGAGGAGAACCAGACAGCAGCTTGAAGACTGCCGAGAAGATCAAGGAGGAGTTCTGCTACGTGTGCCCAGACATCGTGAAGGAGTTCCAAAGATACGATCGCGAGCCCGATGATCGGTTCAAGCAGTATGTCGTTCGACACCTGAACGGACGCAGTGTGACAGTGGATGTTGGATACGAGCGCTTCTTGGCTCCCGAGATCTTTTTCAATCCCGAAATCTACAGCTCCGACTTCCTTACGCCTTTGCCAAATATCGTCGACACAGTCATTCAAACATCGCCGATCGATGTACGAAGAGGTCTATACAAGAACATTGTGCTATCTGGAGGCTCTACACTTTACAACCAGTTTGGACGGAGGTTGCAACGAGATATCAAGCACCTGGTGGACGCACGGATTGCTTCGTCAGAAGCGCGCGCAGGCAATGCAGCAAAGTCTGGAGGTCTAGACGTGCAAGTCATCACACACAAAAGGCAACGACACGGCCCCTGGTTCGGTGGCTCCTTACTCGGATCAACCCCAGAGTTCCGCAGCTACTGTCATACGAAGGCCGATTACGACGAGATAGGCCCCAGCATTGTTCGAAGATTTGCGTTACTCGGCGGTCCAGGTAGCACATGAAGCGTTTACGCTCTGTGGCAGGGATCGCGCGCTGCCATAGTGATTTGCGACATCTGTTGGGCTTGGTCATTAAAAGTACGACAGGCCTCAGGTCTACATTCTAGCGACGCAGACGTCATGACACGGCACACCTCCTTCACGTAGATATGATATACAGCAAACCACTGTTTTCAGTACTTGAGAGGAGACACAATACCTTACCGTTGTAAAACAAGCCAGTCCATCCTCCATGTGACTTTATAAACAGAAAATGCAAGAACGATGAAGTCTCCTCGGCAACGCCAAGCCGCCACGGCGCGCGCCGTGCGGAAGGCAGCCACTGACCCGAGACGCGTTTCCAGGTTGTCTTTCGTCGCCACCACTATCGCACTCCCATACCGTACCAGCTGCTGTAATCGCGTTGGCACTGGTCTAACACGAAATGGACGCATCGAAGTCGTCTTCGCCTCCACGAGGGACCAAACGTAAGGCGGATGAGATGCAAGCCCCGCGCCGCATTCGTGCCCTTGAACAAGACGTTGTCAACAAGATCGCAGCCGGAGAGATCATCGTTGCACCCGTCCACGCTCTCAAAGAATTGATCGAGAATGCAGTGGACGCTGGTTCCACCAGTCTCGAGATCCTGGTCAAGGAAGGCGGCCTGAAGCTGTTGCAAATCACTGACAATGGGTGTGGCATCAGCAAGGACGACTTGCCCATACTTTGCGAGAGATTCACCACATCGAAGCTCAAGTCATTCGAAGATCTCCAGGCCATTGGAACATATGGCTTCCGAGGCGAGGCTCTGGCCAGCATAAGCCATATTGCGCATCTTGCGGTGACCACGAAGACGTACGATTCCAGCTGTGCTTGGAAAGCACACTATGCTGGCGGAAAGCTCACTCCAGCAAAGCCGGGACAGTCCGAAGATCCCAAACCCTGCGCTGGAAGACAAGGTACGCAAATTTCTGTCGAAGATCTCTTCTACAATGTGCCGACTCGCCGCCGCGCCTTCCGATCTGCGAGTGAAGAGTACGCAAAGATTGCGGAGGTCGTCGGCAAATATGCAGTGCATTGTCAAGGTGTAGCCTTCTCGTGCAAGAAGCACGGCGAAGCTGGTGCAGGTGTTGCCGTTCCAGCCAATGCCAACATTCGCGACCGGATCCGTCTCACACAGAACAGCAATGCGGCGAATGAGCTTATAGACTTCCAGATCTCGAGTGACCAGTATGGCTTCAGAGCTGCTGGACTAGTCAGCAACGCCAACTACAATGGAAAGAAGACAACCATGTTGCTTTTCATCAACCATCGATCTGTCGACTCGTCTGCCATCAAGAAAGCCATCGAGCAGACATATTCGGTGTTTTTGCCGAAGGGAGGAAAGCCTTTCATTTACCTCAGTCTCGATATCGACCCAGCACGAGTCGATGTAAACGTGCATCCGACCAAACGTGAAGTCAACTTCCTCAATGAAGACGAGATCATTGAGCTTGTTTGCGAGGAAATCCGTACACGATTGGGCAAAGTCGACACCAGCAGGACGTTCATGACGCAGAGCCTGCTCGTTGGAGCGGGAACGCCAAGTATCTCGAAGACGAACCCATTGCCAGGCGCATCCGCAGCAGCAACATCTCAGCGCCCGCCCACGAGGCAGACTGGCAGTTCAAGGAAACCATATGAGAACAACTTGGTCAGAACAGATGCGAAGAGTAGGAAAATCACGGCTATGCTACCGCAGGCTCAGCACCAAGAGTTGCCATCTCATGAACCCGTCTCGGATGACATCGAGTATGAATATACTGACAAGGAGGCAACGATTTGTCGCTTGACTACGATCAAGGACCTTCGTGCCTCGGTCAGGGAAAACATGCACAACGAGCTGACCGACACTTACGCCAACCACACATTCGTTGGCATTGCTGACGAGACGAAACGCATCGCCGCGATCCAGGGCGGGGTCAAGCTCTTTCTCGTGGATTATGGAATGACTGCCGCGGAATATTTCTACCAGCTTGCATTGACGGACTTTGGTAACTATGGAAGTATTCGGTTCAACCCACCGCTAGCACTACAAGACTTGATCCAGATTGCAGTGCAGCAGGCCAGAGCAGCGACAGAATCAGACAATACGGACGTGGACTGGGACAAGGTTGCTGCTGCAGTGACGCAGCAGCTCATCTCCCGCAAAGACATGCTTTTCGAATACTTTGCACTTGAGGTCTCACCAGAAGGCAATCTCCTGGCCATACCACTTCTGATGAAGGGCTACATGCCGTGTATGGCTAAACTTCCCAACTTCCTACTCCGGCTAGGACCACACGTGGACTGGTCAGACGAGAAGGGGTGCTTCCAGAGCCTTCTTCGAGAACTTGCTAGCTTCTACGCTCCAGAAGCATTACCTCCAGCACCACAGGAGGGACAGACAGAAGCTGAAGACATGGCTGAGAGACGTCGCCACGTGCGTCGCGCGGTGGAAAATGTGCTATTCCCCGCGTTCAAAGCGAGGCTGGTCGCCACCGCTAGCCTACTGAAGGGCACCGTCGAAGTGGCAAACCTCAAAGGCCTCTACCGTGTCTTCGAGAGATGCTGAAGAGTCGATTGAAGCTTCCCCACGGCGTGCTGTGGGCATACCAAAACCAATATAACTTTCGGCATGCTATTATCGTACATCCCGTTTGCTTTTTCGATACAGCAAGCCTTGCCGAGTGGCAAGCAGTATTTTGCAGACGCTGTGCACTGCTCCTTCCTTTCTTGGCTTCACGTGGAAGTAGTGCGCCTCGACATGTAACCGCTACCCTCGTGTAGTTGTGCTGATCGACAGTACCTCTACCTCCTACTACTCATGCCTACCTACTTTTCTATCATCTAGCACGGACTTTGTGGGCTGGACCCGATCCTGGCTGACCAGTGGCACGCCCCCAGCAACAACGCATTCATGGCGTGGAGCGCCACAACGTCAAGCAAGTTGAAGCATCAAGCCCCATTTGAGCTTATTCTAGTGCCTGATGAGATCTGCACAACAACGCGAACGACCCAATCATAACCAGGCAGCTTCAGTGATTTTGCCACCGCCCATATCTTTTCGAGGAAGGTCACAGGCCGCTGGAGGCGTACAGAGTGGCACATTCGTCTGCATGGATGGCATGATTTATTTCACCGAAGCTGGCAGGCAACTGTGGTTCAGCACATCGAGCCTGGCAGCATATCGAGTCTGGCCTGGCGGATTTGAGTAAACTTCCAGCGCCCGCGAAGTCACGCGGGCCACCAGAGTGGTCTGCCCCCGACGGGCGAAACAGCAAGAAACGCCACCTTTTCGCCAACGCCGAGGCTTGGAGGAAGCTTTGGGATATTTGGAGAGGCTTAATTTTAAGACTAACGACGATCTTTCCTGATTGACATCGCCATGTGGGTCTTTCCCAGTTACTTTTGGGACCACTGTAGCACCCTAGCTGCTGCCGGCTTAGCAGTGATCAGTTCATCACCCCACAATTGGTCACGGCTCGTACAGAATTCTGGAAATCGGCCTCGCTCCTCATCGCCTTGGCTGGTTCGTTTTTCGCGCTCGACCAATCAAAAGGCTCACAATGCAAATGAATACTGCCCAGCATGACCTCACGTCCCCGTGCTGCAGCACTGAACGGCCATCATCTGCCATTACTCCTGCTACCACCTCCTCTCCTCCTGTGTTTGTGGTTCGCAGTCACGCGCCGCTGAACTCAGAGGCTCCACTATGGGGAAATCCAGGGTTTGTGTGGAGGTGCCTCGGAGGATCAACATCTTCGACGACGAGTATAAGAGATGCGGATGATCCATACTGCAACTGTTGCTCTTCATCTTCATCCTCAACCTCCCTCACATCGCAGTCTTCTCACCCCAAGGACACCGATCATCATGAAGAGCATCATTGCCGCGTCGCTCATCACGAGCGCATATGCTTTCCCCTTTGTCATGGACGTTTCTGGCGTCGATAGCTCTGCCATTCACGCCGAGCGACGACGAATTCGGCGACAACAAGTCGGCACTGGCGGTGGTGCGGAGGCTACATGTCCATTCAACGCCAACCACGTTCCTGCCGCTCCGGTCACTTCGCAGTACCCTTACAACAATGCAAAGGACGGGAAGCCAGGTAACGGCAAGGGTGGATACCAAGTCCCAGCCCCAGGCGATACAGCCCACGCTTTCGTTGCACCCAATCCAAAGACCGACATTCGAGGCCCTTGCCCGGGCTTGAACGTCGCTGCCAACCACAACTTCATTTCGCACGATGGTGTCGTCACATTTAACGAGCTCGTCGACGCCCAACAGAACATCTACAATGTTGGCTACGATCTGGCGAATCTCCTCGCTCTTCTTGGTCTCACCTTGACCGACGGTGACCTTGTTACCGAGAAGCTCTCCATCGGTTGTGATGCCACGTCACGAACATCGATCTCACCGATACTCACGGGCAGCGAGCCTGGTCTCGCCGGCCACAACAAGTTCGAGGCCGATTCATCGCTCACCCGAAACGACTACTTCACCAGCAACGGTAACAACTACCAGTTCAATGGCACACTCTTCCAGCAGATGACCGAAACCACTGGTGGTTTGTACAACCTGGAGAACCTGGCCAAGTACCGCTACGATCGCTGGCACGCGTCTCAGGCAGAGAACCCCAACTTCTACTTTGGTCCTCTCAGCTTGCTGCTGTTTGGTGCTGCTTCGTTCTTGTACGAGCTCATGCCATCTGGCACCAACAACTACACGCCAGACTATGCCACTATCTCCTCTTTCTTCGGTGCTCAGAAGAACAGCGATGGCACTTACTCATTCAACAACGCCGAGCAGCTCCCTGCTGATTGGACGAACCGTGTCGATCCATACGACAACGGCAAGGTTACGGAGCAGATTCTCTCAATGTACCTGCTCCACCCCGTGCAATTCGGCGGCAACACCGCCGACGGAAAGTTCGATGTCATCACATTCGGAGCGATCCAGAACGGAACCATCTCACCAGGTCTCGATGCCAGAACCACTTCTTGTCTGCTCTACCAGCTCGCCACGCAATCCGTCCCGTCATACCTCAATGGCCTCATCACTCCTACCACTGAAGCCCTCTCTTTCGCGCTCACCAAACTTTCTGGCACGAACTTTGCCAATCTGGGCTGCCCAACACCACTTACAAAGTAGACGGAAGAAATAGATGTGTTAAAGAAGTTAGCGCGCATTGATTGCAGAACTTAGCGAGGGGAAGAGACCCCAATTGTATATACACATGACCTTTATGAGCTGCTGTTCAGCGCTAGAATTATACAGAGTAACGACAAAAACAAAATAAAACTTTAACAAAATGATCGATCGATATTGAACATGTTTCCGTTTCTTCTCCTCTCTTCTATTGAACGGTTCTCGTTTTCGTTTTCGTTTTATTTTATTTTTTCTTTTTCTTCTTCTTTCCCCTCTCTCCCTTCCTTTTCTTTTCGTATTCCCATATCACACACACACACACACACACACACGACCCACCGAGTAAGTAGCACTTTCTAGGTATACTTTTCCAAGTTCCTTTCCTCTTTTGTTTCTTGTTCTTCTTTCTCAAAAAGACCTGTAGGTATTCACGGGGGATGTTGCGGGGGATGGGGACTTGGTAAACTGTTGTGTATTATTAATTTTGTTGTTGTTCTGGTTTGGTTGCTTGCAGTTTTATAATATGTTCGTTCTAGAAGGAAGAGGATTTAAAATTCACAGATAACGGAGGATTGAAACTTTCGTTGTTTTTTTTTTAGATGTTGAAGACATCAGGTAGGGTAATGTAAGTAGGTACATAAAGACTCGTCGTGTAAATGAATGTAGGCAGAGATGCCGTGGACTTTTTTACTTTTCAATTCTTTTTCTTTCTTGTGCAAAATTTGCGCCATGATACGGATATATAAATCCGCATAGATCCGTTGTGACATCTTGCAGTCAGTCAGTCAGTCATTCAGTCTCTCTCTCTCACACCAAAGTCGTAGAGTTGGAAGCCGCTCTTTGGTTGTCCGAGACTTGGGAAGTTTCCACAACCACGCCGCTTTCTTTGTCGTTTTCATCAAAGCCGACGCCCAAAGTCTGCGGGGTGCCGTTTTCGCCCCCTTCTGTAGCTTCGGGTTTGGTGATCCAGTGAAGAGTAGTGCATGCGATGAGTGCTAGCAAGGAAGGATTGGAGTCAGCGGATTGGTTTCTCCTTTTTTGTTCTTTCGACCAAAAGGAGGATGAGGAAGGACGGGAGTATGTGACCATACCATCTATCTTGCAAGTCATGCAACAGAGCCAAGCAGGCTCTCCATTGAATAATGTCAAGGAGATTTTGACGGCAGCGGTTGACAACATTGCAATCACTGTTCCGATGCATGTTCGTATTACCACTTTTCGTAATGGTACGAGCAGGCCTTGACCTCCAAAATGTACCATCACAAGCGGTATCAAGAATCGAATTGTCAAGTAGAGCTAGGCAGATCATCAGCAAAGTCATGCTACCAGCTTGGGCATCGTGGGGTCGTACGTAGGAGAGTACCTCCACCAGCAAAAGCGGTATGAGTGCATACATCTGTATGCCGATGATACAGATGTCCGCAGGCTCTAGCACGAATGCTACGCGGCTATTGAAGTTGTTAGTTAACCCGCCCAAGGAAAGAGCATGGCAGATGCCACAGAATGAGGGTGCCTACAATTTAATCGACAGCACCGTGACAGTAAAGTACGCTGAAAAGATCACAATGTAGCTCAGGACGTAGTCTGGAGTCTTGTGTCTTGGAGTGATGGGCCATGAGATGATATAGGCGCGCTCGATCAAGAAGAGGAAGGCGGCGGCTTTGCTCGCGATCCACAATGTGAGACCTGCCATGATATGTCAGACGGGAGTTCTCCTTTTCGCACGTTTCTCTTGCCCACTTGCATGCCAATATTGTCGAGTCGCAGAGGCCCTGAGTCTTGGCCCGGATATGGATGACAACGGTCAGAATGAAGACGAAGAGAAACGACGCGACGTACGTCTGCTCCTTCTGTTAGCGCAGCCTTCCTGATCCGCAACACGACGGGAGCTGTGTTTACGAGGAGCAGGGCACAAGAAGCAGCTGTAAACGCTTTGTGTTTTGCTTGATTCAGTCTCTGCCAGAAGAATAATGCCATCACAGGCAGCGCAACCATCGACGTAAGCAGAGACGCAATTTCTCCTGGCAGAGGGAACTTGGCCTTGACGACGGTGGTGTCGCTGATGACTGCCCGGATGGAAACCATCGTTGCTTGTGCCGTAGAGGAAGGTGCTTTGGTAGGCTTCGTGCAGAACGGAGGCGGGGACGTTCTGGATGGTGGCTCGCTGTCGTTCTCACTGTCACTGTCGCTGTTGCTGTTGCGCTCGCTGTTTCTACTGTCGCTTCTGTATGGGACTTTTGAACAGAGCGCGTTGCAAACTCCAGCATCAGAGCTTCTGAATGTGCTGCACAAACACCGAAGATCTGCCACGATGCTTCTAGGGATGAGGTGGTGTACCTTGAACCTTAACGATATTTGCACAATGATCGATCACACGTCAAGAAACAAAAGAGTGCTACCATAGGGCCCGAATGCGATCAAGTCGAGAACAGCGGTAGGACGCTCGGGTGATGTAGAACATGGCGTGGTGGGTATATAGGCATCAGAGCATCGCTTTCGCTCGCCAAAAATTGGCGATGTGAAGTAGACTGATACACAGATACCATGTTGGTCCTTATGGCCCCCACTAGCGGGGCTGCCAGGTACCCCAGTGTCGTCGATTCACATAAATGATAAGCATACGCAGCCAATACATTCCCGTCCGTGGGGTCGGAAAGGCCTCGGCCGGAAGTGCATTCAGGGGATTGTAGTAGTAGTAGTAGTGCAGGTCTGTGTCAACCTACTGGTCGTCGACTCGGATCGATATATGCTTGCCAATTCGAATGACAAGGCACTTCGCGCAACACGTGATCGTGCGCTGTTGGTGTGCTCTCCAGCTTGCAAGTTGCGCCTTCGAGCACCACTCTGCTTCACAGATCCCTTGCTATCTACATGGTAGATTGTTGCTGGATTGGGTTCGATGGCCCCGAGTTTGCCTCGCTAAGGTACAAATTCAGCGGCCGGTCGATGGAGGAGACCTGGCCAGAAGCCCACGTGCACAGGAACTTCAGGAAGGTCATGGCTGTCCTCAAGGCGGCAATCCCTAAGGGCCGAGGCAGCGTATAGCAGTAACCTTCAATTTCGCCGACCTTTCGACCGAAGGGCTCTCATGGTATGTGGCAGGTCAAAGAAGGTGTCATTGCACTGTGAGCCCTTCGTTCTTCCTCGAGTGCGAAGAGACGCAGTGGCTTACCCGGCCCGGTGCAATGGCAGAAGTACAAGACCGGCGCGATGTCCCGCAGTCGTTGCAAGGTCTGGTAGTGTCTGTGAGACTGTGACACCGCAAGTGCTCTGGCGGTTGAGAACGGTCTCCATCAGTGCGAAGAGAAGAGGGGGAGGGGAAAGGGGAAAGGGGAAGGGGGAAAGGGAAAAGGGAAAGGGAAAGCTGGTCTCGTGAAGGAGGTGGATGTGGATGACATGAGGTAGTGATGCCCTTTTCACCATCTCCACCTACTGCGTTGAACCATCCAATGAGAGCGACACAGGTGATTACTAATATCCGCGCGCAAGCGGTGACGAATTCCCATCGGGATGGTCTCAGACCACTGGATCAGAACCAGATGTGGTGACATGACTGACATCTACATGTAGTCCGGAAGCATTTCTTACGCATACCTTATCCATATCGATCCATACTTCTTCTCTACTTCTTCATCTGCCAGGATTCATGGCTCATAACAATGGCAAGCTCTGGGATCAATCTTCATCTCAGCAGGGATTGCTCGGCTACTGGGGAAGACCGACGAGCCATGTGAAGTATGGCTAAATGAGGAACGCGAAGAGATTGCAAGTGTGCCCGACTAACAGCCTGTAATAGCTTCTGCGAAGAGGTCGGTACGGACAAGTCAGCAGGAGAAACACATTCCAGGGCTGATGATTCGCCAGGATTATCTCTGGACTCACTACATTGCCGAATTCATCAACACCTTGACTAGCTTGGCATATGTCGCATATGGTATTCATGGGATTCGCCGGGCGAAAAGACACGATATTGGTGTCGTGTCAATTACGAATTCGTCCTACTTCGCCCTGATCGGAGTTGGCCTCTTTTCTGGCTTGTATGTGGATTCTCGACTGTACGATACCTATGATCGTATTGGCATGCTTACTGGATGCTCGAATGGACTAGGTATCACACAACCTTGAAATATCACACTCAAATGTGTAAGACCTTCACATATCCGTCCGATGACCAAGCTGACCAAGTCTTGGCAGCCGACGAGCTGTCAATGCATGTAGCCATTGCTACAGTTCTTTTGCAAGTTTACACATTTCGAGAACCGCTGGCCATCCAACGTCGCAACACGGCGATCATCCTTGGCATCATAATCCCGTTTGTCATTTATCATTGTCTCACAGATGAGTTCATCCTGCACGTGGTGCTTTTCTTTGGCATGTCCATCACGGTAGCCAGAAGAATACGGCAGATTATTGGTCTCCGGATCAAAGAACAGATTCAAAGAGACAAGTTGAGGTCTTTGGTCACATTCGCTACGGCTTCGTCGCTCCTCGCGTTTGTGATCTGGAATGTTGACAACCTCTTCTGTCCAACCTTGACACGATGGAAGCATCAGATTGGTTGGCCATGGGCTATATTACTTGAAGGTATGCTTTGAGTGCTCTCTCTCTCTCTCTCATGGCTCTTGACTGATTCTTCTGACAGGACATGGGTATTGGCATTTGCTGACTGCGATGGGGGCCTATACGTTTATGGCTCTTGTAGAATTTTTGACCAGCCCAGAAGGAAGTCCAGAACTGGGGTTTGCATGGCCAGCGAAAGCCACACTGGCCGATATTTTTCCAAAGACAGCAGCAATGGGGCACGCAAAGAGCTCATAAGGTGTGGAAACGATGCCTCCTACAAGACGGATCATATCTGGGTACATGCTTAAAGGTACACATAGAAGACGGCATATGCTAGACGACGGGAGTCTGTGAGCTGACCTGCAAGCCGTAAGCATTGATACTTGCACATACACAATAGATTACGCTCGGTGGGTTAGACTACCGTCCGACTCTCATGACCGAAGAAAATAGATGTTTTGAATATGAATAGTGCGCGCTCGGATCGGTTCCTGAGACGGGGGAGGAGAGTGTTTTCTTGCTTAGTCATACGCAACGCGTCCGGCTCGATCGCGTCGCGCTTGCTGGGTCGTGATTTCCTAAATTGATCACTGTTGAAACACCCCTCCTCCCACTCATCCCCATAACACATTGTGTCCTTCAGCAGCATCGCCACCATGGGTCAGTTCCCTCTCCGCTCTCACCACGCTCTCTCCACGCCCAGCTAACAGGCCCAGACTATGGCTACAGTACCACGAGCTACGGCGCCCAAGGCGGCAACTCTGGCGGCGGTTTTATGCCCGGATCACAGAACAACGAAAACTCGGCCTCAACCAAGCGCACGTACGGCAAGGACACCCTCCGCCCTGTCACGATCAAGCAACTACTTGATGCGCACCACCCACATCCCGATGCAGACCACTTCATCATCGACGACTCTGAGACCACCCAAGTCACATTCGTCGGCCAAGTACGAAACATCTCGGCACAAACGACAAACGTGACGTACAAAGTCGACGATGGAACGGGGCTTATTGAGGTTAAAGTGTGGGTGGACGCAGATAACTTCACAGGAGAAGAGGAGAGCGGCGCCGTGAAGAAGGATAAGCCAGTTGAGCAGGGTTACGCCAGAGTCTGGGGAAGGCTAAAGCAATTCAACAACAAAAGGCATATCGGAGCTCAGTACATCCGTGCGATTGAAGATCACAATGAGATTGCATATCATTTCCTTGAAGCCACAGTCGTGCATCTCGAATTCGCCAAGGGACCTTTGGATCAGCTGCAGGCGAATGGACAAACAGGACAGCAGGCAACAACAGACAGTGGTGGGAGTGGGAGCAACTTTTCCGGTGTCTCTGCTACGGCTAGAAAGGTCTTACAGGTGTTGAAGACGAACGGAAATACGAATGAGGGTCTCCACGCTCAAATGGTTGCTCAACTCACCGGACTCGAGTTGGTGGAGGTTTACAAGGCTGGAGATGAGTTGATGGGGATGGGGATGGTATACACTACTGTGGATGACTTGACATGGGCACTGTTGGACATTTGACCCCCGTTGGTCAGAAGCCGCGTGCGTAATGACCCAAAACACGGTGTCGTCAACAGACTTACCTTTTCGACGACTGGAGAAGGTACATTTAGACGAGCAAGACCACAAGCGATGACGGGTAACATGAGAAGATGTTTCAGAGTCATTGAATGGACCCAAGGATTTTTTGCTAGAGCTTGCAAAGAGGTCAGCGCAAACGTAAACATATCGGAGTCTGTGAATCATTGCCCGCAGAATTTGGGCGGAGTCCGAAAATGTCGGAGAATCGCTCAAGAGATGTCAAGCCGAGCGAAACCACCAACGACTCGATGCGAGGGCGACTTCAAATTGCCAGTGGGAAGTACAAACTTGGGCCAAGATATGACAAGCAATGGATGTAGAGTTTGGTAAGCAAGAGGCAAAAAAAGAAAGAACCTGTACGCGAGCACTGTTCGGCGCTGTTTCGATGGACCGTATCAGGACGCACCCCATCACTCCTCTCACTCATCATGATCCTCATTCCCAACACCTCCAATACAAACATACTGAATTTTCCCAAATCACTCACTCCCTCGCATTCCCCGCCTGCGTACTCAAAAACAACACGCAGGCCGCCACAATTGCACTGGCCACTACAGTGAAAACCACCTGTGTCCCCCACCCACTCTGCACCAAAGCTTCTCGTCGACTGTATCGATTGACCGTCTTGATATAATTATTCAATCCAGATATAATACATGCCAAAGCCAGCAACTGCATTTGTTTTTTGTTTTTCTCCGTTAGCACGCAACAACACAGAAAACAATGTATCACCAATTTCAAGTAGATACATACCCAAAAGATAATACCGAGAGGTAAGGCGAACCGTTTCTCCAATGCCGAAGGTTGGAGTTTGAGGTGAAAGGAGAGCAGGATGGCGATGCTGACTATGGCCATGTAGATTGAGAGGCGTAGCCAGGAGAGAAATGCTGTGAGAGAGAAGAAGAAAACAACAAGTTTGGTGGTTAGTATGGGAGTTTGGCTGGTTCTTTTTGGTGTTTTGTTGCTGGGGGGAAATGCGATGGAGGGATATAGAGATTTCTTTTGTTCTTTTTTGGGGGAACGTGTGAGGCATTGCTCTTCGGGTTTTAACGGCGAGAAATGTGTGCGCGATGTTCTTTGATTGAAGAAGGGATGATGGGTCTGCTGATGACTGGAACCATTGCAAATATGGTTTCTCCATTTCATAATTTGTGAGCAGATTTTGGGAACCTCTTGGGCCGCACGACATGGAAGCATGGGTAACAGAAGGGACCAGAATCACAAGAAGGAACATCGAAGCGAAAACAGACAGCGCCGGTGGTTCCCACTCGAAGTGGATGAATCAGTCTCACGTACTTCGTTCGGCGGCGCAATGATCTCGTGCATCGCTGTCGTTGTTGTCGAAGAGGAGAGGTGCTAGGAGAGGCTGTGCACAGAATACTTTGCTTCTGGAGTTTCGTCTACAGCCGACTTAGTCTATTTACTATCTTGTAGGTCACGAGAGGTGAGAACTCGTTCATACTGATGAACTAGCACTGGTCGGGCATTGAAGAAGTTGTAGATGGGATTGTAGGATTCTTCGTAAAATTGCCTGTCGCTGTTGGAGGTCAGAGAGCTGGTGTCGGTCCGGTGGTTGTTCATGGTTGGATCCAGACACGAAAAAGGAAAGTGCATTGTCATGTATCGCAAGTCTGAGAAGATGGAGGTTCCGGGTGAGGTGAAGTTGGATGTCTTGGCAAGAAAGCGGAAGTCACCTCCGCGGCGTTTGTGGAAGTGCTGAACGACAGACATCTACATCCAACCCGCTCACAGCTGGAGGACCGCGGCGTACCATTGAAAAACGAATATCATTGTCCCTGAGATCGTGTCGCCACTCGCGCTTGCAATATCTCATCAGTGTCACTCAGTCTCCAAAGCGCCGCAATGGCTCTCGCGTCATTCAAAGTCGGCACCAAAGAGCTCTTCATGTACGGACCACCACTACTTCATTGCTACCCTGACAGTATCGAAACTTGCTAATGCGAACATCTGTCAGACCCGATGTCAACATCGCCCTCCTCCGCACTCCTGGTCTACCCGCCAACAACGCCAAATTCAACGTTCCGCTCTGGTTCTCCAAACTCGACCTCCGAGACTACCTGTTCCACGTCTACAACGTCGAAGTCGTCTCAGTCCGCTCCTATGTCAAACAGTCCCGCGTCTCACCTGGTCGTCCCGGCATGGACCGCCCCTCAATGTCAAGATGGCATCGTCCACGCCCGACGAAATTCATGACAGTCGAGCTGGTGAGACCTTTTGTCTGGCCAGAGGAACCGGAAGATGGGTATAAGGACTGGAATCGAAAGGAGTTGGCTGATAGTGATGAGTGGCAGAAGGAGATAAACGAACACCACGGGACTTTGAAGGATACGATTGTCAATAAGGAGAGGAGGGAACGAATGCGGGAACAGGCCAAGGCCTTGTTGGAAGGAAAGGCGAAGTGGAAGGCGCCCGAGGCGAAAATTCTACAAGACTTTAGGCGAGAACAGTGAGTTGCGTGCGCTCTTGTCTGATCTATGGTTTCCAAGAGGCGTTCGTGAGCTGCGATAGCGAGTTTTGCAATCTTGGACCAGAAATTTCGCATATCACGGCGAAAGACTACGAATTGCTGTTCAACACTGGGACCATGTGCGAATTGGTGTTTCGGCGGGCATGCTGCAAGCGCTTCCCAACTGCGGAAATTGACGACGTGCAAAGAGTGCTGCCGCAATACAAAAGTTACGGCTCCTGCGCATCGTGAATGGCTGTGATTGCAATTTGCCACCGCGTGGTGTTGACGTGGACGTGGAACACGACGAGTCACCGGGCAGCGCGAGTTGTCGATCGAATGCGCGCTCTCGTCAAACGCCTTGGGTGCGCCACTGAGCCAGAGAAAATGCCGATGGGTACTCTAGGTGAAGTCCACCTCCTAGCGATTCCGCATTCTGTTGGCCATCAGTTCATACTGCGGAAGTTCTCAACGAGGCAAGCAGTCCCGAAGAACATATTCCGCCACGAGGTCTCAGCCTATGGAACCCCTCCTACCACTCGACGAGGATCACCAAAGTTACTCAGGATGGGTGGGTGGACATCTCGACTGATCATCCCAATCTCGCAGAAGATAGAGTGCCAGTCCGTAGAGCCCGATGATTCTGGTCGCCAGGTGTTCACATACCTAATATATATGAATTTTCAGAAAACCGCGGCCGTACAGCGCAGCTATGGAACGATACTGTAAAACAATTCCAAGTCACGCAGAAGATGTGTTTTTTCGTCATTGAAGCTTGTGCCGGAATCCATCACCACGACTGTACGACATAAAGTTGCCTTATAGCACATACATGTACCTAAGCCTCACTCAATTTTGCTAACTCTACCCCAATTTATCGCCACCAAAGAAAAAGAAGAGCGCTGTCTTCGCATCCATTTAGTCCGTTGTTATAGTGCATGTATCTCCATATCCCTATCCATCCCCTATTTCTCTCCTCTTTTTGGGGTGTCTCTACGGAACAACGGACTCACTCACCTACCTGTTTTTCTTTCTTTCCTCTTCCACACTACATTACACTACACTACTCCAAGGAACACGTCGATCATTGCAAACGTCAAAGGGCCTAGGGGTATTGAACCTATTATACTGTATACAGTCGAAAGGTCAGATCAGATCGCCAGGATGCGAGAACGAAGAGAAAAAAAGGTCCTGTACGAATTCCACAACTGGAATTCACATAGGACCGAGTTTTTATCACAAGATTTCAGCCGGGAAGAAACTACGTTGGCGATGGCATTGAATTCAGATCTGGAAATGGAGTGAGAGACAAAAAAAATGGGGCGAGTGAGAAATGTCCGAATTGGCAAGCTTGCCGAAGGTAGAAAGTGTAATTCGGGGACAATCCTAGAGCATCCTATCTATAGATCCTCGTCCAGGTCTACCGCATCCGTATTGACAGTCTCCCGGTGCGGTTCCTCAACTTGCTTTCGATTCCCGCCTTCAGGGCCAGAACTCGCAGCGACGAAACCAACAGGAGCACGTGCCTGTCGTTCGAGCTGGGCCATGGCATCAGCGGTATCCTCGTCCATGTCTTCTTCTCCGCCTGTAGCCCCACTGGCATGGGATCCAGCGGCAGCAGCAGCGGCAGCTTGACGAGCCACGGCCTGAGAGGCAATGAAATTGACATCCGTATTGAACTGTGCTTGCACACTTCTCTTGATTCGCAGCATTTCCTTGAACGTGTCCTCGTTTCCGTGTTGGACTTCAAATGCTTCCCATTTGCGCCAAAAGTCTTGCTCCACGCGAGGGTCGCAGAATTGAGATGCATGGCCATAGATAGCTCTCGCACGGTCAATCTCTCCCAGACGACGTTCCATTTCTGCGAATTTGATGCACATACCTGCTGCTTCCTTGTCGGGCAGTGCAGCAATCGCTCTTTCGTAGATGGCGCGAGTGGAGGTGAGACCAAAGTTCGATGCGGATTTGGTGATGTAGAAGTTGAACATCTCACTTCTGTCCTCGTCTGCAACAGCTCGTGTAGCTCTCTCATAGATGCGCATAGCGTGGCGTGCAAGACCCCGTTCTTCTTCTAGAGCACCATACATGAGGTAGAGTGTCTTGGCAAATCGTGGAGGACAGCCTTCGACGGCTTGTTCAAAGAGATCACGTAGCCGTTCGATGGATATGCGGCGGTCGACTGCCTTGGTCAGGTAGAGATTCCAAAGTTCGAAAGCAACAGGGTATGAAAAAAGGTCAAGGCCTCGTTCGTAGATTTTGAAGCTTTCTTCATGGTAATCGTTCTCTTCCAAGAGGTTGGCGTAGTTGACAACGGTTTGTGGCGTCGCTATGCGGAGCTCGAAGATGCGGTCGTAAATTTTCCTGGTTTCTTCGAGGGATGATACTGACTCCACGAGGTCAACGTAGAAAGACCAGAGCTTCCAACTCTTGTGTACTCTCTGCTGAGGAGTGAGATTCTCGTCAAAGTAGTCGACGGTACTGCGCTTCGGCGCTTTCGTGGCTGTCGCCATGATGTTGACAGCCTGGTCGAAATTCTCGTTTCGTAGCTCCATCTCTGCCCACTCCGTCCAACACTCCGCAAGCTCAGATACGGACTTGTAAGGCACCTTGACCGCTTTCTCCATGATGATACGGGCATTGGTAAGATCCCCTCCAGCTTCGTAGAACTTGGCATAGTTTGCCCATAGCTCGTGAAAGCGGCCAACGGCTTTCTTTGGATTGATAGCTGCAATCGCGTCTGCATATGCTTGCACCACCATTGGTTTGTTATCACCCCATAATGCCACCCTCTTTTGCCATTCGTTGACATTGTGTGGATTCTGTCGTAGCAAAACGTCGTTGACGAGGAACGGCCGACGATCCATGAGTTGTTCAAACCGCATCATGCGAATGTCGAGGTCCAAATCCGCATCCTCATCTACTTTACCCTTCTCCTGTCGAGCTGCGGAGTCGTCCATTTTGATAGAGATGAGTGCCTCCTCGGCCTCAGCATAGGTGTCAAAAACCACCGAGAAGTCTCGCACAGTCATGGCTGTTGTGATGCCATCCTCGAACACGTCTCGCGCGCGTTCGTAGGCCCCCAAGTTGATGTAATATCGCGCCAGTCCAACCCATAGAATACCTCGCTGGTCCGGGAACCGTTCCAGTCCAGATCGCACGATACTCTCTATATCCAGAGCGCTCCCATCGAGCAGCGGTACTGGATTTGGCACTCGCCTCGCATGATCAATCAAGATCTCCAGCATCTCGGTCCAATGCTGAAATGGTCCCTTTGCTTCCCGACTCTTGAAACGTGAGTTGTTCAGGATTTGAATATACTGTTGTACAGCCTCTGTGAATCGCCCTTCCCTCACCAACAGATCAATGTATTCTTCCACATATTCCGGATGCAGCTGGATATACCTTTTCCACACCCGCACGGTCGTCTCCCCACCTGCGCTTGTTGCAAAAGGCCTGTACAGCTTCCAGACCCGACTGTGCTGTGTCACGGGAAGCGCTCTTAGCGCGCGATCAAAAGTCCTCCGTGTGAACGTGACCAACGGTTGTGTACACAGAAACTCCAAGTACATCTCCCAGATCTTGGGCATCTTGTTCAGCAGCACCAGCGCCCTTTCGAACAGCGCATTCACCTTCTGAAACTCTTTCTTCCACCGCACAGGACTTCTGCCCTTGAGGTGTTTTGTCCTCAGCTCCAGGTACATTTTCCACAGTTTGTAAGATCTCGGCAATGCAATGCAGGCTCGTTCCAGCACAAAGCTCTGCTCCAGGAGAGTGCCATATTGTCGCTTGAAGTGGGCGTAGTCCAGCCAGGCTTTGACGTTGCCAGGAGATCGGAGGATGTCATTTTCGTAAATCTCGTCATTCTGCGAGATGAGGTAGAGGTATGATTGTTGCTGCGGTGGTCTCACATTCGGCGCGCCCATGCTGGAGGGTGACAAGGAGATGGGGGTAGTGGAGGCGGAGGCGGAGGCGACGGCGGTCAAGTCGGAGCGACGACGCGAGGGGAGACCAAGTTGAAAGGATGACAGGCGTTTGATCATGGCATACCAGCAACGCGAGACATGGTCAACAAGAAGCGGGTGAAAGTCGCGAGATGGAATTCTCTTGGCGTGGAAACATGGGCATGGGGCATGTGCACGGGCGCTAGAAGTAACCTTATCTTAGGAGGTAGAGATGACGGGCGTTTTGAGCTTCACTAACGCCGACCTCTATCCTTTGAGGCTGCCCAGGCTGCTCCATTGACAGCTACCTACTACCAGTACCATCTTACGCACAGAGCGCCCTCACCTCAACCTACCACTCCACCGCATCCCACCCTTCTCCGCCGCCCATCATGTCCTCCGGAGCGGTAAGGTATTCTGTGATCCCGTCCACAGCCACCGTGCTAACGCTAGAGGCAGGGTCGCGAAGCCGTCTTCCCTACGCGCCAATCGCTCGGATTAATGAAATCCAAGCTCAAAGGCGCGCAAACCGGTCACGATCTCCTCAAACGCAAATCCGAAGCTCTCACGAAACGTTTCCGCGATATCACCCGCCGCATAGACGAAGCCAAACGAAAGATGGGCCGTGTGATGCAAATCGCAGCGTTCAGTATGGCAGAAGTTACATACGCTGTAGGCAATAGCGGTTTTGGTTATCAGATCTTAGAGGGTGCGAGGACAGCGAGATTCAGGGTTCGGACGAAGCAGGAGAACGTGTCCGGTGTGTTCCTGCCGCAGTTTGAGAGTTTTCAGGAAGAGGGCGTGAAGGAGGAGTATGCCATGACGGGCCTGGGGAAAGGCGGGCAGCAGGTGCAGAAGTGTAGGGAGACCTATACGAGGGCTGTCGAGACATTGGTCGAGTTGGCGAGTTTGCAGACGGCGTTCGTGGTGCTGGATGAGGTGATCAAGGTGGTAAATCGGAGAGTCAATGCTATGTTCGTATCATAACCTCTTGGTTCGCAAGGGTTGCGGGATGAGAGCTGACAATGAATCATAGTGAACACGTTATTATACCGAGGACGGAGAATACGATCAAGTATATCAATTCCGAGCTGGACGAGATGGACCGAGAGGAGTTCTTCAGACTGAAGAAGGTGAAGGGGTTAAAGGAGAGAGCTGCTGCTGCAGATGACGAGCAGAGAAAGATACGGGCGTTGAAGGAGAAGGCCGAGGGTAAGGAGAATGCCACAGAACAAGAGCAACAGGAAGCCAAGGACATATTGGGAGAGGAGAAAGACGAGGATCTGATATTCTAAGAGATGCCGTGATTAGCATTGTCTCTCTGGCCGCCTCCAGATTGGCAGCTGAAGGCTATGTCATTGTACAGCAAATGAGCGATATAATTGACTGCCGCAGTTTCTACCACTCTGGCAAACGAGTAGGTTGTTGAGCTTCTTACCCAAGGTAACTTGGCGACTCCACGCCGTGACGTCGATGCCTAGCTTATGCTTCGTTCCACAAGTACTCGGCACTCTCTTCACATTGATTAACTAGAAAATTTGGGGGGATGTTCTTCGACTAGCCCATTATTGGAATATGAGCCTATCTTGCATTTGGCATAACAACCGGATGCACAGCGAGGCAGTATAAAAACGAAAAAAGAAGCTGCTTCCTATTAAATGTTAATCGTAGTATCGCAGGTAATAGTAAAGTATTAGTTTCGTTTGAGGATTATATAGACAGTTGTCGAGGGGGGTAAACTTCTTTCCTTTGTTTTCCAAGTACAGTATACTCGACTCGGTTCCAAGAGGGCGCCGTTGAGGGTTGTGCACAGGTCGAGAAAGGAACAAAGCTTCACTGCCAAGTCTATTAACTTCATCTTTGCCTCGTAAGCACCAATAGTGGCCACCAACCATTCATCCTAACACCGTAGCTCCGTATGCGCTATCATTAGACGTCTTGTGTCGGACCTGTCAATGGGTACGAGAAAGATGCCCTCATATCGCACAGCATCGGGGGGCCGTTTCGCTCATCCTGCGAGACGCTCAGAGGAACAGACGTCTCGAGTCTTTATGGACTACACAACACGAGGCTCCTGGTGCTCTGGTAGTGACGGCTTCCACGGTATTTGGAGAGTCGCAATCGGCAAAGAACGTCCGGTTCTTGTGCACGAAGTACTGGATGAAAGCCATCTTGTTCGTAGCGGCAGGCTGGCTCGATCCACCAAATGCACGTACATGTAGTCAAAGCCATGGGGCATGACAGTTGAGGTAGGCAGAGGAAAGCAGACTACACCACGAACACCGAGCGCGATGAGGTGAAGTCAAATGGGCTGACGTGCCTCCCTCTCCCGCCTGAGGAAGGCGCATCTGCCTGGAGCAATTGCTCAATTTTGGTTTCCATTCCATCCATCTCATATGTCACTTGTTTCCTCTTGACAGTGCGAAACGATTGACACCAAAGACTCCAAATTCATATACACACGGGTAATGGCCCGCACGAAAGCCCCTAAACCTACCCGCACCTTCGTCGAAGTCGACTCGGACGATGAAGTTGAAGAGCCACGCCTGTCTGGTTCCCTTCGGGGACTAAATCCAGCGAAGGACATGCTACCAAATGCTGCTACCCAGTCAACTGTCAAGGTACTGGGCGACGAGAGTGACATTGCATTGCAGCCGCTGAACATGAAACAAACCACTCGCGCTTCTCGTGGCAACGGGAAAGCTATCTTATATGTATGTGGCTGGCGAGGCCGTCTCGACAGTGTGCTGACGTGAATAGGACATGAAGTTTCACCCGATGGACATTTTCATGCGCCCGAACAGCGCTGCAGTACGCAGACGCTCCAATTCGATCTCGCACGCTAATACAGACGACGAGGAAACAGAGCAGTCCAGCGATAATGAGAGCAGCTCGCAGTCATCACCACAATCATCGGACGACGCATCGGCTGAGTCTTCGCTGGACGAGGCAAGGTCTGATGCCTCACCGAGACGCATCGTCCTGGGCCCGCGCCTGCAAGACCCAAGAGCTTCACGTCACTCTTCTCGCAGAGCTGCCACGAAGCCAGTCATTTACTCCTCCAAGCATCATCCGCAAGACTATGGCCTCCCTGGATATCAGTATAAAGCCATCGCTATCGAGGACGATGAAAATGAGCCGCCAGCTATAGAGGTCAAGAAGCGCAAAGTTGCGTCGTCAGACATTGAGCAGTGGACCAACGACGACATCGAGAAGCCACCTATGACAGCACGACGACCACGTAAGAAGCTCAAGTCTTTGAGTCATCCACAACCTGCGCGCGTAAAGATGAGACGTGGCCGACCCGCCAAGACGGGCTTCAAGGCCAGATCAAGAGCTCTGGCAGAAGTGGAGGACCTTGTGGAAATAGCGATACAAGGCTCGCAGGCGCCCCATATCGTGCTTAGCAATGGTAACGAAAGCGGCGACGAGACTGACGATACTCAAGGCGGCGCTGTCTCTGATCAGCATCTGGACGACCCTCGACGCCTACTAGAAGCTTGCACAAGCAACTTTGAAGATACAGATGACTCAGGAGACCGCGAAGACGCTGACGCTTTATCAATAGCGACAATGGACACCAGCACCACCCTCAAATGCGAGGTTGCCACACCTGTCACTACCTTCAGCCACGAACACGAGACTCTCGACCCCAGGATCCGGCTCCCGACCTACCTTAAAGATCGTATCGCGCTCGAGCTCGGCACCGAGACCCCTTCCACTGCCGGAGTTGTGCTCCGTATGCTGTTCGACGAGCCCCACGCACGTGCTGCAGTGAACCTGGTTGTTCAGAGACCATACCTGCATCACCGCTTGCAGCCTACTGAAGCTTGCAACCGGCGTTCAGATATAGCAGATTGCGGAGATGAAGATGAAGACGAATGCGCAGAGGAGGCAAGCATCGAAGAGTCTCAAGATTGTAAGAGTGAAGAAGATGATGATGATCACGCAGATGGGACTGGCAACGATCCCCATGAAAGCCATAGCCCACTGGAGAACCAATTCGAAGAACAAATGGATGTCACGCGACATCTGCGCCATGCCGCAGTGATGAGTGACAGCGATGATCTTGCTGACTCGGATCCTATCCACAGCTTCTCGGCCATCAATTGAGAGGCTCCCGAGCCGGCGCGATCTCGGGCTGCGAACCCTATAAGTGTGCAGTAGCGCGGTGCGGAGGTGAGATTGGTCTTGGTCAGCAATGGAGTCGGGCTGAAGGATGTTTAGTAACAATATTATCGATGATGAGCTGCACTCGGTGGTTTCATGGTGGCTGTGCAAAGTGTTATGAATTGCGGTACTCAATATTTCCGATCTGCTACAGTCAAACACATTCTATTATTTGCCTTGCATGAGCACATCCAAGATACATACCTGGTGCATGGAACATGCATCTTCCTGTTGCCCGGTGGTAGTCAGGAATGCCGTCCTTGGTATACAAGACTCGATTGCCGCGGCTATGAAAGACTGAGCCAGCCTATCGGCTCTGTCTGCTTATTATAGGCCGCACAGATGGAGTTCGACGAGCATGCGGTGTACCAGTTGCCAGGAGCAAGGTCGGTACACTACAGTAGTTCTGTCTCCAAGATTTCAGCCCGTCCTTGGCCACGTGGGAGCACATGTTTCTCTTTACCGACACGACCTGTGACACGTATTGAGTCAGGTCTGGACCAGGGCTGCGTTTGGTGCAACATCACTTCATCTTTGCTCTGCGATGGATAGTTTTCTATTAATTCATGTCGTTACCTTTCTACCTACTACTTGATTGCGAAAGTAGTAGTAATATCTTCTGCAATTGATGTTTAGCCGGAGGCGACGGTCTGGTCACTCTCCAGGATCAGTTTAGCCAGTGCCTCCTAGTGCTAACCGAAGTGGCCCATCCAGACAATAATCTTGGCCTTGAGCCAGGATCCCTCCCTTCAAGTCACAAGGCTTTCGGTCTGCCAATGGCCGCCCCTTGATTCCAAGACAACAGGCGAGCTTGCAACATGCGCTAGGTGTCCAGCGAGTGCGATCCGTAGACGACATGCGAGACATGACTGTGGCAGCCCTGTTTTCAGCTCGTCGTCCGAACTTCCAAGATACCCCGCTGGTAATCTGCTCTTGGCCATCTTCCTAAATTCCTAGCTCACTGCCCGGGGGCGTCGAACAACCCAGTGGGCGGATGCGCGAACCTTTCCCCTCCCGTAATTGTACACTCTTCACGACGCCGGGGGGCGATACCCCAGGCGGAATTGCGGACCAGCAAGCGCACTAGACCCCGATGCCCATGGGGTAGTTCAAATGTAGGCTATGTAGGAGAGGGGGGAAGCTACAGCCCCGGAATACCGCAACACGCTGTGATACGCTACATGTACAGCTTATCAAGTGCCTTGGCATGGATGTAAGGACGACAATGCTGGCACACAAAGCGAGGCTCACTGGCTCAGGCTGCGGAATGTGACTAACCAATAAAACAAAGAAATGTCAGCAGATCTATAAAGACTAGGCCTTTGCTGCCGCCGCCCTGTGCTCAACGCACAATTGCTCTACGCTGGTGTTTGCTCCGTCGTGCGGCACGTTGACCATGGCTGAAAATATTAAGGATGAAGTTTCCGAAAAGGAGGTCGCTGTGAGCACGGAAGAGGATTTGGGCAGACAAAAGACACAGTCTCTGGTCGATGCCATCCCCGACCCGGACCCTGATGCTACTCCCGAAGAGCGTGCTGCACTTGTAAGTTGCCTCCTCCTACAGAGGAAATGTGAATCCAACGATTGTTTGCTGACCAAAACTCTTCAACCATGAATATAGGACAAAGCACTCGTGCGTAAAGTTGACCTGTGGCTCATTCCATGGCTATGTCTGCTTTACCTCCTCTCGTTCCTTGATCGAACGAACATTGGTCAGTTCAGGGAGATGGAGGAAAGAAAAAGAAAAAAAAAACACAGAACGAAACTAACAATTTCACAGGCAATGCCCGTGCAGCTGGAATGGAAGAAGATCTCGATATGGCAGGCCACGATTACAACAACACTCTAACCATTTTCTTCATCTCGTACGCCCTCGCCGAGCCCGTCACCAATGTGCTCCTCAAACGTTTCACACCGCGAGTCTTCTTCACCACCATCATCCTCATCTGGGGCCTGGTTTCGACATTGATGGGTCTGGTGCACAATTACGAGGGACTCCTCGCTGCCCGTTGGTTCCTCGGATTGGCGGAAGCTGGTCTGTTCCCCGGTGTCAACTACTACCTTTCCTGCTGGTACAAGAGATCGGAATTGGGCCTTCGTGCTGCAACCTTCTTCTCTGCTGCAGCACTCGCTGGATCATTTGGCGGTCTTCTCGCAGCAGCGATTGCACAAATGGATGGCGTAGGAGGCAAGGATGGCTGGGCATGGATGTGAGTTGGAAACCCTCAAATCAATTTGTAATGTACACTTGTTTTTTTTTTGCAATGCTGACCATTATCTTGCAGTTTCATCATCGAAGGAATCGCAACCATGGCTGTGGGAGCATTCTGCTGGTGGATGGTCTTCGACTGGCCCGATACCGCTCGCTTCCTCACTCCCGACGAGCGCCTTCGAGTCCGCCGCCGTCTCGCAGAAGATAAACAATCCAGCACCGGCGAAGAGTACGACAAGCGCCACATTATCGCCGCCGTCAAGGACTGGAAATGCTGGGGCTACGCTCTCATGTAAGCACGCACACACACGCAACACGACAATTGCCTCACGAAACAGAGGACAAAAAGAAAAGTCGCTAACATGACAATTTCACGCAACAGATACATGGGCAACCTCTGTCCCCTCTACGCCTTCTCCCTCTTCCTCCCCACCATCCTCGGCGGCATGGGCTACAAAGGCACCAAACTCCAACTCCTCTCGGTGCCCCCTTACGCCGTCGCAGCCACCATGACAATTCTCATCGGCTACATCGCCGACCGCACGCGCCAACGCGGTCTCTGCAACATGTTCTCCGCCACCCTCGCCATCATCGGCTTCACAATGCTCATCAGCACAGGAAACCCACACATTCAATACGCAGGAACATTTCTCGGCGCAGCCGGAATCTATCCCACCGTCTCCAACACTCTGAGTTGGGCTTCGAATAACATCGAAGGAGTGTACAAACGCGGAGTCATTATTGGCATAGTAGTCGGGTGGGGAAATTTAAATGGAGTTGTCAGCTCGAATATTTATTTGAGGGAGGAACGGCCGAGATATTGGACGGGGCATGCGACGGTTTTGGCGTATTTGATTGTGTGTTTGTTGGGCGGTACGGTGTTTATGTATACGATGTTGAGGGTGGAGAATCGGAGGAGGAGGACGGGGAAGAGGGATGGAATGCACGAGGGGATGACGCCCGAGGAGATTTGGGTCGCGGGGGATAAGAGGCCGGATTTTATTTATACGTTGTAAGGAGGGTGGGGGTTGTGGTAGTGATGGAGCGGAGGCGAGTGTGGTGAGTTGTTGATGATGAGAGAGAGGTGGCAAGCATTATGCCATATATGTGATGTTGATGTTGATGATGATGCCTAGTCGAGACACCTTCATTGATGAGGTCGTTCTCCTAGCATCATCATACTGAATGGATAGCGAGATATGGTGTACTCTCGGAGATGATGGAGCGCATCTAGATATATATATATATATATACCTGTCTAAAGGAGTGTGACTTTAAAGTTAGTTTGTACGTACATTCGTTTTCAAACACCTCACCGAAAAAAAACCAATCATGTAACATTCTGTTTCATCCACTGCTGCTCATCCCATTCCTCTCTCTTTCCCACTCTCATTCCCCATCTTCTTCTTCCTCTTCTCCCCCTTCACTCTAAGAGCGAAAAGAAAAAAAGAAAAAAAGAAAAAGAAAAAGAAAAAGATTTACACTACATCCACCCCCGAATCCCCATCCTCCCCAACGGGTTCTCTAACCATAACATCCAACCCAATCTCCTCCTCCCCACCTCTCCCCAACACAATTTCCCCCTTCTTCTCAAATCCCAATTTCCCATAAATCACCAAATTCACCACATGCGAAGATTCCAAATAACACGCTCGCCGTTCCGCATCGGCCTGCCGCGTCACATATTCAATCACTTGCCGCGCATACCCTTTGCCGCGACTCGCGGCGCGAGTTCCAATGTATACGAGATACCACGAGTCTGCGTCGCGGCGGGGGCCGAGAGTTTGGAGTTTGGTCGTCGTTAGTAAGGGGAGGAATTCGTGGAAAAATCTTGTGCGCCCGACGCGGGAGAGTTGGTAGTGTAGACGCCAGAGGCCCGAGCGGAAGAGGGTGGAGTAGCCGTCGATGTCTTTTCCGGGGGGCATCCTGGGGAGATGGGGGGTGAGAATTTGATGTGGGTGTTGAGAGGGAGGGAGGGAGAGTGGGAGGGTGAGAGAATGGGTAGGATAGTAGAAGGGAGGAAAGGAGAGGAAGGAGAAACATTTCCACACACGATCGAAAAAAAGCTGACGTATTATATACATACCAGAGGGCTACACAATCATAATTTGGTCCGGCGCTGACGACGAGACCTTTTAAGAGATGGGCATAGGTGATGTATTCCATCACTTTCACGTGAAGTTCCCATCGCTGCTGCTCGGTCCAATGAGCACGATCGGGGGTATGAGTGAAGTATTGGCTGGTATGATCGTCCTTGAAAGCTTCTGCCAAGGACAATGCAGCTTCTTTGTACTCGGCCAAAGTCAGGATTCGCACTCCATCTCCGCTCGGTTTACCAATAGGCTTCTTCGCTGCTACAGCCGCTTGGACCTGGTCTGCGGCTAAAGACATGTTTTTCGGTGTTGTTGTTGTTGTTGCAAGTCCCACATCTGTCGCGAGATGGTCTGTGGCTCTCTTCTCTGCTAGGTCATGGGAGATGATGGCTGTAGCAGCGAAAGACTGGTTGCATTGGGAAGCCATGTTGATCATGATGATAATAATAAAGAATTGGAGTCGTGTTTATAATTCGGTTTACTGAGCGGGATGAAGGTGCGTCCTGACTTTTTCGAAATGTCTACAAAGTCCGACATCAAGGTACGGCGGTTCGCGTTGTTGGCCAGCGTGCTTGTTACCGGTGCTTGACTGTGGGCTGGTGAATTGGGGAAAAGACGTGTATGCGGCAGCTCTTCCGAGACGGATGGAACTGGTCTTGTTCTTTGTCTTGTGTTGTGTTGTTGCGTTCGAGTGGGTATAGATGATAGGCGTCTCTCACGAGCGTTGAGGGAGGACGAAGGTCTTAAGATAAGTAGTGAGAAGGCGAGCAAGTTGTTTGGGGAGGATTGGAGCAGAAGTGAGGTAGTCAGGTGGCAGATATACATGAGCAGTTCCTTGCATGCCGACGGAAGGACATACTAAAGTGGTTCTGCCGCTGGACAGTGGACACGTGTGTGACTATGCCTGCGCCACTACGACAGCAACCACTCCATTTGCACCGATAGAAGCAGGCAGAAGCGCAGACTCCCATACATTCCGTTCCACCACCACTGCAGCTGTCTTTTCTCTTCTGCTTTATTCACCTCGCCCACCCTGATCCACCTCCCTCGCCCCTTTCATATCCTCCTCCTCCTCCACCACCACCCTCACTTCACTCACCTCACTGACCTCACTGACCTCACTCCACTCACCTCACCTCACCTCACCTCACCTCACCTCATTCCCCTCATCCTCCTCATCCGCATCATGCCACACAAAGGACAAAAGCGCCGCGTATGCCTTCCGAATCAGGCTGACATCGGAGCCAATCTCACAGACCGGGCAGGGCTGAGATCCGGGTGAGGGGGGGTTGGGGGGGTCTGCAGATATGAAACCAACGATGCTAAGGGTACCGTGCCGGGCCTGTCTTGATACGGAGCTGTGGCCAATGAATATGATGGTTGTTCTCAAAGTCTGGTTGTTGTGATGATGTGATAGGTTACTGATAATGAGGCTGAGATGCGGAGAAGAGGACGACCACACGACGAGAGAGCGGAGGAAGGAGTAAACGTGGTGATACCCAGGCACGGTGGAACCGTGCTCGGTGCCTCCCTTGTACGGTGGCACCGAGGGAAGGTTCCACCAGGGTAGGGACCCACTATACTAATATATATTCTACCGGACAGGTATATAGCTTTCAGATTATTAGACATCCCTACTACGACTTGCTTTCCCCCTTACCTTCCCCCTTGTCTTCTCTAGTAGACGCTATAGGAAGCGTTCCTAGTTCCCGGACCGCCGAAAGAGTATCCTCTTATAAGGTGCTCGAGTACGCGAAGTCGCCGTTATAAGGAGTCCTGTTCTAGAACTACTTTAGGGACCGGTCTTTACTAGCCCGGCCTTCCTTAGAGGAGCTCTAGACGGACGAGTAGCTTACCGCTACGCAATATAGCGTACTAAGGTTCCGGGAGCTTAATCAGCGCCTCGGAAAGCTACCGAGAACCGCTAGGGACACCCTACGTTACCTACCGCTAATTCCCCCTAAAGTACTCGACAAATCAGACCGTACGTTATACGTAAAAGAGGTTGAGTTTAATCGGATTTGTACGGTGTAGCTAAGGAACGGGTCTACCGTATATAGATTTATACGGTACTATAGGGCGACAGCTCTACGGAAGCGAGAAACATACCGTATCTACGACTTCCCCTATACGCGGATTATCTAAATCTACGGTATATCTATATCTGTACAAGTTTACCTCCTCCGGTACTTAAGGCCTATAAGAGATTAGAGTTTATAAGCTATTAAAACTGAGCGACGACTTCTATTAGCCGAACTGTACCTTCCTAGTTATAGATCGAGACTTCTATTAGTCGGACCGCACTTGCCCGCAAAGCTTTACGATACCTTCCGTAAGAGTTTATACCTTCTAGAAAACTATCGAACAATCGAGGCAAGTTCGTCGATATATATACCTAGAGTCTCCTACCCTAAGACCAGAATTCTCAATCCCTCTAATCCTCTTATATCCGACGTTTCCTTACCTTATTTATACGGTATATCCGAGACGCGGTAATACTAAGACACGGTAATACTAAGATACGGTAACACTAGCGTATAACACTATGTATACCGTTACCAGAAGTTACCTAACAAGCAAGTACGCTAGCCGAGGAGTTGTACTAGGCAGGATACAGCTCCGAGGATTTTTATACCTCTTAACGATTACTGTATCCGTACGTTCCTACTAAAGAAGAACGCTTAAGAGAACTGCTCGGACCCTAGACATTCGATTTAATTAAGACGTACTACCTTTAAGAGACCGCTCTAGCTACAATAAACGGTACCGACGCTAAGTATACTACTATAAATTCTGCCGGACCGCAAATCCCGTACTTCTTTAGGAAGAAGAAGGATAGGACGATATAGAATAGTACCCGTTAGCTTCGTAAGGTAGAGTTCGAGCTCGCTAAGCAGTACGCTAACCGTAGAGTACCTCCTATAGAGATACTATCCGCTATAGATTCCTATCTGCAATTCGGTAGCGATACCGAAGACTAGGCCGACCGTAACTAGATAGTACGAAAGATTCTCTCTAACGAGAGCATGTCCTAAGCTACCGAGAAAGACCTTCAAACATTTAAGAACCTCTTCCTCGGCCGGTACAGAAGACGCGATATAGTAGATAAGTCCTCGCTGCTAAAGCTCTAGAAGCTACGCCAATCGCCGGACGAAACGTTGCTCGAGTACTACTACCGAGCGATAGATCTTCTTCTTAATTGTAGCGGGCAAGACTACGAGAACGGGCAAGATCTGAGCCCGCTCTATATTACCTTCCTCTCTATAGCTATTAAGGCCTACCTCTATAGAATCTATAACCTAGCCCTAATAATAAAATCGCTAGAGTACTGTATAGTTACGACTACTAGGTCGTTGTACGGAGCGTATAAGCACTCCGTCCTACAATAGAAGCGCCTAGAGACAGAGCGCAAACTTGTAGACGTAATGATTAAGAACAAGAGACTAGAACTTATAGACGAGCTTATACTAGTACTGACTATTAAAGATAGCTAATTAGATACGTTCCGAATCCTGGCAGACAAGATAGACGCCCTTAACTAGCTGAAAGACCTATCTAGGCGAGACCCTTACCCGTTTGACCGTTATAAGCTCTATACGCTAACTACAGAAGTACTAGTAGTTCCTATCCCGAACTAGAAGCTACTTACCGTATATAGTAGACTAAGTTCGTTCGAGGAGATATTAGCCCTATATAACAAGTATAGCTATACGCTCCTCCCGAAACGCAATTAGTAGGGAAAAGGTAAGCGCGCTGTACCGGGCGCGAACCTAAATACGGCCTCTTAAGGTACTAGCTCTAGTTATTAGCCTAGTATAGCGCCGGTAATACAGCAAGTTGTACCGACCCCAGTTATAGCCGTACTACCGCCGCTGCTAGCCTCGGTGCTACCGAGCAACCCGATACCGAGCAACCTAATAACTAGCCGTACGTTCGATCGTAGGTTTGACCTAAAGACATCGCGAAACGAGTTCGTTAATAGTTCTCGCAAGTATAACCGCTTAATAGGATTCCTTTATATCAAAGACGGCGTCTTAGGCTATAAGGCAGTTAAGGGTACCGAATGCCTAGGCAACCCTCTACTACTATTACGAGACGAACAGAATGTACTTAAGAACGTAGTATTCGGAGACAATATATAGCAGTTAGGAGCATTAGCGGGGTCTTAGGCGTTAGGGCCGAACGCGATTACCCTACCGGTACGGCGTACAGTCGGGTACGTTACTAACGACGGGGAATCGGACGTCGAAAGCGTATATAATTCGTATAGGATATTTACGCCGGAAGATACCGAAGACGAAGCCTCTAAGCGTAAGGTAGCGTTTGCTAACGCTAACAGATTCTTCTTTGTCGACGAGGATAGCAACTAGGAACGAGTAGACTTCTACGCTAACCTAGGCGACAAGGTGTTAGGCGAAGAACTTACTAAGCTCTCGATGCCGGCCGTTCGTACCGAGCCGGAAAAGCATATTTAGCGTTTCGACCCGATAGCCGGACGACCGGGCAAAGTACCGGAGGCACTAGGCGGAGTACTAGAAGCTCTAGAGCAACCTAACCGAGTCTACCGCCTACTAGGTATATACGACCTAATCGACCACAATGTCGACAACCCTATAGTAGAAGGCCTACCGCCGCTACCGGGATTTATCCTAACACTGCCGGCGGCTCCTAAGAAAAAGAAGAAGTCTTAGAAGGAGCTGTAACCTATTCAATATTATATAGAGCAAGGCCTAATTACGAGCAAGAGCCTAACTAAACGTATCTAGTAGCGCCAAAAGCTAAGTGTCGACCTATAGGAGATGTTCTAACTCTTACCGAAGTTCCGCGATAATACGATTACTCTAAGCAAAGCCCTACGAGAGCCGCGAGGCAAGAACAAGAAAAAGTACGTTACTAAAGCATACCTCGGAGTCGGCGCCGATAACGAAGAGACTAAACCGACTATAAACCGCAAGATGTATAAGATTTCGAATATAAGCGCAGTAAACCGTATGCCTTCAGATACCGAGGTTACTATAGACTTCCGAGCCTACTTAGACAAGGAAGGCAAGTTATTCTCGGTCGCAGTCGAAGTATAGAAGGACAAATCGTCTCGAAGGGTATCTATACCCCGTTACCTATCCTACGCCGACTAGGGCTCGGATCTGAATATGATCTATATACCGCTCGTCGAGAAGCTAGGGCTCTAATTAAGGAGTCTCGGCGAGATCGACTCGTAGTAGTTATTTATAGGGGTAGCTAGTAGGGACACTATACCGCTCCGCTACTAGGTGCATATCAATATATCTACGTATAGGATTTATCGTCGTACTTAGGCGGTAGTCGCACCGTCTACTATAGGCACCGAGAAGAGATGCCAATATTACCAATTGCTGCTCCTGCTTAGTATTCCGTAGCTCTATAGCGTATATACAATAATTGACATCCGGGAAGAGAGCCTATATATTAGTAACCCGAGCCGTAGGGAGATAAGGACCGAACTTGCGGTACCTACTATAGCGAAGGTAACTAAGGTTCTACCGGTACCGTAGTACGAGACGGAATCAGACAGCGATAGCTCCGGCTCGGACTTAGAGTCTACGACCTCGGAGGATAATACCTCCGAGGAGGAAAACTAAGGAGTCCTTAGTAGGACGCAAAAAGGCTTGATACGAACCTACAATTAGAGAGTATTAAGACTATATCAAACATTGCTAATACGATATAAGAACTATTATTTATACAAGCACAACCCGATCCTGCATTTATATAAGCATTACCGAAC